AAATGGCGAGGATGCTTGACCGGATGCCTTCAGCTTAGCGAGTCCAGTTAAACTATCAAGGTCAGCATCAATGTCGAAAGTCGTCAAACCCTAGGCTAATAATTTTGGGGAATTGTATGACGCTACAAGATGCTCTAGTCTTCAATATTGTTTCTCCGAATTCTAAGGTAACTAACCCCACCTCCCATGCCTCTATCTCGCTTTTTCTCATCCGGTATGCAGATTATGACGGTGGATCATACCAAAGCACACTCAGCATCGAAATTCTATTCAACATATTCGAACTGTCGTTTTCGCCGTCTAGCGATGCAAAAAACCAGAAGACAGTTCATATCAGACTTCAATCTCCAATTGAAACGGCACATAGAAATATTGGTGATAATGCCGTTTTCCTGCGAACACACAGGTTCCTCTACTCCCGACAACCACTCACCTAGAAACGAAGCTCTCCGAAAGTGACCTCATACAAAGCGCCGATCCTGAAGTCTTACTGGATGGTTTAATGGGTAAATCTCACATGTTCTCCACCGTAATATGACAGCGATGGCTGAGTAGAATTGCATCTTCGGCATGATTTATCAAAAGGACTTTGTTTACAGCATTAAAGACCGAAGCGGCTGCTATGCTTCGTAGACACCATACCATGATAGACCCAAATTTCCCTTCAGTCCATCCCAGTATTTAAACTCTAGCTTCGTATCCTATCCGAGGACAGCGCAAATCCATTGAATAATCACAGATCCTTCAGCCTCATTTGCTCCCAACATTCGATATGTAATATATACTTATGGACTCACTATTGCTAGGATACTTCTGACAGTCAGTATTATCCCCACTTTAACCCTCACTGCCGCTGTCTACCGGTATGGCTTTTAACCAATATTTGTTACTCGCAATATCAAGAAACTGCCTGATCCAGAAGGTTTTACATAGCGTGATGGCTTGTTCTTTCCAAGCTTTTTAAGCTTCAGTGAAAAAATAATACCCCGATGTTGCCGGCTAAAGTGGCACGCTTTAGTATTATTCATGATTCCAAATATATATTTGTTATTTTGAACCATTCAACGGGAGCTGTTTCTGTTTGGACGGGAGCTCAAGGGCACTTAAAGTTTATAAATGTGAATAAAGGACATGATGAAGTGCACTGATGTGTCACAGCTTGGAGTCGGATTCACCGGATGACCGATTTCAAGAAAGATCCCTTTCATGTACCATCAGCATGATTTCTGGCACCACCTGTTTGGCACTCCCGTAAGGTGAAACTCAGGTTAGGATGGATGAGTGGAGACGTTGATCCACAACGAGTGTATTCTTGGAATCTTTTCAGGATGATTATTGGGATTTGACCGGAATTGTTAATTGTTGTGCGAATACTTAAAAAACAATCGTCAGACTGCTTCCTTCATGTTGCTTTCATTCCTTGAAGATAAAACGGGCGATAAGACCGTGGGATGATTGTAGCCGGTTCACCTACTCACGAAGAAGTAATGATATATGGTGGTGACTACCATAATGGGTACCAGGGCCTGTTGGAGAGATACTTTGATTGATTTTGTCCACTAAGCCAGATCGGCGGATATATTGCATATCGAATGTTGGGAGCAAATGAGGCTGAAGGATCTGTGATTATTCAATGGATTTGCGCTGTCCTCGGATAGGATACGAAGCTAGAGTTTAAATACTGGGATGGACTGAAGGGAAATTTGGGTCTATCATGGTATGGTGTCTACGAAGCATAGCAGCCGCTTGGGTCTTTAATGCTGTAAACAAAGTCCTTTTGATAAATCATGCCGAAGATGCAATTCTACTCAGCCATCGCTGTCATATTACGGTGGAGAACATGTGAGATTTACCCATTAAACCATCCAGTAAGACTTCAGGATCGGCGCTTTGTATGAGGTCACTTTCGGAGAGCTTCGTTTCTAGGTGAGTGGTTGTCGGGAGTAGAGGAACCTGTGTGTTCGCAGGAAAACGGCATTATCACCAATATTTCTATGTGCCGTTTCAATTGGAGATTGAAGTCTGATATGAACTGTCTTCTGGTTTTTTGCATCGCTAGATGGCGAAAACGACAGTTCGAATATGTTGAATAGAATTTCGATGCTGAGTGTGCTTTGGTATGATCCACCGTCATAATCTGCATACCGGATGAGAAAAAGCGAGATAGAGGCATGGGAGGTGGGGTTAGTTACCTTAGAATTCGGAGAAACAATATTGAAGACTAGAGCATCTAAAGAGGGCACGAGAAACGTCAGGCCACATAGTCCGGTACTCTACCTATAGAATACCTTTGGGGTTTTATGTAGTAAGTTTTGCATGTCCGAATTTGGGCGATAATACAAGTGCCTGAAGATGGTGAGTTTGTTTTGCCTTTGAGAACCAGTGGGTGTCTAGATGTTGTTCTTATGCTAACTTGACAGGTGTGGAGGCCAATCACTAATTATTCGTACCTGTATTATGTCCACGAATGCGAGACCACGGAAGGACACAATAGTGCAGTCAGGTGTATTAATATATTCGTGAGGTCGTGCCAAAATGCCAATGCGTTCCAAGTAGCTGGCTAGTGGGCCGGTTAGGAGCAGCGCAAGGTGACACGACAGCGTGCCAAATGGCGTGGATGCTCGACGTGTGCCCTCAGTTTAGAGAGTCCGCTAAAACTATGAAGGTCAGCATCAATTCTGAATGTCGTCGAACCCCAGGCTATTTATTCTGGAGAGGGATATGATGCTACAAGAGCTTTGATATGCACACGCAGGATTGGGGGAAGATCTAAAACGAAGGGGGGGCGAACGGCTTGTGTTGGGTCCGACGACCTCGGATAAGGGCGGTTTTCATAAGTCCCCACCGTCAGATATGTCACCTCTTGTTATTAAACTGTTTCACATTTGAATTGTCCCACGACCTGTTGTGATTTTTCTTCTACCTGTTTCTTCTCTATTAGCTTCCATGTTTCCGTAGAGATCCATCCCTTGTCTTGTTTCTTCTTCCTTCCTAACGCGGTTATGCCGGTTTCCTTCCACGTCTCTTTCAAAGGGTTCCAGTGTTCTTCCACGCAGGTTTCTTCAGGGATGTTGCCTAATGTCTCTCACTTTGTCCTAGTGGCTAACGTGAAGATGTCCTTTGACGTTTCTGTTCTGGCTGTCAAACTTGAACTGTGGCCTATCACCAACTTCTGTGAAGGCTTTCAACCTGGTTTTGAGGGTTTCTTGCACTAGGTAGTGAGCGGTGTGAACCTACATCTGTTCCCCTTCTTGATCTGATCTTGTGTCTAGTAGGCTGGCTGTCTCCACTTTTTGAGATTGAGATGAAGTCGATCTGATTTTTAGTGTAATGTGTCGATCTGGTGAATGGTGAAATCCATGCAGCTCGCTTTGTGAATATCTTTGTGTTTGTACACAGTGTTTCTCCAATCACCAAACCATTGAATGCGCAGGAGTTCGAAAGCAGTTCGCCATTCTCATTCGTTTTACCGAGTGCCATCCCGACCGATGATGAGTTCTCCTCCTGTGTTGTCTGCTCTCAGTTTGGCATTCATGCTGCTCATTAGGATTTCGATGTCGCCAACTGTGGTGGGGTCTTGTCCATTACTGATTTCAGTTGTCGATGGAATTCCTCCTTCTTCTCTTGATCTGCATTATTTGTAGGTGCATGGCGCAGCATTGTATGATTGTTACTTTCCTTCCTTTTGAGTTGAATCCATCTTGCTGTCATGATGCTGATCCTGAAGGAGGAGATTGATTCCCAATGCATGAGGGAGAGTCTTCGATGCTGTTGGGGACATCATGATAGCGACTCCGTAACTGAGTGTGCTCGTGGTTGTCGTCTGGTTGCCAATATCGGAGTAGATTATTGACTCTCCAATTGACAGTTTGGAGAGTCCCCTTTTATTCCATCTGGTTCCGCAGATTCCTAGCACTTCTATGCCATACCTTCTCATTTCTTTTGCAATGTGTGCAGGCTTGCCGGCGAGCCAGCCAGCTTCAAACATGGTGCGGACATCCCATGTCTCTATGTTCACTTCTGCTTTGATCGAGAGAATGGAAGAGACATCATCCAATTGGCTTTTCGATGGCTTTCATCAGGTGGTGTGATTTCGTCTCCGACTTTAGCGAGGAATAAGTCAATTTCTATTTCTTATATTTTCTTTGTTCTTTGAAGTTTCTTTAGGGGTTGGATTGGTTTTACGGGATGGGGTTGCTAGCTGTATGCTCAACCTTCCCTGTTTATCCGCGCTTAGGACTGTCTAGGAACTAGTGGGCTACTTGACCAAGCAAGTCTACTGAGTTCTCAAGGCTTCTCTAAATGTTAGTTTGTGGCATGATTACAGGCGTGCTGTCGAACGATTACCAATAACTATCTGACTATCGCACCGCATGCTCTTTGAACTTCAGGTATGTGCCTAATAGCTTTCCCTCATCGGAAATGATGGTGATTTTCTTTTCTTTCTTTAACTTATCATATGCACGGTAGAGCTCACGTAAGTTCTCGAATGAAGTTCAAAGCCAATAAATGTGGTATGCTGTACTCTGAACGTAACTCATCGGGATAATTGGTGTCACCATATGACAAACAATTCCCTTTCCATCACTTATTACAAGTTTGGGTTCGGAATGCCCACCGAATTTCGGCAGAGTTTCTTCTTTCGTTCTTCTTGGCCCATTTCCTTTTGTCTCTCTTCATTTCCTCTCCATTGCTTTTCATGGTTATCTCTCTATTCTTCTCGTCTTCTTTTCAAAACCAGTCCGAATGACAGTCTGGTGAAACGACATTTGAGGAACCTATCTGCACCACATCACAGTCCCCGGATAAATCGTACATCTCCGTAAAAATGTAACAAACACCACAGCAATAACAGGAGAGTTGGTAATTTGGCCTCATTGGAATCCGCCGAGGACCTGGAATCGTTCTAAAAGGTCTAGGGCAAAGGGCAAAGATATCAATTAGTCTATACAATTTTGAACACCAGGTACTGGATTGAACATTCACTTCACGAGGCAAATATGTTTTGCTTCGTCGCGTTTAGGCGTTTGCATAGTTGGACACCGATTTCTTATAGCTGTTCTTCTCGCTACATTTCTAGTGAGACTGCTGATGAGAAGGGTGGATTTACCCGTTCTATATACTCTCTGCCACAGGTATTTTTTGTTGTGAATGATCGATATAGTGAATGATGATATAGTACAAGCACGTTGTACGCAATGGGAAAGCCCTGAAAGTATATACTGGTCTGGTGGATGAAACACTTACTTTTAAAGATGGACTACGTGAAAACTTTTATAAGTCGTGGACTAAAAAAGTTCTGACAATGCAAAGCCTTTCTAAACGCATCACAACGCGAGCGAAGGAACGCATCAAGCATAAACAAATGTAATACTCTAGTTCTCTTATTAGCAGAATTTCCGTTAAAGATATTGAAAATCTAGGTTTGGATATTGCTGTTGCTCGTATGGTTTGTCGTCTGGGTGGACGCGTTCAACTTGTTGGCCAAACGGAATGGATTCAGTCATATTATGGACTACTTCCTCCGCTACCTGTCAAATTTGTTCCTAACTTCCTACTTCAGACGATTGACCTATCGGGTACTAAAATTCTGTATGAAGGTCTAGAGTTTCTACGTAAGTGACCTTTGACCTTGGTTAAAATAAATCGGAAAGTCTGAATGCATCAAAGCGTAGCTGTCCCTGGGACGCTAATCACATCAGAATTGTATTACCGTTGTGTTTTTGGACTAACTTAAAGATGGAAGCTTCAGCATATTAGAGTAACTGCCCGTACAGTTGAGTTGTTAACGGTGATGCATTTAGACGTCGTGTTTTTTCGGCAAAGGAAGTCTTTACTTGATGATATATTTTTGTCTATGGTCCACGGTGAAAGCACATCAGCCGTTCAATTGTCAAGCATTAATCTCCTTTAGATATGTGCTCAAACCCAGTTGAAGCTATCCGTATCAACGCTCCCATAAACTACTAAAATGCCCTAATCGAACACGTTTCTGAAAGTGATTGCATAAGTAATTTCCTACTATATACACCTTAAAAAGTATAATCCATGTTCTGTGTCTTTGAAGTCCGTTTATATTTCCACGTTCAGTGATGTTTGGTAATTCAAGTGCCCAATGATATGAATGTCAAAAGTATAAACTTTAAAACTTATGCTTAGACCAGTCATTTATCGAATAAAAAAGTGATAAGGGAAATTATCAAGCAGAAAATATCGTGTATATGTTATCATGATTAGTTAAATAACTAATCACTAAGTAAGATTGCTTGTAGTCAGTAGATCACACTTTCAAACCTCGTTGACTTGTGGGTAACCAGACGGTATCATTAACTCTTGTACGATAGGTGTGGCTAATTACCTGATGTGCAAGCACGCCCATCGTTCTTGAGTTACATTCACTTTATATATTTAGGTCGTTTTGGATGTAGGTTCTGAATTTCGATGTATTTTTTCTGCTATTGCAATTTATGTGTAACAATGAATTCATTCATTTAAAACTAATATAATACAACATGGGTGCCAAGAAATGGGTCACATAGCAAACTTATTAGGATGTTATTTGCTTAGATACTCACTTTTTACGAGTGAGCTAAAAGCTCAAGCTTCTTTCTACTCCAACTCTGGCAACCAGATAGTATCGTAAGCCTTAACATTGTTTCTCATTGTGTAGTACGTGGATTTGTAGTGGATCGTAGGGTTGTATTGTTTAAACTCAAGTTTCTACTATGCTCCAAACAGTCAAGTGAAAGGCGGTCATATATATCTAAACCAGTGGTTGCATTCTATGGTGAATTGAACTACCTACAAAATGCCTTTGTGGTGTTAGACGGTCTGTGACGTTTCAGCACTATCATTAAGAAAGCACTATACCAGTACGACCATACCCTTTGTGTTCATACCCCCCCTACACCCAACTGCATCGCTCTTCTCATTTCTCTTGCTCTGTAATATGATTATATCGGTGCAAGCATAGCAACCTCCGAGCTTTGTCTAAATTGCTTATAGTGAAGTCTAGTTTAGTTTTTATTCTTTGACAACTTAACTGATCCTTATCTCCTTAGATGCCGAGTGAGATTGTATTCAATCTTTGCTAACTTAAATATTAAATACAAAGACAGATGAAATCAAATAAGACAAAGGATTGCAGCGCAGTGGTCCCAGTTACCACACAGACATACCAATTGAGAGAGCACAAAGATGAAAGGCGAAATAGAGCAGTGAATAGTGGTAGAAAGTAGTAAACAGAAAGGAGTAAGAAAATACTGAATGCAGTATGAAGATTAAGATAAGTGTAATGTATGAATGCATTTGCGCCACCGAGGTCAAATCTGAGCATGCAACTGAGATATACTGGTGATCCCATCATTACTGCCTTGTCTTGGTATTCAAAGACTAGAGATCAAGCAAATGTACCAATAACGTAATCCCTTCAGTCGGTATCCTAACTTTGTGCGGGTTTTCTATCAGTTTACCTTCAAAATCAGTTTTTTTTTTTCAGTTTGAACGTCATACAGCGTTTTTTCTTGGTTTCTGACGAGAAGTAGTATAAACTCCGGCGCTACCTAAATGCTCTGGTATGACGAAGGATGGGAGCATCATGGTATCCTCTCTAAATGCTTTCATATGGATATGCGTTTATATCTCCTACCGAAGAAGTCTTCCTACTGTCACATAAGAAGACTGCTTCCTCAAGAGTGAAAGTCTGATGCTATCACTAGATTAGTGCACATGAAGAGTTGACCTAGCTATCTTGAACCCCTGATTTTAAATCGGTGATACCCATGAACTCTGGGGTCCAGAACGAACTAATAGTGTAAGAATAGCGTTTAGTTACGTGCAACCACGGAGATGCGGCGCTTTACGTTGGGCTGCTTTCAAGTGAACCATACTTCAAATCAAAGGCTCGGGGAGATGCCTCATGAGACAACTATCTATTTCGGTTTTGACGTCCAGAAAAAACGATAGCTCACATACAGTTTACGAATAAACATTCAGAATCAGTAATACAAAGGGCTTGCGGAAGTTTCCAACACGAAGTCAAATTCATTATGCAACGACTTTTATGGCCAATGATTCAATAAATTGTTATTTTTACATCTAAACGAAACGGAAATCGAAACATACTCGGCAATCTTGTGTACATCCATTCAGTAGGCAGTGAGCCACATGTGTGTTAGCTAATGATGTCGCATAGCCCAAACCTCGATAGGTCCAGCAGTGTTCGGACGCGTGACTCACTAATTGAAAGTCATCTCCCTATACCAATGTGTCACAGCTCCGTTTACATCTGGACCATATTGTCCTGTTGTAATCAATTTCACATTCATCTTAATTTTTGTCTTCAATTCACGCAGCTCCATCTAGATCAACCTAGGACCAGGCATTACTGCGTAACGGTCCGAGTTGCCACACCTCATATCAGTACATTAAGTAAAAAGGCAGTAAGGTGTAAGATGAAGATAAGGAAATTCAGTCAAAAAAAATATAAAGTGCTAAAAGAGAGAAAGGAAGAATGAGAAAATGATGAGATTCGGTATAGCTTCGTTAACATGAAGATAGTGTGTGCATACATCTGTGTCACTGACATCGGTTCTGAGCCATGTCACCTACAGTCAGTTTCCTCTTGTCCCGTGGACCCCAATCGGCTAGTCTGCGTCTCCCCATATGACTCAAACCAACAGTCACAGACTTCATACATTGATGTCATGTTTTAGTCTGGTCGCCCCAAGCCTTTTTCCAGTCTGAACCTACTTCAGCCAACATTGTGTGACGAGGCAATCGGCGACTAGGTATACGTAACACGTGTCCTAACCATCTCAGTGGATGAAGGTTCACAATCGTGTCAACTTACTTATCTCTCCCTAAAACTCTACACCTGAATTCTGCACTACTCACGTGATGACACCACAGAATACGATCTATACTACAAAGGCAACGGTGGTCAAACGCTTGAAGCCAGCCTTCTCATGTCTTCCACCTTCCATGGCCATGTTTCACAGCCATACAGTAGAAGAGAGTGGACTCCTGTGCAGTATACGCGACCCTTAATAGACAATCCGATATCGCGGTGGTGCCACAGGTGGCGTAAGTTGGCGAAAACCAATCGAGCCTTTTGTATTTGTGCAGAGATTTCATCGGCCACTGAGCCGGTCACCAGGGATGATCCTACTTCCCAGGTGAGTGAAGTGACCAACACACTCAACCACTACACTCTCTATTGTTAGCCGTGGTGGGGCACCGTTGAAGACCAATCCTGGAGCAACAATTTGCATTTGGGCGGTGAGAACCGCATCCCAAACATTCTCAAATTCCCACTCAAAGTGTTCAGAAGACTCTGCATCTTGTCAGCCTCTTCACCTAACAGGACTATATGTCATCTGTATATTCTAGGTCTAACAAAAATTCTCCACCGATTAGGTCAACATCTGTGTAATCAGGCGACGAGAGGGAGACCTACATAAAAATATCTATGATAAAATTGAATAAAAATGGAGAGAATGGGGACCCTTGACGGACACCACACGATGAATACAGCTCATCTGACATCTCACCATAGGCCCTAACACGCTCGCAAGTGTTCGAGTAGAGAGTCTTCAATAAAGTGATGTACTTACTCACCACGCCTTTCAGTGAGAGACATTGCCATGAGACTTCTCTATCAACGGAGTAGAATCCCGCCTTCAAGTCGAGAAATACAGCCAGTGCCGGGCGTCGGTAAGCATGCCTATGTTCCAGGACCTGGTGCAGTGTGAATATTTGGTCGATACATCCACGGCCAGGTCTAAAGCCTGCCTGCCCGGTTTTCTCGGGCTTGCTGTTCCCGAGCTCCACTCAGGCGTCGGAGAATTATAGAACTTAGGATCTTAGACACTGTTCGTCAGGCTGATTCCTCTGTGGTTATCACAAGAGGACTTCTTGCCTTTCTTGAAGACTGGGATAATCAGTGATTCAGACCAGTCGGAGGGGATCGTATTTGATTCCCATACACTAGCTTACACTTCCGTTAACCTGACTAAGAGCACCTTACCACCATCCTTGTATACCGCAGCGGGCAGTCCGTCTGGTCCTAGTTTCAGGCTACCTATCGCTTTCTCAACTTCTAGTGTTGGTGGGCCTATCTCTATGTCCCATTCAGGATCCGACTGGAAAGCAGGCAACGCAATGGTGACTGGAGGCCAGTTAAACTGTTCGTCAAAGTGTTCTGCCCATCGTTCCAGTCGTCTCATCTGCGAGTGAATCGCAGATCCGTCCTTCTCCGCTATGGTCTCACTAACCGCAGCCGACCTTTTCCCCCCAGTTTCCTTAATAAGTCTAAATAACTGTCTACTGTTACCAATCGCCGCCCTCTTTTCCATCTCTTCAGCCTTCGCTGCCCACCACTGTTCGCAATCGTTGCGCAGACTTTTTCTCAGTCTACTTTAAAGTTGTGCCCGCTCTTCATTGTACTCGGGGCCTTTAGGGATGCGTTCACGCGCATCTATTAGTTTGGAAGAAGCTGCTGATATCCACTGGCTCTTTTAGTCACTATTTCGGGGTCGGCTACGGTCTTCAGCGCTGCTTTTACGGCAGACTGGAAATGATATCAAGCTTCTTCTGGATGAGTGATAGTCTTCTGTCCCGGTAACTGCCTATCCAACTTCTCACTGAACACAGCTTTGGTGTTTTCGTTGTCCAGCAGTACTCGTAGTGGTTTTGTTGCCAAATTTTTCCTACGTCTATTGGGACACAGACATATACGCGCTCGGACCAACGCGTGGTCGTTATCTAAGCATGTACTCCAGAAGGAGCGGCAGTCTTCCACCGATCCTCTCCAGCGATGACTAATAGCAATGTGGTAGTTCACCCATTGACTACCTCAGTCACTGGAATGAGGCCATCGTTGTACACATCGAAAAGGATGTTTGTAACGTATGTGGTAATAATTAGGATATCAATCTGGCACCGGTAGCATATAAAATATTAGGTGTCATAACAATTCGCAGGCTCTGCAAAATATCTGAGAAACTGACCCGAGAGGAGCAGATCGAGTTCATTCCCGATTATGGACGACTTGCTCTGTTCACCCTCTGTCAGATGCTTCAATACTGTCACACATATTGCAAGCCAACAATTGTTGTGTTTCTCCATATTACGTCTGACTGATTGTTTGGTCAGGGTTGTACTCTAGAGTACGAGAGTAGGGTGTCCGGGAGTTAATTCACATATTGGAAACTCATCATTTTAACACCTCAGGTAGGGTGAGGGCACAGCCACCTGTCTCCATTGTTCCAAACTAATAGTGGAGTTAAGCAGGGCTGTCAGACTTCGTCATTCTTCTTCAGCTTTGTCATCGATGACGTTTTCGAGACAACCGTGAAGGCGTAGACCCGTTGCCACATGAAACGCTTTTCGACTTTGAGCGCACAGATAGTATCGTTTTACGGTATGGAAGCATACAGACCACACTCAGTCAGTTAGCAGTCATTTCCCATAGGTTTAGTATCTGCTTCACACCATGGAACTTCACAGTGCTTCTACAGGATTAGCAAGACCTTTTACCTGCGCTGACCCCTAGGGAAACTCGGCAGCTGTCGAAAAGTTTGTGTACCTGGATAGTTGGTTGCGCGCTGGTTATATTATTTCCAACCGCCTATCGAAAGCCAGGGTGGTACACATCGACCTATGTCACCATCGTGACATCAGCTTATCTGAAAAGTCGTGTGAACAGTATGTTGGTGCGAGCAGTTCCCTATGCCTGTGGAACCTTGCCTCCGGGCTGGGATTTTCTAACAACTATGCGTCTTTGGTCACTGTCGTCTCCATGGGGTTCCCCCCATACGATGGAAGCACTGTACCTCCGATGTGAGTCTGTGCATGATAGAGATTTCCATTCATTGAGTAAGGTCATTTCGAAATACCAGCTTAGACACTATCTTGCCTGAAAGGTTCCCACACTGGAGCTAGCCGTACGACGCTGAAAAGTGGTCAGTGAGTGACGCGGCGCTGTGGGACAAAGGATATTTGTATTAGGTTAGCATCTATAGGTGACTCGCAACTTCTTGGATGGGGTCTGAGGGATCGTACAACTATAGCAGTGCCGAACCAGTGCCGATCATTGCAGCTTTTTGTTTGTTCTGTTACTGAAGCAAAATGAAGGTAGGGAATACTTCTTCGAATATCTTTGAGACTACTTCTTTATTAATCGATTCATATTGTGGTTCTGTACTACTCTCCTTCTTACTGTCATAGAATATTTTTGGCGTATCTCTTGACCCTCATGTTGTACCAAGGATGTAGTTTAAATAGAAAAATGTCGAATGTACTCAGATATCTACTATATGTAGGGGCCTCTAAAGTACACAACTAACGTGTTAACCAGATAGATGTATAAACCCTAATAGTACCAAAGTCTCCAACTGGGAGTCAAACTAAAGCATATAGACTGATTCGGACATGGCTTCATTCGGTGAACAAGACCAGCTGTAAACTTTCTAATCTTGCTCATGACTGTCTATATGTGCATCATAGGTCCTGTTTGGATGTGTCCGTTGACTTTTTCAAATTCATCTCATCCATAGTAACTTCATTTGCCTCTATTACGGTCATTTCTGGTTTCGTCAAAGTTTACCTCTCATTGCTAACGCTCATAGTGTACGGACTTAATCAGCAGGTGTCTCGTCTATTGGGTAAAGTACTAATTTGATGTTTGCTGTGAAGTCCAAACTAATCTAATATGGTACTATATTTTACCATAGCTTAGAAGTTCCTCTTTTTTATTTATGAAATATTGCAAATCTGAATGATCCAATATTTTTCTTAATATTTTGAAAAATTTCCCAGTTGATGAATCCCACTTAATTACAATAAGCGTTTATACTGTAAATATTCATTGCCGCATGTTAACAGTACCACACGCTTTTGTTTCGAACTGATGAAGCAGTGGTAGGGAGTTAATTCTCCAAACCACTGGACTCCAATACATCACAAGTGTTCCCAACGTTATCTACTAATTTATGCAATATTGTCAGTAAGTTCATATTATGAAGATTAATATATCAAGATTAGATCGGACTGTTTAGCCTGCTAGATTAGATCATATTGTAATAGAAGGTGCAAGGAAATACGTAGATGGGCGAAAGTCTATTCATTTCGCTGACGAAACCCCGGTTAGGTCTTTGACGAGAAAAAAACACCTGAATATTTGTTTAGTGTAAGTATCCGATAACCGATGGCTTCGAAAGACTCATAAAACTACCGAGACTAGGCATATAGTGCTGACTACCTACAAAACTAAAGTTCCGTCGATTTATGTAGTTGGGATATATGTAAAGCATGTTTACGCTTAAATACATTGAATGAACAGGACCTCACCGAAGCATAGCTGTATTACTTGTAGCTTCCGACTGTTAATCCGAGTCATGTAGAAAAAATTTGGTTGGATAACCGAGGTCTTGAAGTCGATCAAGGCGAGTGCATCAACTCTATCTTCAAGGTACTTTTGACCTCTATTCTTTCGTTTCTCTTGTCGTCCTAGTTTTTTACTACTGTGAATAGCATTATTCTTGTTTCCTTTGATTTTTCTCGTTATTAGAGGTGTATCAAGCACAGGGAACTTCTTACTAACATGCTTCTTGCATGGGTCATTTGTACTATGATCATTTGGCCCCTTAAAGTTACCTTTGTGGCAGGTAGTTTATTAAGCATAATGATCGCACTGAAATTTCGGCTAATCACCTATAGTTTGTAAAACATGACTTGGATGCTCGTCAACCACAGCGTCACGCATACCTCGTGTAATTTGACCTTTTGTTGATAGATTTCCTATCAGTGAGTAGCCGTGACAGTAATTAGAAGCTGTGGCTCAGTGGTTTAGGGAGATGACTATCAGTTAGGTCACGAATTCGAACCCCGCTCCACTTACCGAGGTTTGGGCAGCCAGGTAGTATCACTAGCCCTCACACAGTAGGTGTAGCTCAACGCTTACTGCACGAATGTGCATAAAGTGGCTGAGTGCGTTTTTTTTTTTACTGTGACGGCAATTATCAGTTTGACTGTCAAAGACTTTTAATAGTAATTTCTCATTTCTCGAGGTCAGATTTCGCATATTTGTTTTGTGTGATTGTATAAGGTGTGGCACCACCACTTGGAGATTGTAACTTTATATATATATATATATATATATATATCATTTACTTTGCACTGCAGCTTATCTAACTCACCTACAGTATTTGAGAATGAGAAGATGTACGGATCTCGATGACTTTTGTCTATCAAGGATCGGAAGAATCAAGGGATTACAGTTTTTGGATATCAGTGAATGTCCTAGTCTTACTTCAAAGGGTTTGGCTACATTGGCACAACTGAAGTAAGTGGTTCTCTGCGAACTTCTGAAATTCACTTAGAAATATTGCCTGACAGTGCTTCAGTATCTTCGTAACCGTCTACCAAGTTTACCAACCATCTATTTTTATAACATGTAAATTAAGTCTTGGTCGTATTGTGTTCTCTGAGCTTAGCTCCACCTGAGCTACAAATATTCTCCACCATTTAAGTTGTGTTTGTTTGTTTCCGTTACAGGGAATTGCGCCGCTTGGCAGTCGGTGGAAATCCACAAATTGAAGATAAAGAATTAGTTTGTCTTCTACTTGAAGATGACCTACCAGAACTATGCATTGATGGCGTTGACTACATTGGTCAACTATCTGATGAACCGAAGAAGAAGATCCTCCAGTCTACAAACGAGGAGCATGTTCAGTCACAAAAAGAAAAAACAGACGAAGATGAAATTTGTATCAACAAGGCTTAGGTACACTGTAGAAAACAATTTACTATTATCTTCACATGTAATTAAAAAATTATCACAGAATTTCAGCTGTTTGCATGCCGTTTATCATTGACAGGTGTGGATCACTTCTATGAAAGCATCCAACTCGCGGATATGGTCAGGGTTTACACTCCATAACTTTTTAATCTGAAAATGGAAATTAAGCAGCATAAAACAAAAGTTGGTTAAAACACATACTATTTCTATGATTACTAAGGTTTGTGCTCTACATGTGAGGCTCACTAATTCAAGAAAAGAGTTGTGATTTGAAAGTGATTAAGTTTCAGTGTACGTAGTTTAAATAGTTATGTGTATCTAACACTTCAAGTTAATTCACTCACGAAAGTCGAAAGAAGCAGGTCAAAAAAGCCTTTACAGAAGCTTGAGTAACAAAACATCGCTTAGAGCTGCCAAAAACCTAAACATTTCACTGGAAAAGAGAATCATGTATAGGATGGATTTCAGACCCGACCGATAGCTGCTACCTTGACGTGGTGGTCGGGCTTGCATATCACAATGACCCAACGAGCTATGCTGGTGGAACGCTTGTTCCCTCGAGGTCCTACCATACCAGAAAGGTCTGTTGGGTAGTGGTTAGACGAAAAGCAGTTACCGTTATAGTGTAAATTGCTACACTATGATGGGGGTCTGAGGGCGAAGTCGTACTGCTGCTAGCTGGATGGGGTGTGACAGCAGTAAGGTGTTTCCCTTGGATGACCAGCAGTGCCAAGCTGATGCTGCCTTCTCAGTGGAAGGGGGGGTTAGAAAAGGTCGGCCCCAAAAATAACACACTCCACCACGCCCCACGGTCTGCCGGGCCGGCGGTGTTGGTTCACTTGTCGTTTCCTTTCGCTCATCCGGCCCCAAAAATACAAAAATTCAAAATAATCATACTCAAAAGGCTGGGTGTGACAGGCCTCAAGCAGATGTCCGATGGGCTCTGCGGTCACACAAATCTCTTTCAGGTACCTTAAGAAGAAATAGCCTTCCACGGTGTGGGCAGCCGGGAAGTGTCAACCGCCCTCACAACTCTGTCAGCACCCAAGTTTCTTCTGACTGCTATCCTCCTCCTCCATCATTACCTTCTAATCTTCCTTCACGTCTCTTAATTAATGATGCTGCATCATCTTCAATTTCTCCTACCTCTGCAGCCTTCGACAACGATCTGAGTCCACAGAACAGCATCCCTGGTCTCCTTAAACCACGCTCCAAATTACATATTGGAGCCTTCAATGTCCGCACCCTCCGTCAAATTGGCCAACAGGCTTCGTTGGCAAAGACTCTAGCAACTCGGGCATGGATGTGTGCTGTGTTTGTGAGACACGCATACAGGACCCAAGTGTGGTTATTCACCTGACCTCTCCTGACCAATCTGGTGAATCTGCAAAATTCACCCTTCGAGTTTCTGGAGATTCGATAGCTAGCTCTCGTGGTCTTGCAGGTGTAGGTATAGCATTAAGCACCAGGGCAGAAAACTCACTACTAGACTGGATCCCAGTTGATAGTCGCCTCTGCGCTATGAGGCTGAACGGCACAGTGAGAACTAAAAGGAATAGTGAGACTCGCCGTTGTCTCTTTGTAATCTCTGCTTACGCACCCACTGACTGTAGTTCGGATGAAGTGAAGGACGAGTTCTACCATAAACTGTCTAACCTCCTCTCGAAAGCCAAACGTTCGGACGTAGTGGTTGTTGCAGGTGACCTCAACGCACAGGTGGGTAGACTGAGTGAGGCAGAAAGGCACTTAGGTGGCACTTTCGGAATCCCAGCTGAACGTACAGATAACGGTGATCGCCTATTACAACTATGCTCAGATAACCGCCTATTTTTAGCCAGCACAAATTTCAGACATAAAGAAAGGCACTGTCTGACCTGGCGTCCACCGAGCTCGACTCAGCGATGGACACAGATAGACCACATTGCTATTAGTCATCGCTGGAGAGGATCGGTGGAAGACTGCCGCTCCTTCTGGAGTACGTGTTTGGACAGCGATCATGCGTTGGTCCGAGCACGTATATGCCTGCGTCTCAATGGACGTAGAAAAAAAACGAAAACACCAAAGCCGTGTTCAGTGAGAAGTTGGCTAGGCAGTTATCGGAACAAAAGACTGTCACTCATCCAGAAGAAGCTTGGTGCCATCTTCAGTCTACTGTAAAAGCAGCACTGGAGACTGTAGCCGACTCCAAGATAATGGCTAAAAAGAGCCAGTGGATATCAGCAGCTTCTTCCAAACTAATGGATGCACGTGAATGCATCCCTGCAGGCTCTGAGTACAATGAAGAGCGAGCGCAACTTAAAAATAAACTGACGAAAAGTCTGCGCAACGATCGTGAACAGTGGTGGGCAGCAAAGGCTAAAGAGATGGAAAAGGCAGCGGCGATCGGTAACAGTAGACAGTTATTTAGACTTATTAAGGAGACTGGGGGGAAATGGTCAACAACAGTTAGTGAGGTTATAGCGGAGAAGGACGGATCGGCGATTCACTCGCAGGGAAGGCGACTGGGACGATGGGCAGAACACTTTGAGGAACAGTTTAACTGGCCTCCAGCCACCATTGCGCTGCCCGCTATCCAGTCGGACCCTGAATGGGACATAGAGACAGGTCCCCCAACACTAGAAGAAGTTGAGAAAGCGGTAGGTAGCCTGAAACGGGGAAGGGCAGCAGGACCAGACGGACTACCTGCTGAGGTATACAAGAATGGTGGTAGAGTTCTCTTAGTCAGGCTAACGGAAGTGTTAGCCAGTATATGGGAATCAAATACGATCCCCTCCGACTGGTCTAAGTCACTGATCATCCCAGTCTTCAAGAAAGGCGAGAAGTCCTCTTGTGATAACCACAGAGGAATCAGCCTGACAAACATAGTGTCTAAGATCCTAAGTTCTATAATTCTCCGACGCCTGAGTGGAGCTCGGGAACAGCAAGCCCGAGAAAACCAGGCAGGCTTTAGACCTGGCCGTGGATGTATCGACCAAATATTCACACTGCGCCAGGTCCTGGAACATAGGCATGCTTACAGACGCCCGACAATAGCTGTATTTCTCGACCTGAAGGCGGCATTTGACTCCGTTGATCGAGAAGTCTTATGGCAGTGTCTGTCACTGAAAGGCGTGCCTAGTAAGTACATCACCTTATTGAAAGCTCTCTACTCGAACACTTGTGGGCATGTTAGAGCCTATGGTGAGTTGTCCAGGGAGCTATACTCATCAAGTGGTGTCCGTCAAGGATGCCCACTATCCCCATTCTTATTTAATTTTATCATAGATATTCTTATGGAGGTTTCCCTCTCGTCACCTAATTACAAAGACGTTGACCCGATCACAGGTGAATTTTCCTTAGATCTAGAATATGCAGATGACATAGTCCTGTTAGGTGAAGACGCTGACAAGATGCAGAGTCTTCTGAACACTTTGAGTGGGAATTTGAGAATGTTTGGGATGCGATTTTCACCACCCAAATGCAAATTTTTGCTCCAGGACTGGTCTTCAGCGGTACCGCGGTTAACAATAGAGAGTGAAGTGGTTGAGTGTGTTGACCACTTCACTTACCTGGGAAGTAGGATCAACTCCGGTGGGTTAGTTGCCGATGAGATTTCTGCACGGATACAAAAGGCTCGATTGGCTTTTGCCAATTTGCGCCACCTATGGCGCCGCCGTGATATTCGTTTGTCTATTAAGGGTCGCGTGTACTGCACAGCAGTCCGCTCTGTTCTACTGTATGGCTGTGAAACATGGCCATTGAAAGTGGAGAGACAAAAAGGTTTCAGGTGTTTGACCACCGTTGCCTTCGTAGTATAGGACGTATTCCGTGGTGTCACCATGTGAGTAATGCAGAAGTTAGGTGTAGAGTTTTAGGGAGAAGAGGTAAGTCAGTCGACGAGGTTGTGAACCTTCATCGACTGAGATGGTTGGGACACGTACTACGTATGCCTAGTCACCGATTGCCTCGTCACACAATGTTGGCTGAGGTGGGTTCAGGCTGGAAAAAGGCCCGAGGTGGCCAGACTAAAACATGGCACCAATGTATGAAGTCTCTGACTGTTGGTTTAAGCCATGTAGGACGATGCAGACTAGGTGGTTGGGGTCCACGGGACAAGAGGAACCAGTGGTTGGAGACCCTAGGTGATATGGCTCAGAACCGAAGTCAGTGGCGCAGATGTATACACACATTATCCTCATCTTAACAACGCTATACCGAATCTCACTATTTTGTCACTCCTCTTTCCTTTCTTCTCGTACTTTATATTTCTTTTGACTGCATTCACTTATCTTCATCCTTCACCTCACTACCTTTTTACTTGATGTGCTGATATGAGGTGTGGCAACTCGGACCGTTACGCAGTAATGCCTGGTCCTATGTTGATAATGATGATGATGATGGATTTCAGAATATTTACCTCTAGTATCTAGTAAGTCAGTCGATGGATTGTGAACCTTCACCGACTGGAGTGCCTAGGACACACATTGCAGATGTATATTCATCGAAGTAGAATAATTTCAGGAAGCCAGACCGAGACTGTTGGTCTGAGGCTTGTTGGTTCCCTAGGGATGTTGGGAGACTCCTGATGACATGGCTCAAAACTGACCACAATGGTGCAGATGTATAAACTCTCGGTTATTTCCATTAACGTTTATCCATTTGCTTTTTTTCCTTTCATGACAACTGTCCCAGGCTTCACATTGGTTTTTCTACCTTTTACAGCAAGGCAAAGAAAATAAGTGCTTGATTTAAAAGGGGAATCAGTTGCGAGTCATGTTACCTTAATATCTAAACTTCCAATTCCTGCCTCAGTTTACAATTCTGTATTGACATGCGGCCATGACCGATTTTTCATGAATTGGCGCCATTTCTTGATTTGGTTGCTCTGAAGTCTCTTCCACTGAAACTTTTATTCTAAGCAATATAGCGCATCAAAAATAGTAGGGTATGTGCGATGTATGCCTTACACTTCATACGAGCGATGTTATGAAGATTACTTACTGTCTACGACTTTCTCACATTTGTGATCACAGCCAATAGCATATTGTATTTATCTGACTTCACGTCCGTCTTCGGGATACATATTTGGATAACTCACCATCCATGATGCTCTAATTTAGAAACAGGTGTTCCGTAACAATATTTTGGGTCTACACGCTGAGAATGCTCCCACACGAACCGTTATTGAATTGTGTTATATAATTGCTTTTTAGTTGTAATCATCTTGAGGATACAAGAAAAGTTTCAGTCAAATTCTGTAGAAGTACTTCTGTAACGGACACTTGTTAATTTATGCTTCCCATAATGTTTAATGACTGAACGATTTTTTGCACGGATTTTCTTTTTAGAAATAATATGATTAATTTGCTTTCACCATTGTGGTACGGTTGATGAGTCTCGATCGACAGTTTGTCAACCTTTCATGGAAATCAGTCCTAACCTTGGCAATACAGTCATAGATATTTTTTTCCTCTCACAAGAACTACATTCTCTGGACACTTAAAAGTAATCATCTGTTACCACTTTCATTTTGATTTCACCGAAAGTAACTGGTATTTTGGTGAGTTTCATTGTTTGTAGGGTTGAAAATTCTTGATAAAGATAATTTGCCTAGAATTTAACTATTAATCAAATGAAGAAAAATGTATCGTCTAAAATAGTGCTGGTTAGAAAATCTATTACTAACCTCATCACTGTATGCTTTAGCATCCAAGTACAGTTGGTGGCGAGTCTTATCGTCTGACTGAAATCCATTTACAGTTTGAGTTTGATTGGGGGCTTGTGAACTACCACGTCTGACTTCTCTTAATCTGCGTAGACTATCTTCCATTTTCCTTACTGATGTAGACACTTCCGACAGTTGAGTTGTATACCTAGATTAAGAATACCTAAACTAAGTATACAAGTTAAACCATCGTCAAATGAATTCAATGATTATCTTCAGCTCTATACAATTTTTAACACATATACACGAAAATTTTAAATGCTACTCTACTACCACTTGTATCAGGCTGTGAGTCACACCTAGTGATACTAACTGACTACCTACACTTCGCAGGCGGAACCGGGTTCAGGCCCGAGACCCATTGGTTGGAAATCACCTACCCAAAACAATGGGTTCTTACATTGTAGGTAAAGTTCGTGGGTAGATCTCTAGGCGCCAAGCAGGCGAATACATTTTCTTCCCCCCCAGACAAGCATACTGATTAGTTAGTAACATAGTGAAGCAATCACCTACGACGTTTTGCTACTCAGTGGTTCCTCAAAATATGCTACTCTGGGATGAGAACTATCTTCAAATGAATGAAATTCTCGAGGTTATGGGTCTAAGTAACCTAGGAATGACTGCATTTATTGATTAGCGTGTTCAACTATAAACACTGCTACCAATTTTTACATGACCTTAAAAACCTAGTGATTTTCAGAAAATATATAACCTACTCATGAGTTACTTTCTTTACACACTGTTGTAGTAACGCAGTTAAACAAGATTCAGAACTTGTAATCACTTTCGATAAACTTGATCCCAAGTCAGCTAACTTGATTAAAGGACTCATCATATTTGATACATATGTTGAAGGTGCAGATGGGAAATCTCGATTAGTCCAGCGATATTGACGTGGTATATCTAGAACTTGACGAATACAATTTGAGCAATTCAGCTAGAAATAATATTTTAAAGAAGAAAGTAAGAAAGAAAGAAGTAAAAGGACGTAGACTAGTAGCTCTAAAAGATTGAAAAAAGACATTTTTAACTTTGTGGAAGTGAAGCAACAGTTTCTCAGTCATATACTTCAAAGTAGAAGGAATGATATTCAGTAAGTGGTTTAAAAAAATCAGTTCAGCATTTTAGACTTAAGTGAACTTAAAGTAATAATCCTTCAAACGCATTAGGAATGACTTCTCAGGCTATTCTTTTGTTGTTAGACTTCTTTGTTTGGACAGCTAAATACCGAGTTTAGATCGGTGAATAATTTACACTTCGGAGTTACCCATTAAATGAACGGTTATTTCTTGAGGTACATGAAGAGAAAACTGAATTAATATTGCTGCTCTTGTTAACCTAGAAGTGTGACTTGTGTAAACTGATGCATAATTGAAAATGATCACATATTGTCTCCTTAGATTCGCTTTCAACTTTGAGAACCTTGCAGCCGAGATTGTAATATGTGAATGTGTTATTCTAATAGCCTACATTTTTGCAGTCCTCTTTGCGACAACAAAGGTAGTAACGGTAGGATGCTGACTATCTACAAGAAATACACCATTGCCATTAAATACTGATGTAGTGCAACTTTCCTACATCTTGAAATGAATGGGCATTTTACTTTTTATCTAACACAGTTCTCAGACTAGTTTTCTGGGTATGACAGGACGTCGAGGGATAGACATCTCTACTGACAAAGTCGACATAATTGATTTTGATAGGCGAGTCCAGTAGAAACTTTCAGGATCAAGGATTATGATTAGTGTAAAGCATCTGGGATCTCAAATCTCACTGAGGAGTAGGAAAGCCTTCTTTGATAATCTTACCATGTAGCATTCATCACCGACTGACATCAGTTAGAGAATCAATAAATCCCCTACAAACCTCCAAACCTTACTATCGGCTTTTTTTAGTTTACAAGCTGTAGAACATTACCCTTTAAGAACTCATTTGCGAGAAAGATTACTTCGCAATTTGTGTCTACATAAAAGGACCCAGATAAGCTTGCAGAGATAAAAACAGATTCAGTTTCTGTAATCAACTGGTAATTACAGTCAGCATGGTTACATAACTGCTAGACGACTATTTTTTAGAATGACTGATGGAGTATAAAACCCTGTTGTCTTTTCAAAATTCAGAATCATCATAGTTTGTTAAAATAATCACAACATTAATGTTTCACGAGATGATAATCAACAAATAAAAATGACAAAACTCCTGTTACTCTGTTGATCTTTTCGACCTCACATACTGGGCATGAGGGTGGTTGGTCTACTTCACTAACCTTTCTAAGATTCATTTCTGCTATAAGCCTAAGTAATGGGAACATACTACCACCAGCTACCGGTACATTCTTAAACTGCCTAGTTTTCGCCATGTCCAGGTATCGCAGAAGTCTTAAGATAGTCAGATAAAAGACAATATTCACTGATGAGCCGTGTCATGAAATCTTTACACGACTCGGTTGAGATAACGAAAGATAGTGTTTAGAGGACTAAAAATGAATCCATTTTTTTAACCCTTCTCAAAGTACTAACCACATTATTTTAACAAAACAAATGATTAGCATATATTTAGCGCAAAAATAGTGTCTTACCTGAATCCTATCTATGATAAGATCATTTGTTGGACCAATAGATGTAATCAAACGTTTATATGATTGTTCTAAACACTCTGTTAACAACGTTTCACAGTTTTTCACTTCATTCACGGTATAAATTGAGCGTTGATTTAGACAGGTAAAGATTTTCTCCTTCAATTCAAAGCGTACATAGTCGATTAATCGGAAACAGTCAACCAAGAAGAAGATAAGCAGTTCAGGGAAACAACATTCAGCTGGTTTTGTTTGTAACGAAGTAGATGCATCAGATGACTGACATATAGAGTCATTCTAAAAGAAAACACATGAAATACGTTTGTAAAAACAAATCAAAATTTTATAATAGTATTCTTGAAATCAAAGGTATATTTACAGACAGCCTTTGAATTTAAAACGAGAAAAGAAATAAAAACATAAACGACTAATCTTTCTTAAAATCACCAAGTTCATTGTTATTTACTAGTCACGATCCCGTGTATACATGAGAATGGAAGCTTGAAAACATCGATTAGTGGGAATGTGACCACTTTACATTTAAACAGTGGGGTTATGCGTTCACACTTCGCTGCATCCACTGAAGTCTGGTCAGACAGGTAGTAATATATCGGGTCAGTAAACATACGTTATGTAGTTGACTTGTTTTTATGAGCTGGACAAACGTCAAGAGGTCAGTCAGTACTTCGCTTTATATGTACCTGCTTTATCCCCTAATTCAAATTACTAATAGCTACTACCAAGCCAGGAAATTAATCCTAACTGGAAGCAGCCAAATCCTAGCATATATAAAAGCATATCTAACATACATGAATGGATACTCAGAGACTTACCAGTTTTTTACAGAAGCTAAACATTCACAAGGAATTATTATAGTACTTAGTAGAATTCATACGCTGCCTTACAACAGTGTCTGTGTTTTCTCTAACCTAACTAGGCGTTGGTATAAGTTTTTGTTAACTTTGGAAAGTATTGTGCGACACTCCATTGATTCCAAGATTATTTACAACCGAATAAATAGGTCTTTCGATTTTTGCATAAACTTAGTTCTGATGTATACGTTACAGAGATATTTCCACCTTCTGGACTCTTCACAGAGTGAAACACATAGAGGTAATGGTAGCTTGGAAGTTAATTACGTTATCTTTCGAATTAAGTATGTAGTCATAACCGGACGATAAAGAAGTTTGAGAGGTAGAAGGGAAGTGAATATATCGGTAGTGGATGACAAATGCAAGGGAGTATTAATCCATCAATAATCTATCCAATAAATATACTTCAGGATGTGATATTGTTTCGCTGTCTGTCCGTCCATTTCACAGTTTTAGTATCATTATCCTCAACATGCTAGTATTGGATTATCACCTTGCTTGATGAAGTTATAATTATTCTTGTTCAACTTATGGAAATCTCTTGTTATTCTTCGACGAACGGAAAATCTCCACATTAAGTAATCAAACAAAGATGTAACCGAGAAGGAAATTCCCTCTTTAACGATTTCATTTGCTAGAACTGTTTTCAGCGACTTAAAATTATACAGGTTTAGTAAATGAAATCGTTAAAGAGGGAATTTCCTTTGCTGTTGTCTGTGTTTCATTACTAGAATTTTTTGTCAGTGTCGATATTTAGATTGTCTTCAAACTATAGACGTTTATTTGGTGTAATAATAATAATAATAATAATAATAATAATAATAATAATAATAATAATAATAATAACAGTAATAATAATAGCAACAACAATAGTAGTAATAGTAATGATAATAATAATAGGTACACTTTTTGTATAGGGGATTGTAATATTATCCAGTTGTCCAGATAAGAGCAGTTAGAGCGGGCAATGGACTCGGGAATCATAGCTTGAAAACAGAGTGCTTAAATCAATGAGCCACATTTCCACATACCAAGTTCGATTGAAAAAATCATTCGTACAGAACACTAGTCCAAAAAGGTTGTGGTTGTCTTCAGTAGATCTTATGACGCAATCCTATTTAAAATTTACCACCTCGATGCAGCAATAGATTGGTGTTATCGTCTCCACTAAAAGTTAGAAACCTTACCTTCAAACGCTGAGGTGTGAACACTAGATTATTGAGTGAAACAGTATGGTGGAGTACTAACTATGAATATTTCCTGCAGATTGGCTTCTGATGCCGTGTCATAATACAGTAAGTACACGATAGTGTTGGGCCGCTTAACGTCCTGATTGCATTGATGGATAGATTGTGAGCAGTACTAAGGAAATGACAGATAAATAGGTTGCCGCATAGTGACTAATTCGTTTGAAATACAATTTATTGCTTTCTCAACGCTCATATACCTTGAATTAGATTGATAAACCCGTTTTGTGACAATATTAACTAGTGAGAATACATTATTATTGTACTGCTAACTATACTCTGATAGTTTTAATCGGACTGTCGAAGCTCATTGACAAATATCAAGTAGGATAGAATAAATATTCACTGTTTCCTGTCATCCGTCAACTTGATAATGTTAGTATTATACAGTTACCGATAGCATCCAAGTATCTGTAGACAAGTATGTTATGATGCAGAAAAGAGATCAGTCACTTTAGCCAATCATCATAAATGAGGAAATATGATTGAATTGTAAGAAAGTGATTGGAAACTCTATTATTTATACAATAAAATTTCAAAAAAACATATAAATTAGAAAACATACTTCAGGATGTAACTTAATAGATGATAAGCAATTGACGGAGTTACACCTTAAAATTCCTTCAAGCACTGAAAAACGCCCAGTATATATATATATATATATATATATATATATATATATATATATATAAATGCATGCATGTACATCAGTAATCGAAACAAAGCGGAAGAGTCGTCGAAAGAGGCAGAAATAAGAGAAGTAGCTATAGAAACAGTTACTGTAGAAGGATTATAAGGTGTTTAAAGACAGAAAAGAAGTCTCAACTAAGTAGTTGAGGTCAAATCATACTAAATACTCACCCACTAAAGGGAATAGTGTATTGATCTTGAACAGAAGAGTAGCACATATATATACAGATATACAAAATATTACTGAATGTAGTAGTTTTTGTTTATTTGTTGTTAGAATGAAATCAAGAGGAAGGAAGTAAACTGTTTTTAGAAAAAGAAACTAAATATTTTAATAATTTATGGGGAAGATTGCTAGTGTGATATGGGAGAAAAAACAGGGAAATAAAAAATGCATATATCTTGGGGCTGATGGACACAGCATAGCAAAACACTACACACAACTGGACCAGTTCAAATGAACATATTTTTCAACAGCGTGGAAAAAAGACAATTAACAAAAGATACTGAAAATAGACAGAGTAATTAGATGCTCAAGGGTTTGAAGAAGATACTAAAAACTAATATACCTTTCAAGCTTAGTGCTTAATTTGTAACAAGCAATACTTACCCTGTCAGGAATCCAGACCTGTGTCATCCAATGAGTGATGCAATTAGAGGTATTATCACTAAGCTATTCAGGGCGCGATTTACCCCCTGTAGGGTTGGAAAATATACACTTATTGATTAATGCAGAACAGACAACTCTATGCTTTTAGTAGTAAATACTGATCGAATTCCATCAATCATTTCGTAATGTGGTCACCAAGTCAGGAGACTCCTCATGGTGGTGAACTTTGACATTAGGTGATTGCTGGAACTTCTTCTTTGAAAATGAGCTGTGCAAAGAGGTGAGTCTCCCTGAAAAGTATCTACGTGGTTATCCAACTATTTCAGTTAATAAATATGGAAGACTAGGTAATGATAAAAAGAATGCTTCTAAAGTCTACAAAACCCTGTTTTTATCCTTTTAAATCACAAGAAAAATGATGTATTAGAGTGAATGAACAAGAGTTCAAGCTTCATTGTTGCTCTGACATATCCTATGGAACGTTCCTGCGTACACAAATACTTGTGCTTTTTTCCAGTCCAAAGTGGTTGGGTACCGGTCTCAAGTAATTTTCAATCGAATTTATGAATCCATCTACAGTTAAATCTTAGCGAGAGAAAAAGAGATTTCAATGGAAGGATTAAAAGGTAGGTCTTTATCGATTTCTTTCCAATGTATTTAGAGGGGTTTGAAACTCGGGGACTGTTAACCACTCCCAAGTGGAATTACCAAATACCTAATCAATTAGGAACACAAAGTGGAAGACATACTAACTGCCTTGGCAATTAGCAAGAAACAAAGAAATTTAATCTGCTTCCAGTGTGCTATGCTGAGAGAAATTAAATCATTTTAAAAGGAATTCAAAAAAGGAAACAGCGATTAATTTGTTATGATACTTATAGTTTCTCGTTGCTATCCAGGGCTGAATTGCTCGACGTCTGCTGTTGGCAGACGGGCTCCTATGAGGATGCCTCGATACTGCCAGACATTCATTTTATTGACTAGCAGAGGAATCCAGGATGCGCATCTTATCTTATTTGGGACTCGTCAGCTAGGTGTAGGTGCACCTCAGTGGGTGATGTTGTCCCGGCTGAGAGTCGAACCCAGTACCGATCAATTCAAATGTCAACGCGTTATCCACTGTCACTAGGGCACGATAGTCACCTCTGGTGCGACATCAGAGGTCGAGCGATTCGACCCTGTATAGGCAGCAGGAAATTATAAGTATCATAACAACTGGTAGTGGTTTCACAAACGGTAGCTATCGTGCCCCAGTAGTATAGTGGATAACATGTTGGCGTTTGAGGTGACGGGCACTGGTGGAAACAACATCAGCCACTGCGGTGAACGTACATCCAACTGACGAGTCCCAGATAGGATGAAATGTGCGTCCTGCATTCCTCTGCTAGTCACCAACATGAACATAGTAATTAGTTTGATTTTTCTCTAGAGACAATATTTTCAAATTATTACATGATCTCTACAACCCAAAGTTTCTGACCCATTACATTTTCATTCAGTCCAGTTACTTTTTATCCCTTGACATAGTTTCTTACATAATAAAATCATCCATACATTAATGTGTTGTCTAGCTGTTGGTTCTTATTAACATGGTTTATACGCAACCTTAGGGAAACTTATGTCTTTTCGGAGATTTGATCTCCTGTCATTCATCAGTAAGGTGAAGTTAGATTTTACCACTAAGCCATACAGATCGCATCTGAATACCTGTTCGAATAAGATAGTGTGCATAAATTGATCAGCGAATGTGTAGCTATCACATTCTACGTGCTCTTGTGACTGGACTAAATGAATTAGTATCATATGGTGACCAACAGCACTAACCGAAAGCAAACAAGCATCACTTTTCTTGCTAATCGTTATCATCTTCACAATAGGCAAACATTTATACTTTTCTCTAATCTATTCATTAAAATATTTATTACTGTTATTTATACTAACTAACCTCTTGTGTAGATTTGATTTGTTCATCAATAAAACTTGAGTAACGACTTAATATTTGTAGAGTTAACTTCCAAAATCTATGCATTAATTTATCTAAATAAATGCCTTTCATCCAACAACGATCAAGTTGACAAATTACTGTTTCAGTGACATCAAGTAAACATGCTAAAAATAAAAACAGAATGAAACAAAGACAACATGTATGCCATGTATGCATTGTGAAAACAAAACTGGATACGTAATTTATAAGAAGAAGACAACTTAAAGTGTTCCGATTAATCACAATAGTGACTGTAGTCCTACATGAACTATTGAACAGGTTCGTACACTATGCAATGAATCATAGTTATTAAGTCAAGGTTAGTGATACTACCCAGCTGCCTGAACCTCAGTAGGCTGTGCAGGATACAAACTCAAAACTAGCCGGTTCAGATCAATGAGCCATAGCTTCAGTACTGCCTACTATTAATCAAGGCATTGTGTTATCAAGTATATTTCCAGAGAGTGAAATTGCAAATAGGTAATCTGGTTGAAATGAACTGATTTATAATTTGATTCTGGGAGTGTACGGTTCGCATAAATTTCCGGAACAAATCAGATATGCTTTCTGTATTTCTGTCTACCACCTACCCGGACACGCTATAGGAATAGTTTGAAAAAAACGTCAAAGTGATTAAATCAAAACATGAAAATGACTTTAAAAGCCACCCTAGCAACAACTGAAATAACCAATTAGACTTTTCTATTTGACGCAAAACTGCCTTTCCAGCTGAAACAGAGAAGCCTAATTGATCATTTCGATTATTGCTAGGGTAGCCCTTTAGAGTCATCCAAAACATGACGGCCATCTATGAAATTTATGAATATTAGTCTGTCATAAAGCAAACTATAGTCTTTCCAATCTTAAAGACAGCAGAAATCAATGGGTAGAGGATTCAGATAGTATCGTTCAAACTTGATCACACTAGTCCAGACTTTTTCATACCTTCATAGTTTTACTCTCAGTCAGTGAGTTAACTTATTCCCACTTCCGTGTCTTTTTTGTTGTCCTGATGGGTTATGTTGTAGGTTGTCTGTATCATATCTAGTATGCAGTACACTTAAGTGGTTATTTTTTTTAACAACCCATAAAACATCAAATGTATTTTATTTTCCACACTGGTTCAGTCAGTCAGTTGAATAAGCGGCACTTATTATATATAGTTATCCAAGTTAAGCTAGTTAGTAAACAGGGCAACAGCTGACAAGTGGATAATTTTGTTAAGCTCGGTATTTCTTCATTGATTAGTAGATGAGTGAATGTAAGTCATGTTTTAGCCTTATCGACCTGGAAGTTTTTTTCAACTCTGACTACATAGTAGCCTAAGTCGTATACGGAAATGTAAACCTACTGGTTGGAATCTGTGCAATAACTGAGAGTCAATTATAATGACACGAATGCATCCAAAACTTATCTTCAGCTTATTCGTTATATTTGATTCACTTCCCCCTTTTCTCATGGAATAATATTAGTTCCATTTCTTGATCTTTTATATTTTGGTACCTTGTACTCTGATATACTGATGTGAGATATAGTAATGCCAAGCTGTATGCAAAAATACTGACTGACCTTAACTGTAATCCAGTCAACAAGACTATTAGATATCGTTGTCCAGGACACTTTAAATTAACTATTGATAATGTTGAGATTTTTTTTATTTTCAAGGAAAACAAATCTTCAAACTTACATTTTTGGCTGTTTTTGATTTCTTTTAAACCATTTTTCATAGAATTTTCAACATTTAAAGCGATTTCTTGAAATCTAGAAAATAGATTACCAAGGTAGAATGCTTTCACTATCTAAATCAAACAGCGATGGAGATATCACACAACAGAAACTAGCCACTCAGAGTATGCGTGAAATCCGCTCGACTCTAAGGAACTTTGGTTGTGTATAAAGTTTTTTTTCGAAAAATTCCTTTGAGACTGAACAGCGTTTTCACAAGCTAAAGATTCAGCTAATTCATCGAAACTATGAAAAATTTACCTCCTAACAGAATTTCAACCCTTTAAAATATCAATTAATTCTGAGATGCAATATCAAGATGACTTCTTTGCAAGGATAACACCTTTACAGGTATTATAAAAGTTGTTTTGAGTTATTTGAAACTTGTATAAATAATTCCGAATCAAGTCCAGGATTTTTAACCCAACTTAAGTAACAGATTCATACTATTGGGTAATCTTGTGACAATCACAGAGGGATCAGTTTGACTAACATTCTATCCAAGATACTAGGGTGCATAATTATGATGCGCCTAACCAGTGATCAAGAACAACCAACTCAAAGAAAAACTGATAGGTTTTAAACCTCAATAAGAGTGTACCGATCAGGTATTCTCCCTTCAACAAGCTTTGGAGCATAGACGTACTTACTGGTGATGGACACTTGCCAAAATCTCAACCTGGGGCCGACACTCGACTCTCTCGATAAAGAGATGTTATTGCTAGTGTTTGACTGACTATGTATGGAGTGCTGAGCAAGTATGTACTGCTAATTAAGACTCTTTATTCACACAACTGTGTTAGGAATTGTGAAGATTTGCCATGTGATATCTATCAAGAATGCTTGCTATCATCGTTCCTGTTTAACTTTGTTACTATTGGATATAACTGTACGCAATTCCAACTTTAAAGGGATTGACTTATTCTCAGAAAAGTGCCTGGGTAGCTTCGAGTACGCATATAACAGCCCTTTTAGGTAAACATGCTGACAAATTGTGGGATCTTTTGGACACATGGGACAGAAATCTGAGTATGTTTGACACGCGTTTTACACCTGTTAGACGTAAGATGATATTTTGGGACTGGTCTGCAACTACTCCTGGTTTAAGAATAGGGAGTGAGGTGGTTAAGTGTGTTGACCACTTCATATACTTTGAAAGCTGTAACAGCCCAAATGGGTTGGTGACTGGTAATCTCGGCTTGGATGCAAAAGAATCGTCTGTCATCTGCCAACCTGTATCGTTTCTAGCACCGGCGAGATATCCGACTACCTATTAAAAGATGAGTATACTGCGTTGCAGTCCGCCCTGTGGTATGATACAGCTGTGGGACACGGTCGTTGAAAATAAAAGATCTGAAGAGATTACAGGTTTTCGAACACAGGAACCTTCGCGGCATTCCTCACGTATGACAGAATTCCCACGTTAGACAGTGTACTAAGCAAAGAAGGCAAGTCAGTTGATGGTGTGGACCTTCACAGACTGAGGTGGCCTGGATATGTGTTGTGCATGCTAGGCCACCGCCTACCTCGACGTTCAGTGTTAGTTGAAGTAGGATTGGGTGGGAAGAATAGTGAGGGTGGACAGATCAAGGTGTGGCACTAGTTCATATGAAGTCTCTAACTGCTAGTGTGACAGGCATGTAGATCAACTAACTTGAGCCAATAGGAATCAATGGTTGGAGATTTTCGACGGCTAAAAGTCGGTCACAATTGTATACACGCTTTGGAATGTTTAAAATCCTGAACATTTTCTTGACTTCCACATAAATTCTTCTACATACTTTTTCCGCGTATGGTGCTGTGAGATGTAGCAACCTGAAGGCTAGTCATATCATCAGACAGTAATCGATCGAGTAATTCGAGAGATTATTCATGATCCTTCTAATTCATTAGTCTAAAATTGACTTACGCTAATGTGAACGGAATTAAGGTTGTCAAAAGTAAAACAAAAACAATGCATCACGGTAAAAAAAATTATTTTACCTAATCTGAAAATAAACTGGTAAACTCCATTTGTTCGTAAACAATGAATAGGATACATGATTACGTAAAGCAGTGAGTTGTTTAGATGACCAAGTTTTCGTTTCTATTACTTCGACAAAATGCATACTTACAGTATACAACTGAAATTAAATACGAAAGAAAGCGAAATTTAGTCAGGCCATCTGAGATAACCTCGGTGTGTGTTTGTGTAGACAGAACTTGGTGATAAAAATCGACCAGACAAAAGCGTTTCTTGAGGGAGTTGTGGCAATATTTCAGGTTGTTATTCATCATAGACTGACATCAGTTGGAGGGACAAAGGAAACCTAGGAGCACTGGACAGCTGTTTCGTCCTAGTATGGGACTCCTCAGCAGTGCGCGCCCACTACCCCGCCAGAGGTCGAACCCACGGCCAGCGCGTTACCATTGAGCCACTGGGTCAGAATCTAATGGTCCATATTTCCAACTTCTGCTAGCTCACGATATAGCGCAACCGCTAGGACGAAACAGCTGTCCAGTGCTCCCAGGTTTCCTTTGTTCCTTCAACTGATGTCATTCTACGATGAATAACAACTTGAAAAGTGTTTCTGACTGGTCTTGAAAATGATCTTTTTGTGTGTAGTACAACACTTCCTAAATTGACTGGTTTACTTGTAAAACTTACTGTAATACCCTTTTAAAAAACCATCACTAAAAAGAAAGGCAAAAGACTTTCTCAGTGGCCATATTTGACTTTTTTCATACCTAGTCTGAATCTAGCAAACATTATGCGTTAGGATAGATGGTAGGGTATGCAGAACACACGTTGCACCTGCATTGTTCCACGAAGGTCTACAACTTTACCTAGAACTCTATACTGTTCAAATGGTGGTCCCACTACAGTTAAATGTTACTACGGCGATGACGGTCAAACAAACGGAGTTCATATATCAGTTTTACTAAACAAGTGAAACCAACAAACAATAGTTTTATGAATGAAGCTATCTGAGACAGTAAGTATTTAGCAGAATGGTGTTACTGATGCTGAGTGACGCATTTAGGGTGAAATGAAACCCGGTTCACGACAAGATTAGAACCAGAGGTTTCCAGGTTACCAATCAAGCACTTCAAGAAACGCAGCTGCTGAGCAGATCTGTGCTTCAATCAACTGTACCTCTAAATTACACTGGCTTCCCCGCTAGGTTTTCTCGTCCCAATTCAAATCGAGCAGAATTAGAGAGGGGGAATGTCATATTGATTACCAAGCAGAATATCTGGTTCAACAAATTGATGTTATTCGTCCTGATTGGTCATCATTCAGCATCAATTAACAGCTTGTTATCATCTCAGTTTTGCAGTTTCATTCCATTCCAATCCAATCTTCTTCCTTTTTCTCTTTCAATTAATCCAAACGATATAATAATCATTTAGTTACGTATTTATGCTTAAAATGATAGTGAAAACAAATTGTATTGCACCAGAAACATCTACTTACAGCATAAAATCTGTCTGGATGACCTGGAGAAAATATTTCAGGTAAATTTTCACAAAGAAGATCAACTGCTTCAGGCCAAAATCCATTGACTAAACAATCGAAGTCTGAGAGAGGTTCACAACTACTTTAAAGTATACGAATAACAATAGTAACAATTGAATATATAACACATGAAGGACTAGGGTGTATGCCAAAAATCAGAATACTGGACATTTATTTTGAATGAATGAAATTTAAGGGGAATACACTGAATCTTGAAATGTTTTTGTTCTATAGCAAATAGCTATATGAAAAAAGCACAGTCCCATTAAATAAACAGAACAATGAATTAACATTCCTCATCTTAAATTTACTTTTCCTTTTTTTTGAAAACCTCAATGGTATTAATTTTCAGTACATATGGATATAAGATAAGAAACAATGAACACTATGATGCACATGACAGCTGGAACTCTTCAGGAGTGAAAATCCATGACCATAGGCGATGTCAAACACAATGAGGAAGAATTACCATTCAGAAAAAGGATTGTTATTTAATGACCCAAGTTATCAAACTTCTATCGATTCGCGACATAACCCGACAGTCATCAAGTATCTTGTTCTTAGGCTCAACTTGGTAGAGCCCAACCTATATCAATACGTGAAGTCAATCACTTCTTCATTCTGAAATTAACCCTTATAACAAAGAATTATTACATTAAAATTATTGTATTTGATCTGTATACACACAATGTGAGGGTGTGCCTTCAATGGTTGAAACACGAAAGTACAAAACCAAAGCCCTGAGCATGATTATGTTGTTAGGGGGGAATCATAAGGGTAGTCACATCAGGATATAAAGTAAGATTATGATAGCATCAATGGTCATCAGAATAAGTTGTGTACGAAAGGTTGCACGAAATTCTAGCAATTAATAGTTAGAGAATTTACATTACATAGCTCAAAATGAGTTACAATGGCGAAGCTGTATTCACTCCTAACCATTATTCTTTTGTATTCATGTTCTTCTTCGTGTTTGTTATGTCTCACCCCTTCTGTGATATTGTTACGTGTGGCGATCTAGGGTCCATGCAATTGTGCGTAATGAACTACATTTTTTGTTTATTATAATATCTGTAATTTCCCGTTGTTATACTGGATCAAATTGCTCCTCTGCTCCAATGCAGATGCTTCGATACTGTCTGAATATTGATTATGTTATAGTTTATTTGATGGCTAGCAGTGAAATCCAGGAGGAGCGTTTCTTCCTATTTGGGATTCGTCAGCTGTATGTACATGCACTCCAGTGAGTGATGTTGTTCCTACTGAAACTAGAACCCAGTACCAACTGCTTTAAACGCTTAAGTGACATAGTGGATACAGATCTGGCGTGTGAAGCGACTGGTACTGGGTTCAAGTGTCAGTGGGAACATCACTCACTGGGGTGCATGTACGCCCAGCTGACAAGTCCCAAGTAGGAAGAAACGTACGTCCTGGATTCCACTGCTAGCCATCAAATGAACTATATTTCTATCTATCTGTTTACCTGAGTAATACATTGGAATTGAAGCTTTCTCGATTGATATAGGTAACTGAATGATATTGCTAACGCTGACCTAATTAATTTCAAAGACCATTAAATTTGAATTTTAAGATCTACTGACAACTACTTTATGATTATTTGACACTTTAAAAACGAGTAACAGATGAACTGAGCTAGTTACAGATACACTGTTGCCATGATACTCAAAGAGTTCATTTTTCAAACACAATTAACGTTGAATTTACTTCAAAGTTTCCAAATTGATTCGTTATACGCATAAATTAGCATAAGATTTACAGTAACACAGTGAATGCTGGTAAGCGTGTACCCGATACAAATACCTTGATTTTAAGTCACAATACAAAGATTCATAAAAGCAATCAGAAAACTACCTGAAGTAGAAGGGTTTTGCACGGTTTATAACAAATGAGATAAAGCACTAGTATTAACAGTTGGTAATAACTAGAACTTAGAATTTCCTACCCGCCACGAAAGAATACGAAGTGTAATTTTGTCTATCCAACCATTCAGGTTAATCATCCAGTTTACATAATTCAAACAATCCGGTTAGTTTAGTTAGAAGTACATGGACACTCGTAATTTATAAGAGTGAAATGATATCAGTCATTCTAGTCTATGCAGTAATAACAAAAAAGGATTTTAGTGGTACACACTAGTCATATATGCAGAACACAGTCAGAATTTGATTAGAAACGTGGACATGTCTCTAACTTATACATGTTATACGTATCAGACGAATCTTTATTCAGTGTACTCATGAGTGAATATGCCCAGTATTAACTGGGCATGTTCACTTATTAAAGGCTAGAAAAAGGCTTAGGATAGGTTTTACAAAAAGTAGTATCCGTTCATCAAGTCTCTAACCGTTAGTTTTAACTCTTTAGGAACTATCAGGTTGCGGTCCACATGAAAACTGAGACCAGTAGTGATACGGTTCACAATCGATCGCAATGTTGCAGATGTATCCACCTCTTCTTATGGTTTCTATAATTTTAATGATATTATTCACATTTTTTCGACTTGTAATTTAATACATTGATAAGGCGTGTGTGGTAACCAGGACCATCACGCAGGTAATTCCAGGTCCACTGGAAATATCAACTGACTGAACTTAACATAAGTTAGTTCACTACATTTTATAGAGCCTTCCTCAGCTCAATAATTTATCGTCGTGTAGACAATAGTTTTGTGATAAATCAGAGACAAATCTTCTCACTGATAAATTTTTGTCCGGAAAGAATTCATCAATAGAAATGCTACATGTGAAGTTATTACAGTCTAGTGATAGTGAACTTAATTATCATATGCAATTTTGAAAAGGATAAATTTCGAATACATGTATTATGCTTGCAGATAAACTGGTCAACTTGATTACGTGACGAGATTTATAACTGAAACTATAACTTCTTATGCATATCACTTACAAGACTTCATCATTCTGCTTTCTTATACCAACGAGTCAGTCACTGAATTAGGTGTTCATATACCGTTGCGTTCGTAGCATTAGATATATCATGGAATCAGCACGTCAGTAACGCAGAAGTCAGGCATAGAGGTTTAGGTAAAAGAGGTAAGTCAGTTAATGAGATCGTAAATCTTCATTAACACAAAAAGCTGGAATGTTACACAAGCCTAGTAAACGTCTATCTAATCGAACAATATTAGGTGAAGGAAATTTAGACTGGAAAAAAGTTAAATTACAGAACCAGTTCATGAAGTATGTGACTATTAATCTGAACCAGATTGAGAAATGTAAACTCCCAGCTTAAAGTTCATGTAACAACCAAAATGGATGGTTGAAGAAAATGTAGCTACACATTATCTTCCCCCTAATCGTCACATGACATTTCGTTATTGTTTCGCCCGCTTTCTTCTTATGACTTCTACGACTTTTGATTACAGTTTCCTTGTTTAATTCTCTACCTTTCGTTTTGCTGCCTTGTATCTTGTATATGATGTGATGTGTGACAACAATGCTGATACTGACTGATTTACTTTATTAAAGACAAGACGAGATATTGGTGAAACTTTCCCCGGTTTTTTGTTTGTCTTACAACTGATCTGTTTACATATATGAATAAGCAGGTTGTAACACTGATAACAAATACTCAAATAAAATAAGAGACATACACATTCTTTACAATTCGATGATTATTATTTCTGAACAGTAAGGCACAAAACAATAACTAATGAATAAGAAAAACGGATAAAAATAGCTTCAAAACAATATCATAAATTGTCCTGGTAAATTCCTGTTTTCCGTTGCTTTTCTTCTGAATACTAGACGTGATTCAGACAGAAAAAAACACCTCACTAAGCTATTCTGCATAAGTGTAATACACAATTCAGTAACATTAGTACACGTCCATGCAGTAAACTAAGGGCCACATTTAATGCATAAGCGTTTATTTCATTAACAAAAATTGGTGGAGTGAGGTTCGGGTGCGTTTATCCATTGTTCGCTTAAACTGATAAACCACACCCCAATTAATTAAACCGTAACAAGCAGAAAATCTTGATAACAATCTATCGAAAGTAATAATTATTACTTACCTTTCTGAGGAACACTTAACAATATGTTCCTTTACAAGACAAAGTTGTGAATCAAGAATTTGTAGCGCTTTCGTATACATTGAATTCAAAACATCAGCAGCTACAGTAATATCAGAACCTGCATGAGTTAGTTCAGGTCGGGGATAAAAATCTACGGTTAAAATAATCAATGGAAAAAGCAAACACAACGGCAATAACAAGAATAATAAAAGTGAGCCAATCACAGTTAAGAAAAACAAGTAAATATAAGCGGGATGAATAGTTTGCAATTAAAAAACAGGCATTTAACTATTTATACTATATGAGTTTTAGTTCTCGAAAGAAAGTTTATGAATATATAGGAATATGTAGGAACTGAACTGGACAAAAGTACCTTGCGTTGTCTACTTTTTATGGTGCTTTCCAACTTGCATAATCTCCAGTTTCAATAAGATATCCGACAACACATGAAGAGGTGAGTGGAATTCGCTGCTGTAAAAGTTAGTTATTCCAAATCATTAGATTTGAGACCGTATAGAAACATCCACCACAAATGTAATCTGAAAACCTCGATGGTTATTAAACAGATAGGCACTAATAAATACGTTAAAAAACATGATAAAAGGACGTTGGGAAGTCAAACGAGAAAAGTAAAAAAGGAGAAAAAATAGATAGTTGGTTCCACATGTTTAAAGAAAGCGATCATTGCATTCACAACTTTCGAAAAATTGAGAAGACAAGGTCACAACATAATTCGTGAGCTACGTGATCTCACGGACCGTAGGTAAAGAGTCTGTGGCATCACCATGTGCTAATTCAACACAGTTATCTCTCGTCCCCCAGTGCTATGGCATGCAATGGCCACTCCACTTCTTTCACCTAGTTCCAGGGTCTGTAGACAGTTAACCGTATGTAAGGCACTGGAATGGGATTTTTGACACTGAAGTCTGTTTTGAAGATAATACTAACCAGGGAATCCCTACGTTCGTCATGCCTAAGGACATGATGTTGCATCGTGAAATTGCTTATTTGGAGTTTACACTAAATTTTGGAAGTAGTTCAGGGATAACTATGGTCGGACATACAAAATGATCGTACATCCTCAACAAGCAGCGTCCAGGTTACGCAGGTTAAGAGCGAATTTTCCCACACCAAAACCTTGTAAAACTGATCTTCACAAAGAGAATGGTGTCAAAAACTCGCCAAAGGTGACTCAGATCACAGTATACAGTTGTGGTCTTCGATGAATACCTGCACAAGCATTCATACAACGACCCAGATACACTAATGTGGTTGTCTAGATGGACAAGTGATGCATTTATGAGATTACGCCTAGATAAGTCACGCCTAACGACATTTCCATTGGCTATCGCTGCACTGTGACTCTGACAAATACGATAACTCTATGGGTCACCATTTAAGTACAAATGTTAGTGTGAATTGTCTAGTGAACTAAATGTGCAAATTGATATTGGGACTAACTTGAATACAAGCATTACAACTAGCATACACGTTATCCCTGCGTCATTCAGAAATACTAATTTGAGTAAATCCTAAGTGGGAACCAATTAATTCCATCAGTTCGTCCTTAAGAGTGAGTGCATAATCACACTTTGGCTAGTCTTCGAAAATCACTTCGCGCTTAGACGCTGCATGCCATACTCACAGATACTGATATCCAGATGAGTAGGCGCTATTTGGGTGACCTGTATATTGTCACATGGCAAAACTATTTCATCGACACACTCGATATCGAAACGCCTTTCTCCCAGTTGGTATCGGATCAACACCAACACACACTTCATTCAAAGCTGTTTCAAAAACGTCATCGATGGCGTAGTTGAAGAGGGATGACGAAATCGTACATCCTTGCCTAACCCCACTTTTAGTTTGGAAGAATGTGGAAAGGTAGTTGCATGCTGTCATTCTACTTCAAGTCTTTTTGTACAGAAACTACACAATGTTGACAAACTTCCCAGGAACAGTCCCGTTTAAAAGATCACTGCAAAACACAGTCTTGTTTGTTCAACGAATCCACGTTAGACCTAATATCAAGAAACGCAACGATTGTTGGTCTTCAATGTATGGAATAGCATTCGAGAATCTGGTGAAGAGTGGATACGTTGTCATTGCATCGACGAACTCAACAAAACCCCTCTTCGTTAATTAGCTTTTCACGAGTTTTGAAGGGTCTGATAAGTATGATTACTGTTGATATTTTCGAAATCTTTATGCAGGTCTTTTTTAAACATTGAAGCAGTGACAGTTTCATTTTAGAGTATCAGGGACTTTCGATTTGTCATATTTTCTCGAACAGCCAGTTCAGGTACATACTACAATCTCAAAACATCTAAAAGTGGCCTTGGTTGTGTGAATTATGGTGTCTCAGTAATTGAATTCTTTTATGGGTCTCAGATTCTTTAGATAGCTAGTTGTTAGCTGGTTATGCAGTACAGGAATCTGAGATTGAAGTTGTCGCAACAATCGACCAGTAAAATTACTATTTAAAGCGCTTTGTGCAACGTTACAAGCGTCCTTGAAGGTTGTTAGTCGTCACATGGTCTACCCTATAGATTTTTCCAGTGACATTAGGATTCCTAGTGCGAATGGTTTGGATGAGATAGAACAGCTCCTGGTTATTGTCAAACACAGTTACCTTTTTCATCTCACACGTTTAGACTATCAAGGTTTGGGGTTTTTACACATGTTATTGTAATCTCTATTTCCATTCCTATTCATACAGTCAACAAGTTTTGAAGTGTTGTTCTCTCAATGACTCGGATAAGAGTTTAAAGATATGCATACCATAAGTGTAGAAAGGTTACATGCGAATAATTATCAATAAAAAGCATAATAATAACAAACCTGACTAAGCTTTTCATGAAGTACAGATTTACGATAGATCAGCATTAAATCAGATAATTTATCAATAGCCAAGTAAATAGAGATAACTTGTCTTAGTTGTTCAACAGAACGTCTGGATATTGTACAACTATTTGCATCCGATATAAAACCACATGCTTCAAAGCTTTCCTTTAAGCGTGTTTCCAATTGTTCTTGAAGGTTGACAGTAATCCAATGGATACGCTAAAATAAAGTTATTTTTTAAAAGATTACTAAGAGTTAGATTTGATAACAAATCGGTATTAGATGTGTATAAAGTTGATTATAAGAATAGATGTTTGAAGATGAGCGACACATATTTCATGTTTATTAAAACATACTGAAAAAGAGGATCTGTTAATTTTAAGATGAATAATGCTCTTGTAGGGTAGGGATTCAAATATTTGCCAACCGATTATGCCACTAGAGAGTTTACTACACTGAATCATTCAGAATGTGAATAAGATAATAGCTAGTATCTTCTCATTCAAACCTCAATCCTTTTTTCAGCGCTGAAAGCAAGGCTTTACGTATGAATTTACATGTTCAACAGCAAGTTAATAAGAAGTGATCCTCTTTTGTAAGAAAAAGAATACTATTCTTTTAAAGTCCATCAGCTGTAATCAGTGCTGAGTATAGATATATATTTAGACAGTGGGTAAATACCATTCTTTTATACAGCAAGTTAACAGCATGAGATTACTCCAACATGTTTACTACCAATGCAATTCATTATACATTTAACTAAGTTAAAATATAGTTAGTATCCTACGCATGTTTCTCTCTATAAATAAAAACTGATAAGAATGAAATACATGTTGTAGACATCTGTCGATTACAGACCAATATTTGAAATAGGGTAATACATGCGGCGTTCATAGGCGCGTATACCTAACTTTCAGCCTGAATTCACTCTATCCACTGTATAAACAACATTAGCGTCCACGCAATAGCAAGAAGGTATCAGTCTACAATAAGAAATTTTAAATGACTCCTATATATTGCATGAATCGACTTGTTGATTGTGAAGACAGAAGTTTAAGTAGATGGAGCTTACTAGCTGAAGTGTTTTGTCTGTTGTCTACTGGAAAAGAAATGTCGATTTGATGACAAGAAAAAAATCAGTGCATTTAAGCAATATCTTTAACAATCAGGAGTAAACAGATATCCAGTAAATAGATTAGTAACTGAATTTTTCTACCATATCATATTAATATATCAGACAGCCGAAACGATAGAAAAGATTTATAGGTAAGGATACGGGTGATGATGATGGTTTAGTTCTCTTCTGACTTAATGTATTTGTAGTATTGCAGCAACTGATTTAATTCGGAAGTATATAATAATATTCAACATACTGGTATACTCGAAATGTAAATGAGCGATGATTGTTCTCGCTCTACCCCAGTAACTTGTACTTCAATGAGTTGAGACAAAGGCTGGCGTTTGACTGAGAGAACGAATTTAATCGGTAAAATTTACATCAAATACATGAGTATATTCTAGGAGAGTAATTAACTGCCTTTTCCTCATTGGTTCAATGAAACGGCAAACTGATGGTATAGGCAACATGGACTAAAATTTGAAGAGTAAAAACGGCGACCTAAGTGACTAACGTGCTATCATATGTCTCAAGTTAACTGAATTCATGAGACTATTGGAGTGTTACCAGATGAACTGAACAAATTATTAGGATAGTTATTGCTTATATTTGGTGAAGTTAGGTTATTCTTAATTGACAAAATTATAGTAACATGTTTTTTTTTTATTATAAACTGTCTACAGAAGACCATATTGGTGCTCGTCATAAATGTGATAAAAGCAGGTTTTAAACAGTCCCCTGCTTCGCATCCGTTAATAATGAACCCCTCCCCCCCTTTAAAACTGACCAACTCCTCCACAAATCAAAAAAATCGAGTCATTGAGGCCAGCAGTACCAAGCTAAGCGAAGAATTTTCAAATTTCATTCACAGAATACACCCAAATTAATGCAGTATAAAAGGGGTAAGAATGAAACCTACTGTTAAGACCACAAACGTTCCTACAGTGTTACATTTGATTTCCAGTAGGAATGGATCAAGGTCGGTCTTATCCTAAATTTGTTCACTATCATTCAGTCAACCTCGAAGACTAGCCAGCATTGAGTTATTCCTTATTTAAAAACTGGATAGTCTGCCTAATTCAGTTTAATAGAAAGATCAGCTTGTTAATAGTAAGGCGTCTATTTAACTGCGACAAAGATATGTGCATGCTCGAAGATCAGAGGAAATATTGTCCCAAGTGTAGGTCCCAGACAAACTCTGCTAACAAATATCAAGTGCTAAACTCATATACCCCTTTTCATGCTTAAAAATGACCTACACTGAACATGAAATGTAATATTATCCTAGTGCAGAAGCAAGTTAATCACCTTCGTATATTGAAGGATAAATAAAAACATGAACGAATATGCGCGTAAAAAATTGAATAATTTCAACACTACCGGCTTCAACGAATGTAAAATTTGGTGATCATGACACTTTTTAGCGAAAAATTGCAATTTGATATATTCACTAGCAACACGATCCATACGTTGTCCAATGTCTTCATGTAAACTGCGAAAATCAGAAAACAGTAAATTGATTACCTAATAAAAACATCATTTCCTACTAGTTTAGATTTTTAAGAAACGTTTGAATCATTTTCACTCTGACCAAGAATCGCTTCTTCAGACTGACAGAGTAAGGAAAATAAAAATGTGTTTAAAATAGTTCATCATGAATAATACAAAACTACAAATGACGTCTTCACGTCAGTCAGCCATCAGGAAATAATGAGAAACATTAAGCAATATTTCTGAAGAAACCTGCGTGGGAGAACACTGCAGCTCTTTGAAAGAGATGTGAGACGAAACCTGCATAACCATGTTGGGAAGGAAGAAGAAACAAGACAAAAAATGGATCTCGACGGAAACATGGAATCTGATAGAGAAGGGAGAGGAAGATAGTGAAGCAGAAGATAAACCATTGCAACGATGAACAACAAAAAAGAGGAACTGAATACAACTTATAAAACACCACACTAGACGAAAAAGTGAAGAAGAGTGCGCGCAAAGACAAAACACACTTGCAACTGAAGCAGAACAGGCTGCAGGTAAGAGACACAGAGACCTGACAACATTGTATCAAATAACCAGGTTACTATCTTGCAGGGAAGAGATCAACACAGACGAAACCAGTGAACGAAACTTAGTTATCAACAAGGAGAAACAAAAAAAACACAATGGGTTGACCACTTCAGAAAACTCTTAAATCGACCACCACACACATCTGCAACTCGCCTGAGAAACACCACCAGCAACCACAGAACTATCAGTGAACACAGGCCCTCCAACAAAAGCAGAAGTGAAGTCCTCAACATCATAAAGTTGCTGAAATCCGGGAAAGCAGCACGACCAGGTGCAATTCCACCAGAAGCACTGAAAACACACGCAGAGACAACAGCGAACATGCTCACATCACTACTGCAGAAGGTTTGGAAGGAAGGATAGGTGCCTGCAGATTGATTGTAAGAAGGACTACCTTATCAAACTCTCAAACAAGGGAGACCTAAGTCTTTGCAAGAACTGGCGAGGAGTCATGTTCCTGTCTACCTCAAGCAAAATATTAAGCCGCGTTATCCAGGAGAGACTGAAAAATGCACTGGGTTCAAAATTACGACCGGATTCAGAAATAACAAATCATGTGCGGATCAAATAGCAACGCTACGCTACGCATTATCATAGAACAGAGTATAGAGTGGCAGTCAATTCTCTACCTCAACTTCAATTTTGAAAAGGCCTTCGACAGCGTCGAAGCCCGGTTCAAAAGACTGCAGGGAACAGTGTGCAATGGAGACATGCTACTGAAAGTCTATGTCCCACTAGGAACCCAAGGGACAAATAATATTAATGATAATCATTAGTAATACAAAGTGACACTGCTCTATTCTTACTAACAGAGGTTGGTCAATTGCATCTAGTATTACAGCGGGAAATCACATGTATCAATAAATGTTTATGTCACTGCAATTTCAACGTGAAATATTAATAGCTAACCCCAATTAGTACAACCCAGATGTAGGACTTCGTGAGTGCTAAAATATGACACAGAAATATAGTGCATAACGTATCAACTAGATACGCAAATGCAGTCGACAAACTACGATGTGTACTGAGGAACAAACAGGTAAATCGGTTACTCTTCGGTGACAAAACTGTATATATATTACACTGATTATCAAAACACAGTGATCTATTTATATAAGCATTACTTCTCTAGTAGAGGTCCTTTAAACAGCTGAATAGCGCAACTTCACGGAGTATCTGATAAGATAGTTGAACAATCCACACCTGAATCCCAAACGGAGCACGAACTCTTCTATAGTTGATGACTACCAAAAAAACGCAACACCTGGTTTTCATGGTTTTGTGTTAATCACGCTTGAATATACAAAACTGCTAGGAAAAGCAATATTATAAAGTGATCGTGATTGATCGTGCTGAAGTGATGATCGAATGAATGGTTAATTGATACGTTGAATATGGATATGATATAGCATGATGTGGTCAACTGGTTAGTGCTCACGACGAAGATACAATCGATTGACTGATCGCACTCGATATATGACTGACTATATCTAATGACCACAAAAACTGACGAATTGATGACATCAAATCTGTTGCTTGTATACAATGAAAGCAACTCAAAATACTATGAACAAAAATTATGCAACAAAATATAATTATAAGAATATATTTAATTATAGTCTTAGCGTATTTAGAAAACTGAAACAAGATTGTACTCCAGTCTAAGACCACTTTTAAAATATATTCTTATAATAATTAAATCAAACTTAGTGCTCACATTTTTTTTAAATAGAGCGAGAATAAGCTTTTGAATAAATCGATTTTCTTTCAAGGTTTCACATAATCTGTTTACAACCCAGAACAATTTTTTCGAGGATAATAGGAACGACTTTCGAATCATAAGCGTTAGATAAACAAGAATATTGATCATAATAATAATGATAACAAGAGTGAGTGGTAATAATGATAAGATTAACAATGAGAATTGAGAAGATAGAAAAGATTCAGAATTATGCTATTTTAAACAGGACGAACGAGCATTACTAAGAAGCTTGGTAACAGTGTAAAACTAGAGAAGGCTAGAGTATTAAGTGGATCAGTAACAATGATAATGGCAATGGAGATAAGGCATTTGCCTATTAAGCAAAGAAATTCAAGAGGGATAGAATAGGGATAATGAAAAGGTAAATACGCTAAGCGAAGGAAGAAATAAAATGAGAAAACAAAACACTAGTAAAAATAAATAAGTTTACAAGACATCAAGACTTTTATCATGGTAGATTCAGTGACTGCCATTTCTTTCTGCACACGTCGGCGGTTCATTAGTTATGAACTTCTATCAAGCTATCTAGTTGACTATTAACTTTTGTCGAAAATGATGTAATCCATCCCTAGTCCTTTTAATATTCATTATCAATTTGTTACCCCGTTTATTTGACCAAGTTAAATTATTCACTCTGTGTTACCATGCTTTTTTCAATGTCTATCTATATTCCTTCGTTGCGTAATAGTACATAAAATCATGCATGTAGAGTAAAAAGCTGATGAATCCTATTGAAATTTATGGATTCGATAAATCTAGCTTTAATAAAGTTTTTTGCCTGCCTTAAATTTGTATCGGGAAACCAATACTCCCAGTAATGACTATGGTTTGTATGTTTATAAAATGTACAATTGGTTAAGAGTAAGAGTAAAGGTTACAATAAAGACAATGACCAATATATTGTAAGGGTTAGGATATCAGGCAGACAAATAGATTAACGTAGAACTCATCAAAAAAAGTGTACCAGTTCATGAGACAAAAATTTACAACAGCAAGCAACAAAAAGGTGGATAGGAAGTCAGAGAAATGAAAATCAATAAAAGTGTATGAGAAGAGAGAATATAAATAAAATGTTTAAAACTTTGCAGATGACACAGAATCCCTACTTATGCGGGATTATGACCAGTTTTAAACCATGTCACCAAGGTAACTCAACCACTGATTCCGATCGTCTTAATGACTATAGTCACATGGTCTACATCTCCCTACATATTAGATATAGATCATTTTTAGACCGTTAGTTGGAGAATACAACTGTACATGTAACAAATTAAAATGGTAAACCTGAGAAAAATTTTTCATGATGATGACGATGTATACTTATAAACAACATGTAGGTGTGTTAGGAGCTAAAATGACCAGAATTTGACACTGTAACGATGAAAGAGTAACCTTTAGTGCTAAACAGAGACTATCATAGTGAATACACATGCAATCTTAAACTTCTTAGTGAGAACATATAGACTAATAGTGACTTTTTTGAATTCTTATTCGACTGTCTGTTATTTGATGATAAGAAATTCATAGTTATGGGTCACTTATATCAATGATTGAGTTGAGGTCGGTGGTCCCCACTAGTTAGCAATTATCTCTTTTTATATTGAAAGTTGGTGCTGAATAGGAATTATTTGATCGTCTCTATGCGATTGTAGCAATTAGCAACCACTACCGATTAACTGAGTTGCAAGTCTAAAAGTATCGCCTATGTATTTTTATTACCTGACTTAGTCGCACACTGTGCCGAGTACCATATACATTTGGTTTTTTTCTCCAGAAAATTAATTAGCTTTCGATTAGAACCCAAGGAACCGCCGTTCACTAATTGTACAACACGAAGTTTGATTGAACTCATCCTTCGATGTATTTCAATTGACAGAGAAGATAATGTCATCGACAAAAGATGACTATTAATACTTGTACAAGAATAACTTACGAACAGTCAGCGTAGAATTCAACTGGCCATGGATCCAATTCATTATTTGCCTCCATTGACACTTTATCATCACCATCTGGTTTGACATGATTAAATTTATACTGCAACTGATCATCAATTTGTTCTTTATTGACTATACGTTGATTTGGTTGGGTTAACCAACGTTCTAAACGTGATACACATGTATCTAATGTGAATAAACTATTGGCAAAATCCTATAGAAGAAAAAATAAACTAAAATATTTAGAAGGAATGATATGGTTCAAAAAAGAAACGATAACAAAATGGTACAGATGCAGTTTGTCCTTATTAAAAAAATTTCCTACCTAGATTTTGAATTCATTATTACTATTCAGTACAGCCTATTTACCTGCGGTCTAGTCTATTTTTGTTTCTTTCGAGATATACTACTGAACAACACGAGTAGTTAGAAACCGTTTACATTGGTTTGTACATTTCGCTAGCCGTTCGTTTGGGGTTAAGCTCATCAGTAGCGTATCCGAACAAATCTCAGAAACCCTGTTGACACAATAGTTGGGCAGTTGAGAGAAATGTCAACATGGACCGTTCAATTTGTAATAATTTGCATTTCATTGATGAATTTACTGTCGCCTTATTCAGTATGCATCTAGATGAGAGATTTAGTCAGTTGAACCAGTCCAATTGACAAGATTATTGTCTTCATGCTGAGCCATATATTGTTTCTATTACAACAAAGCAATAGCTTTTTTGTCTTAATCCTGTAAACACATATAAATTTGAGTCATAAAGCAAGCTACAAAAATGTACATATGTTTACCTCTGTTTGAGCAGTAACCCAAACATATATCACTTTCGTTTTCTTTATAACTCCAAAGTGTTATTGTGTGATTCTTTTGATGCTCGTTAAGCTTAGTCTTAGGTAAAAAAGATAGGCAAACTGATCAAGTTTCAAACCTACATCAACTGAAGTGACTTTGACATTTGTTATGCATGCCTAATCACCATCTACTTCAATGAACTATGCCACATAAAGCGTGAAGTCAGTTTAACAGATATCTAACTTAGCCTGAGCCATTGCAGGAAAATATAGACTTCCAGGTTGAGACCTATTTGAAAACCAGAAATGATGCTTAAAGACTCTCGGTGATTCGGCATCTGTTCCTTTTCTAGGCTGATACATCATACATTATATTGCTTTACCATCTGTTCTTTGTATCTGGTCATATTTTCGCCATTTCCTTGTCTTTTGTCTTGTTTTCCTGTATCCTTATGCGCTGATGTGAGGTTCAACAACTAGGAACACTATGTAGTAATGCAAGATTCAATAATCCTATTAGTCGATTGATACCATTATTGCATAAAGTGCGTTCAGAAATAAAATTAAAAAAAACAAACTAAAAACAATGAATAACTAACTGCAACTTATTTAGCTATGTACTCAGCAATCGATCAAACATATTATACGAGAGTCAGCGATACCACTTAACTGAATAAATATCGAGAGGAGGAAGGTGATATGAGCATACAATCCACCAGTTATAAGTTAGCTGATGAGATCATTTGTCAACAGCTTTAGGTAATAATCAATACAGAAATAAACAGACTACTGATGATAATAAATAGTGTGACAGCTTGAATAGGTAAACAACAGATTCAGAGGTTCTCGAGGAAAATATGAATATGTTTAGTTAGAGAGGAAAGCTAAGTATTTCCTGAAAAAAATGAATACAGTAGTAAGGAATGTTTGTACATCAAGATGTAGAAGTTTTGGTGAAAGTATTCATCATATTAATGTTGCTTGATTTGAAGTTATCCGTCATTATCCTCAATAAATAAATGAAACTATTTTATTCAGTTGGTGGTGATCAGCAGTAGAATCCTGGATGTACGTTCTGTTTGGCACTCATCAGTTAGATGTATCTGAATCCCAAGTCAGTAACGGTGCTCATATAGGGAAATCAAAAGTATTGATAAGTAATTGATGAAAACATGATTCAACAATTTCAAAGGGCAAGAATACAAAGCATACACATATTACACAGATGGCTAAATGAAATACTCATTATGAACAGGTAAGAAGCAGAAAGCGAAAACTAATCGCAGTATATATAAAAACACAAACTTGACAGCATTCATATACTACGAGATAGATTGTAAAGGAAAAACTGTTTTTGAAGATTAATCATATAAATAGGTATGGAATTGAATGCAGTATAGTGGTTACTTTATGCTATCACACATACCTTTTCATTCTTGATTTGCTGAAGAGACTTTAACTTATTTGATAACTCCTGATCAATCGATTCTAATTCTTCATGAACAGACTGTATAAAAGAAAAGAACCATACAAGGATAAAACAATTCAACTCAACTGACTTGTCGACTACGAATATTCTATGCAATCATCAATTCCGCAACAAGTAAGAAGATCAATAAACAACAAGTGGTTTACTTCAATTTAGCTTCATTGGTATGCAAAAGTTTGCGAAATTCAAGCAAATACAGAAAAATAAAAATCTTATGTGGTGAAATACATTAAGAACACAGGTATGATGCACTCAAAAGAACTTGGGGGACTTCTAAGGTTACTGATCAACTAGGAAACCTATTTTGGAGGATGGAGGAATTCTACAGATGTAAAAATATGACAAACAGAAAAATCAACATAGAACCTGGCACAGAAGTACATCAGTTGAAGCCGCAGTACCTCATGCAAACAAGAAATGTATAGCGAAACGGATATTGAGGCAGAAAAACGTATATGAGAGCGAAGGGAATAAATAGATGAAGGTTAACAAAGTGTTCAAGACTTTTAGGATGATAAAGAGTGTATACATCTGTGGTATATCACCAAGAATCCCCAACCAATGATTTATATTAGCTCAAAGACCTTTCTACACGCTACCCATCAACAGTCAAAGACTTGGTCGACTGGCACCACGTCTTAGTCTGGTTACCCTGAGCTTTCTCCGAGCCCATCTCTACTTTTACTAACATCATGAGGGGAAGTAGGTGGCAGCTTGGTTTGTGCAAAACATGCTCAAGTAACTTCAGCCGGTTAACGTCTCACAACCCTATAGACTAACTTGCCTAGTATCCTCTACATGATATTGCTGTTGTTCACACGGTGATTCCAGCATGTGAGTAACGCTAAGAAAACACCTGTAATAGCTTCATTTCAAGACAGGATTTATTCCAACTCACACTGATCAGTATAAAACAGTTCCAATGATAGTTTTTTCTGAAATAGTTAGAGATAATTTCATTTGATTACCGGCAAATTGCGATGAACAGTCAGACTGAGTAACTCAACGTTTGTAAAAGCTTGTCAGTGTCCAATTTTATAGAAAAAGCCTACAAACAACACAACACTAGACGCGTTATTTCTTCTGGCTAGTGCGAATGAAATTTACTATCTTCGTATAGCGTGGTAACAATTACAGTATTAAAAAGGACAGCAATCATATACTAGTTAAACTAACTGTGAACGCTAGTTACATATACTCTTACAGACATCATTTATAGTCGAGTTACAGTAGTAAAAAAATGCTAGAGCATGATCAATTTGTATTATTTGGCTGTAGAGATACTCGGCGATTCGTTGGTGTCTATTAACACAGTCACCGTATGCGCATGATACTCTCTGGCTACCCAAACCTCAGTAGGTGGAGCGGGGCTCCAACCATTGGCTGATAGTTATCTCTCCCTAGGCCACTGAATCACAGCCATCCATCCGAATTAACATAGGGCCAAGCATTACTGCGTAACCGTTCGAGTTGTCACACCTCATATCAGTACATCAAGTAAAAAGGCAGTGAAGTGGAAGATGAAGAAAGGAAGAATGAGAAAATGGTGAGATTCAGCACAGCATTAAGATGAGGGTAATGTGTGTACACATCTGCGCCACTAACTTTGGTCCTGAGTCATATTACCTAGTCTCCACCCACTCGTTTCTCTTGTCCCATGGACCACAACCGGCCAGTCTGCATCGTCCTGCATGGCTGAAACCAACAAACACTTCATACATTGATGTCATGTTTTAGTCTGACCGCCTTGAGCCTTTTTTCAGCCTGAACCTATTTCGGCCAACATTGTGTGACGAGGCAATCGGCGACTAGGCATACGTTAAACGTGTCCTAGCCAGACAGCCATCTCAGTCGATGAAGGTTCACAACCGTGTCAACTGACTTACCTCTTCTCCCAAAAACTCTACTCCTGACCTGTGCATTTCTCACTTGGTGACATCACGGAATATGGGCTATATTATGAAGGTAACGGTGGTCAAACACTGAAGCTTGAACTACAGCTTTTGGTATCTATTACGAAAAACCGTATTTCGATTCTTATCAACTTTAAACGTACACTTAAGATACTTGTAATTTCCTGTTGCTTCACCGGATCGAATTGACCATTCTATATCGGTCTTAGTAGCCTAGTGGATAACGCTCTACCGTTTGAAGCGATGGGTTCTGGGTTTGAGTTTCAGTGGGAACACTATCACTCACTAGGATGCACGTACATCCAGCTGACGAGTCAAACTTGGAAGAAACGTGCACCTTGGATTCCAGTGTAAATATACACGTTTATTCGTTGGACTATCAGCCAAACCATCTATTTGTAACAAAAGTATACTAAACTAGACATCATGAATGATATAATTGAGGGAGGAATTCGAAATGAGGTTACAATTTAAAACTAAATTTATTAACTCCGCAATTATCATAGAGTAGTTGTTCTAGAAGGCATCTTACCATCTGATCCACATCATATTTCGATACTCGCATTCTTAAAGTACTCACAAATATATTGGAGTAGTGAATTTCTATGTATTTTACAAATTTATAATTTCATTCACAAATAAAGGTTTCTCATTTGAACGTTGTAAAACTAACTTTTTAGTGATTTAATCATTAGTAATTTATGTACACTTATTCAGTTAGGTGTTTGGAAAAAAAAGTTAGTATAAAGACGACTACGATCTTGGAATGTACCGACCACTTAGTAACTAAGGAATACGATAAAAGTTATACTATATCAGGTAAGTGGTCTACAAGGTAATCCATGCTGGAGCCAGTAGTAAATATACAATGCCATTCAGGCTCACAATCTTGATGACATTTATGGTGTCAAGCTAATCGTATACTTTGATTTACAAAGGAAATTTCACGATTGAGTCTGACCTAATTGTGTCACTCTGATCATGGAATATACAGCTTGTGAACACCTGATTTGACGCCATTGTGAATTACCAGTCTACTCAAATTACAGCTACCCATGAAACAGTTGTGGTGAGCTTACTGTTTCAAGATTTCTTCCCTCATGTCATTTTATGGAAATTATTGTCAAGTCAGTAACTGAATGAGTAGTTTGCTTTTAAAAAAACAATCCATTGCTATCGGTAGAAATGTATAGGTTGTTTGCTAAACTACATATCACCTGTGACTGATTGCCTTCTAGTCCTTAGTACTGATCGAAGTCTATCGATTAGGTTTTGAAATGCGGACACAAAGTTAAGTGAAGTGACACTGCAGTGCACTATATTCTGATATTAGACGGTGGGAGTCAATCGACAGGAAGCCCTTTAACTAGGTTACGTGTTTATTCAGTCTGGGGTTTCAGCAAATATGAAGAAATTAATGTTCCATCGATTATTTGAACCTGAGTTATTCAGTCCTGAAGTTCGAGATATAACCGCCAGGTCATTCAGGTCATGAACGGCTCGTTGTAGGAGTGGATTATATATACGAGGTCACCAGTGAGTAGCTTATCTAGCTGTCTAGTGCTTAGTACTTGGCACTGATCAAAGTCTACCGATCAAGTTGTAGATACGTTCTGCACGAAACTTAGATCCAGGGTTCCCTGGCTATTGACTCTCAACATCTAACACCAAAATAAGTAACTTCCTTAATTCATTGATTTTCCTGACTCTGGGTTCTTGTTTCTTATCCCGTCCATAAGTCTCTACATTTCTGGAAATATAATCTAATAGGTTTTTTGGTTCGGTCTTTTGATTCCCATCAGTTTAGGTTGTGAATAGTTGATCACAGTGGATCAATAGTATCAAAGTTGTGATCTAAAGTAACTAATTTGGCAATCAGTTAGTTGGACAGTTAACCTAAAACTAAATCTAGTTCATCTGCATAAACATCAGTTGCTGTTACAACAGCCCAAAAAACAATTCTTACAATCAATTGTGATCTACTTGGCGTTAGAAACGATGCTCGTACGAAGTGAGCATACAGCTACACAACGCAAATCACTGAAAAAAATAGTACACATTAATGATATTAAGCAGAAACGCTTAGTTACCAGACAAATGTGATTGAAGTCCTACTTTAAGGTGTTCAGAGGAAAAGGTTCGAAGAAGTGACCTATGATGACCAATAGTTTTGACACCTACTCCTTGAGTCACTGAAGTGATTACAAACGATAAGCAGCCTCGAAATAACACATCAGTGTTTAAACAGCTAATCAGTATGGGGTCGAGCACATATATGCTTCAATGAATAGAATAAGAAATAATTTGTATTAGACTGTAATAGATTCTATTCTCACTCAGTCTTCTGGTCAATAAACTTGTCTTCTGATCACGGAGGTTGAGAGTGGTAGCAAGTTGACTGTAGTTAAACAACGCAAATGGGAAGTTATTCAGATACAATATTACTTAGATTTATGAAAGTCATGCCAGATGCAAAAATAGAAAAAAAAGGAAAAGTACCAGCTTACCGATACATAAGACTGTAGTTGTTTCAATGGTTTGGCTATTGTATCGATTGACTTGTCCAAACCGACAAGATTCGTTGATAGGCTCACAAAATCCGCGTAATCTCGATTGATCAACTCAATTAAACTAGATTTAAGAATATTCGAGTATTGAAGAAGATCATCTCGAAGCTTTTCTAAGGATATTCCACGACAATGCTGCTCCAGAATGAAGTCATCTGAATTAAAGTCCTCCTTGGGTAAGAAATATAAAAATAATTAACAACTGATTCAAATGATAGTGGATATTGACTGAAGATAAACATTTACCAACTCACCTTCACGTCGATGTTTATCTGTCTTAATGACCGATGCCAAATATGTTGACTAGAACGTTCGTCGTTAAAAAGGTTGGTTTAAAAGAGAATAAACAAGAAGTATTTGACTTTCTATCTGGTGACATCAGTGGTGGCTGACTGTACCAGGATTATAATAGCCCATGGATGATTAGGATTTTTGAGAATGCTGCCTTTTATCATCGCAGAAAAGGACTAGTTTTTGGCTCCAAAAAGCTGCTGGAAGCATGTCAGAAGTTGCTACTTGCCAAATGCATACACCGTAGAAACGTGTCAACTGCGACGTTTGCAAAGTACAAAGTTAACTACACAATGTCAAAGTCAAACTTTTCCCAAAAGACCATACTTGGGTCAGTTACGAAGCTCTGCGACGACGCTGCCTGATCGCTACAGCTATGGACAGTAACCCAGTGAAGCTTTCAGATAGCTAAAATAGACGTACCCTTTCATAGTATGAGCAAAAGATAAGTATCAATTACGTGCACACCTCCAGTGGCACTTGAGCAGATATAAGGTATCATATGGTATGAATACCGAAAAGTAGGAAATTGTTGTCTTATAAAAAAGCCTGTTGTAAGAACTCACCCAAAACTATCTGCTGAAATCAGTGCAAGTAAATAGTTCTTAGACGGACTCAACAAACAAAACTCCAAGAAATATACTTTGAAAGACTGGATCGCTAATTTGTTCATCACGTAAATGTCTTGATCAACACGAATGAACGCTAGCCGAAATTTGAATCACACTACAACAAGTTTTAGTGCTCCTTGAGTAATCTATCAACCATCAAACTTTCTAACATCATACAACTGAAAAGTAGTTGATAATGTGAGATATTAACATGTATGTACACAACTTGCTTACAGCAGAACCACTGAACGACCCGTGCTGACGTTTGATCTGAGGTTTCAAGTAAGCGATAACCATTGAATGAGGTTGGGAATATGAAATCCAGAGATGTACGTTGTGCAGACCCACTAAGCTACTATGTCAATTTAGGGTGCTTCCTAGAATAAAAGTAGAGTGACAGGAAATGAGACCGAAAAATCGAAGCCATTTATGTTAATAACTAGTGATATGATTGGTGTTGAAAACCAACAGCTCTTTTGGTTGAGGATTGCGACGGAGTGGAGACACAATGATTGAACATATTATGTGACATCACAATGCAGATTCATTCTGTCCTAGATTAGTAAGGCGTTTACTATTCAATATCCTAAAACCAATTAATAAACCTACAGATAGAATTACTCTAACGTTTATTAGTGACTAGCTTCGAGGGGTGATTCCTGAAGTTCTAATGAGAAGTTTTAACCAGTGAAGTAAACCAAGTCGAACATGAGGACATTTACTCAATGACGACATTGGATAGAGGTTGCGTTATATCGTCAACTGACAAAGTAGGAAGTGCGGACTATGGGATTCCACCGACCCAATGGCTCAATGGTAACGCGCTGGCCATGGAACCTGAAGGTTCAGTCCTTGGAGGGATCATGGGTGCGTGCTGCTAAGGAATCCTATACTCGGACGAAACACTTGTCCAGTACCCCAGGTTTCCAATGTTTCTCCAGATGATGTCAGTCCATGATGAATTCCGACCTAAAATTGCACATTAATTTTAAACACTTGAGTCTAGTTATTTGAATGGAGTTGCTTTGAATCTATTCATTATCAATCGACTGGTCGAGGTACGTGGTAGTTTTCCAAATATACAGTGTAGGCTTTTTTTATACAATATGAACAGACTCTACAACTGAAGTCTTTCCTTTTAATGGTGTTGAATACGAAGCAAAGGTATATAAAATACATGCTGCCTCCAGATTCGATGTATCCCAATATAAACATGGCTTATTTATCTTCACAATTTTCGAAATGAAATATTTGTTGATAGTTAGTCAGCAGTCGACTGGATAATCACAAGGACATTTATCATATAAACACAAAATTTTTAAAAAATCCCCAAAGCTGTTGTTGTTGCTTTAACGTCTTAAAATCGCCTTAAAATGCTCACCCACCAACCAACAGATAGTCAGTCTTTTCAGCGATAATTAACAGTTACCCCACTTCAAACTGGTTTTAATTGTTCTGAGTTTATCTTACCTGTTTCCATGTGGAACTGCGGCTAACTGCCTTAGGGGGATGAACTTCAACCAGTGGGTCCCGGATTCGAGCTCTGCTTCACCTACCCACCCAGGTAATAAGTTTCATTAGCCCTTACACAATAGGTGTGGCTTATTGCTAACAGGATGAATATGTGTACACAAGGTTGTTAAGTGAATTTCGACCTGTTTCCATCACGAATTTCTTTTCAACGTGATAAAGTACGTGAATTATTTTGCTGTTTACGTTGTGATACTGTTCAGGTTGTTAGAAGCTGATTCCAGAAAAAAAATGAATCGATATTATTTAGTTACATATGTTGTCTATGTATAGAATGCGCTTCTCACTACCCAAATGAAAATTGTTTCTCCAAGACTGGTCTGCGTAGGTGTTTGCTCAAACAATGGGCAGTGAAGTGTTTGAGTGCGTCAACCACTTTACTTACTTGGAAAGTCGGATCAGCTCTGGTGCGTCAGTGACGAACGACATCTTGGCACAGATGAAAAAAAGGCTTTTGTCAACTTATACCATTTATTAATGCCACTGTGATAACTCACTACAAACTGGGGTGCGAGTGTACTGCGCTAAAATTTGCTTTCTTTCACTACATGGGTGTGAAACATGACCACTAAGGGTAGACGATATGAGAAGGCTTAAGATATTTGAACCCCGCCGCCTTCTTAACATAGTCTATCGTGAAGTTATCACATCAGCGATGGAGAAGTCAGGCGTAGAGTTTAAAGAAGAAGCGGAAAATCAGTCGATGAGGTTGTGAACCATCGACTGTGACGGCTGGGATATGTTATGCATACTGTCTCCTTCGTGGCACAATATTTATTAGCTGAAGTAGGTTCAGGCCGGAAAATGTTAGAGGCGGAAAAACTAAAACATGGTATCGGTCCATGAATGTTGGTTTGAGCCGTGTAGAGAAATGTAAACTTTCTGACTGGGGTCGGTATGACAAGAAATCTTAGTGGTTGGAGATGCCAGGTGATATGATGCAGAATTGGTATGTGTTGCAGATGTATTCACACATTGTCAGCTTAATCGTCGTACGGAATTTCAGTGTCTTATTGCCTTCATACAACTTTTAATCCGAAGCAAAATGCACTGAGACACCACGTACATACTCATGCAGTAAGCAATGACACTAACTAGCTGTTCAGACGCCAGTAGGTGAATCACAGTTCGAACCTGTGATCTATCATTTAGAAGTTGAGTTATTAGATCAATGAGCTACAATTGCATTTCTGATTACTTTTTATCTTATTTTTTATTTGGCTGCCTTATATCCTGATGTTAGGTGTGACAACTTGGACCGTTATGCAGTATTAGGTCTTATGTTGCTGCCACTTGACTTACATACAGGAAGAACCGTATGAAGTTTATAAAATTCGTCGGTTAACTTTATAAACATGTTCGTGAAATTTTCTTGACAAAGTCTTGACATGAAACGATGATACTTTATACGAAAATGACTGTGTGAAACAAAAAAGCAACTCTATTTGCATGAATGCGTTTCAAGAGTAGGTGTAGGCTGTTGAATTTAGTGCATTGCTATGAAATCTGAGCGGTACCGGTTTAAGACTGATAAAAGATAACCCTCTTGATAAGATTCCAAGTACTATTCATAACGCAAATAACCCTAATACTGGGGATATCAACTTGTGGAAAGCGACAGAATGTGCCTGATTTCTGACAGGAATTTGATGAAATGATTTTTTTTGAAATGAAGATGTGAAAAATAAATATTCTACAGCTGTCGAATGAGCAGTAAGACTTAGATCACAGACACCATCACAAGATTTCTTACGGTACATTACTTTTTTTAATGTTGTGATTTCCCTGACATAAACCTTGAAGAACAAACGTCTCATTCGTTATAGAGAAGGACATCCATTTATTTGGGCAAATGAAATTAACAATATCTGGTAATATCGCAGTGTCTTCGATAAAAAACAAAAGTATGTGTGAACGGTAATAAAGTATCACTTCGCATTTCGGAAAGCTAAAACAAGCAAGTGTTCAATTAAACATTGCATATATCACAGTCAGTAATGCTCTTTTGTGCAGATAATATGTCACTAGTATGGAAAATGTCTCGATAAAATTTAAGCCATTCTATGGCACTAAGCAACACAATGTAGCGTGGAAATAAAACCTTTAAAATTACTAACTTTTTAATACAACGCAGATAGATATACAATAAAATTAAGTGTAAAAAAGCTTACATTCAGAAATAATTCACGATCAAAACAGAATGTAAGGCCAGTAGGAGCAACATCAAATGTATCCTCTAACAGTAGCTTCCGCAAGTTAGAATCCGTTTTCTCTACTGAAGAACCCACTTTACTACTTTTAACTTCGTCAACGGCAGGCATGCTGAAAAACCAAAAACTCGAGTTGTTATCAAATTAAAACACCTAATCGATTAGACGATATTGCAAACGACTAAACTCTTTATTTCAACAATAACAACACGTACATAAAAAAAATGCGAACACAATGAAATATATTATATGTGTATGTGGACAGGTGAAACAAACCAGTGCTCATCGGGTGAACAATACACATGTGTTTATATGCCACAATTTGAAAAAGTGCAGTTTTTCAAACAATTTCAGATACAATCTGAATGAAGCGCCACAAAGTTAAACATTTAAGATTGTGGCGAATTGAATCTTGACAGTCATTAAAAATCTTGACACATTATCTTTAGCGTAATTATATGCGTCTGTATGACGAGAAAAACACTTGGATAAGCATTTAGCAAATAAGCGCTAATGCAATTAATTTAAATAATAGTTCTGTACAGTATCATGAAAATTGAATAAATATAACGATGGAAGAAGAGGAAGGAGAAGTAATCAGAATAGCTATGATACAAAAAGCAGCTACAAGTGGACTACACAATGTGTAGACAGAAAATGAGCTGATGGATACACTGAAAATAAATCATGTGTATGCAGATACATAAATAATCATAATAACAACAATAATAACTAGCAGAAATAGTAGTGGAACGTACATTTTAAAGTTGAATTATGTTTCAACAGATTCCTTTATAAAAACATGAAAAGGGAGCGTAATAGGAAAATAAACAGCTGCCTATACACATAATACGTAGTAAATAAACCGTAGGGAAGGAAGAAAATCAAGTGGACAATTAATGAAATGCCTTTCGTTTGGTTGACTAAAAAGTGTAATGACTACGCAAGGTTGTGTTTACAACAAACAAAACAGAAGTAGGATAAAATTTTTTAGAGATGACGCAATCGACACAGTTTGAATTTCATTGTAGAGAGTAGAGGAAATATACACACATGATGAATAGGTACGACTATCAATAATTATGTACAAAAAAGATGATGCGTTGTTGATACATCTGAACAGAAATCATCGTTTTCGACGACATTGACGTTTATGCTCTTTTTGCCAATGTTCCTGTTGACATTGGGTGCTGCAATAGGATGTGTTCCAACAACAATGATAAATAGCCTCCATAAGACAATTACGGCACCACTGTCTACGTTTAGTTTGTACAATAACTTCCGCAAATCTAGCTTCTGCTGCTTCCAATGTTTCATGAGACAATTTACGTTCATGCTCTATAGCCTCACGAGCACTTGCTTGAGCTTGTTCAAGGGCAGAATGTAAAGCAGCAGCTTTTTCTTCTTTGAATTGAGCTGTAAGCTTTTCTTCAAGTTCTCTTAAGGCTCTTTTGGCATCATTAGCTGCTGCTAAGCGTTCAGCTTCACGCTCTTTACACTGTGTACACGGTTGCTGAGATGATGTTGGTATCTCCATACTGGCTGGTGTCTAGACAAGTAATAAAAATAGGTGGAGAATGCGAGAAAACATGTAACAGGTTAACACCAGACTACTAGTAAAAAAAAACCTGAAAATCAAAATGATTGAGAAATAAAAAGCGAAAACAAATGAGTACCTAATTTTTACTCATATCAATATGCAGTTTATTTCAGAGATTACTAATGTAACTGCTTATTTGCTTTAAGTACTAAGACATTTTCGTAAAACATATTAGAATGAACGAATTTCGAGTGCTATAGTAAAAGGAGCTGTGGCTCATTGGTTTAGACAGCCAAAATTTTTGGTCAATATATCACAGGTGCGAACCCCAATACACTTATTGACGTTCGGCGAGTTAGGTGGTCTCATAACCCATACTGCCTAGTGCATGGATATGCAAGTGCTGATAAAAAGGAATCACTGGTGACTAGATAGGTTACTTAAATCTTACATATTTACACACGGAAAAGGGTTATGGATACTACACATAATAAGTATTTTTACTACACATCGAATATATGAATTTCGGGGAGTGAAATACAGCTCACGTATTCAAGATAATAGCTTCAAAAGATGGTCCTGGATCACTTTTTCAAAACCATTACTGAATATTTATAACCTGTCAACGCCAATAACTCCAGAAGCACAAATAGTTAACATGAGAAAATAAATTGAATCGGGAAATCACATTTTATGTCTTTTCGTTCGTTTAGCTAGTGAAGGAAGTGGAAGATTACGGACGTTTCCATACGTCACTTAATATAAGTACAAACCGAAGCATAACAAAAAATAAAACCATAAAAGCACTTGCAAAATTTTTAAGTGAGTTGATACCTCACCTGAATGCCCTTATGAAGCTGCTTTTTCGGAGATGCTGCAGAAACCTCGGGGCTTTTGACAGAAGCTTGTCGTTGATTTGTTTCACCTGAACTATCACTTATTCCTCCAACAGAATCTTTGTTCAAAGCTGCTGCTGTAGCCGCAGCAGCAGCACGTTTATTCGGCGGTAAATGAGAACGTGGAAGAGTTGACATACCCGGAGTAGTGACAACGTTGCTCGAGCTGTTGGTTGAGGCACCTGGAGAAATAAAATTCGAAGCAAGATTAGAATTAGCTCCACCCGGATGAATTGACCCACTTGGTCTGTTGACAGATGAAATTCCTGAATTCACTGAGGAATTCATGGTAGCCACTGAATCATTGTATGGAGAGAAAAGATTTTGACCAGTATGAGAGAATAAGTTTGTGACAGCAGACGGATTATTCCGATCATTAACAGCGTTTGTATTACTATTAGATCCAGATGTATTCAATGGTGGAGCAAATGGTGGTCGACGTAGCATTGTACTACTCGCTCCAGAAGTCCTGTCCTTATTGCTTGAACCACTGCGAGTTGGACTACGGAATCTACGATCATCATCTTCATCATCAACTTTGACAATATTTCGTTGTCTACGTGCACATTCGTCGTTGTCATCCATGTCGGAGGAAGAGGGTGAAGAACAGGAGCTATAATTACTGGAATGAGAAGAACGCTGTTTAGCAGTTGCTTTTTTGGTTGGTGATGTTTTTTGAAAAGAATCACTAACCCCAGTTTTTCTTGCTGGTGATACAGGTGTACCTGGCATGTTATAACTAACTGAAGAATGATGTGAATGCCACCGACGGATATTGGAGTGTTTCAAATTTCGGTTATCATTTCCGAGAGGAGAAACACAACGGTCAGTGAGTTCGTCATCTTCATCTCGAACACCACTGAAACCATCCAGTTGTTTCGAATGTCTTTTGGACCGTTTACTTCCAGAATTAATTCTCTCCTCAACTGAACTCTTGCTTGGGGTGGGAATTCGTTTTTTATTAATACCATCAATATGGTCAGATGAATTATTATTTACAGAAGCAGACAACTTTGGTCGTCCTCGAGATAGACTCTGAAGTTTAGAAAAGAAATGGGATTAATGAAACTGGTTTCGTCTCACGTAACGAAGAGCAATTATGCCATTAAAATTTGATAATAATATGCATAGCTCGAGACACGTGTAAATAGGCTGACAGAGGATGAAGATAACGAGTCAACATTAATTGCATGCAGAGATAGTAGTGATCGGGAGTTAAATCATTCAGTAGTTAAGCGAAAAGTTAAAATGACTAAACTTGAGATTATTTTACTCAAAGTACAAAACTTAAAGAACAAGGCATGAATTAAGTGAAATTTGATATAACTCCGGTGCCAAAAATATGCAGAGGTCGTTTTTGATACAGCAACCTTATCAAAGAAAAGAGCTGATATGGAAGGTCAAGAACGTCATAGTTACTATTTGTCTTCTTTTCTGAAAAGCTTTAATATTTTCTTTGCTACAGTTGAGATTCATTTTTCATAGGTAATGGTGACTACACACATGTGAAATATAGTCTGGATACTTCAAGTGATAAGAGTCTATTGTTTTTCATGAGACTCAACAGTTGGTTTGTGTTGATCATCTGACTATGAAAAATAATTCCAAGATTAGGTGGAGTGATAAGGATGATTACTTGAGGCATACAGTAGATTTAGGAGGCTAATGGTGACAATATGTGCATAGAAAAGGTGTTCCTGGTTGAAGTAATCTAGAAGAAAACCAATGCGGCCATCCGACTGGTATGGAAGGGAAAAACTTGACAATATCAACAGCTATGATGTGCTGCAGTGTATGAAATTATACAAAGGTGAAAAACTTATGTAAAGCCTTCATCAATGGAAGGAGGTCAGGAAAACTTTAGGTAACGGCATTATATTCAAGGTTTAAGGTCAGAAAATATTTCTATAGTAAGATATGGTAGAACTAATGCGATTTTAATATTTTCTATCTAGAAAATGTAGCCCAACGGAAGATTACGCGATGACCACAAACTACACAAAACTTTGGTTGGAAACATGCTATAACATATCAAAGTCTGCAGCTTTTCAAGTTCGTGACATTATAAACATTATTTAGTTTTGGCATGCAAATGGAAGTATCTTACTGGGTCTGTGTTCGTTATTGAACAAATTCAGCAGTGTCTAAGTAAGTATTACTAAGTATTTTTCGTCCCTGCGACTAACTTTCTACTACCTACCATAAAGAGATAGTACAGCATTTCAAAACAGGGTATGACTTTTTTGAACACCATTCTTACATTCGAAGTATCCTTAGGCTAAGGAATATAGCTAGTGTGGAGCACCGGTAGATATGCTTGTTTCCGAATCAAAAAGAAAGTGAAGGTATTTATTGATCGATGATTATGGTCCTAAAAAGTGTAGAGTAATAGCCTCACAAGAAACCTGTAGTCTATAAATCTCATCATCTCGAAAACACTACTCACAGGTTTAGTGGTATTCGAAGAGCCAGACTTCATCCACATATCAGGATTACATTCAGCATCTGAACTTGCAGCTGTTGGTGAGCACCAACTCGAACGACCAACATCATTCACTGAAATGGTAATAGTTTGGAGAAATAATGGCGTAAAAATTAATAGTACGCTGAAGAGGTTCATTGTAATGAGTAAAAGCTATGAAGAGAATATGGTGAATATTAAACTACATGAAACAGGGCAAGGTAGAGTAAGAAATATGAGGATAAAACATATTGTACTGTTTTAGGACAAGAGGAAGGATAAGTGCAAGTGTGGTGCATTAACAGAGGATTTTGGCCCAACTAACTTGACCAGTGATCCTTTTTCCTTTTAGGATTCGAGAAAATAATTTTACAGAAATTTCAAACACGATGATGCCAAGTTTTCAGCCTCTTCTATAAAATAATGATATCATTTTCACTATATATATCTTAGAACGATGCTGGTAGTTATTATTCAGTCAAACTTCACCTTCGACTTTGCCAACACTTCCGTATTCGGAGAAAGCTACGTGCAACACTTCACTCAAGAATGTTACAAAAAGGCCAGTGAATAAGGGATATATGATAAAAAGGATATCAAGCAAATCGTGAAATATAAATGTAGATTCAAAATAATAAGGATCGGATTTTTAAAAAATTTGTCCCCATTAGTGACAGGCATAGTTTTTTTGTTTTTAAAAATAAAAATTTATGTAATAAAATGTTATGCTACATCTGATAAACTTTAACAAAATTAGGAGGGAAATATATACTGTAAACAAAACACACGTATCAGGAAAACTGTTCACGCAATGCGTGAGCATATATTTATACAGTAAATCCATACCTGAAAAATTTTTCGCCATAAATTAGCATAGTAATTTAAGAAACCACCTATAAAGCCAGAGCATTGGACACCCATTCCAAGTTATGTGAGAATTGCATAGAAGACAGATACATAATTCGAAAAGAAATTAATCAGAAAAGATAAATCTTTTGTGAATCCTAATCGTAGCTGTAACCTCGCCTGGTTAACTAGTTCACTAGTTACTGACCGGTCATAAGCCCGGATGAAGAGGGAGGGTTGGGCAATCCAACCGCTACAGAAACTTCAAAGTACAGACAAAATATAAAAAATAAAAACAATGTTATTCCTCGCTGGAATCGGGGAAACAAAATGACGCCGGTTGGTGAAAGCCTTCGGGAAGCCAATACGTCGATATGTTTTCTATCTCTCGATGAAAGCGAAAGTAAACACGAGGACATGGAATGTCCCCACCATGTATGAAGCTAGCAAGGCTGCCTAGATTGCGAAAGAGATGATGAGGTAAAGCATAAAAGTGCTTGGAATCTGCAGATGGAATGGAATTGGAATCTCCAAACTTTCAACTGGAGAATTAATAATCTACTCCGATATTGTCACCCAGACGACAACCACGAGCACACTGAGTTTTCGAGTGGCTATCATGATGTCCCCAAAAACACCGAAGGCTCTCATGCAATGGGAACCAGTCTCCTCCAGGATCATGGTATCAGGATTTACCTCAAAAGGAAGAAAAATCACAAGCAACAATGCTACGCAACAACAAATAACGCAGATCATGAGAAGAAGGAGGAATTCTGAAGACAGCTGCAACCAGCACTGGACAACATCCCACTCCAGTTGGCGACATCAAAATTTTAATGGGTGGTGGAACATGAACGCCAAACTGGGAGCGGACAACACAGGAAGAGAACTCATACATCATGGGTCGAGAAGCACTCGGTGAAATGAATGTGAACGGAGAAGTGTTTGCAGATTTCTGAGCACTCAACGATTTGGTGACTGGAGGCAGTGTGTACAAACACAAGGACATTCACAAAACGACACAGATTTCCCCAGACACCAGGATACACTAAAAACCAGATCGACTTCATCTCAATCTCATGAAAGTGGAGACGCAGTCAACTGGACACAAAATCAAGAGGAGGAGCAGATGAAGGTTCACACCACTCACTATCTAGTGCCTTCAAAATCAAGTTGAAAGCCTTCAAACAAGCTGGTCATAGACGACCAAAGTTCAAGTTCAACACCCAGAACAGAGACTGAGGGACGAAACGTCAAATGACATCTTCACGTCAGTCAGCCATCAGGAAATAATGAGAAACATTAAGCAATATCCCTGAAGAAACCTGCATAACCATGTTGGGAAGGAAGGAGAAACAAGACAAAAAATGGATCTCGACGGAAACATGGAATCTGATAGAGAAGGGAGAGGAAGATAGTGAAGCAGAAGATAAACCATTGCAACGATGAACAACAAAAAAGAGGAACTGAATACAACTTATAAAACACCACACTAGACGAAAAAGTGAAGAAGAGTGCGCGCAAAGACAAAACACACTTGCAACTGAAGCAGAACAGGCTGCAGGTAAGAGACACAGAGACCTGACAACATTGTATCAAATAACCAGGTTACTATCTTGCAGGGAAGAGATCAACACAGACGAAACCAGTGAACGAAACTTAGTTATCAACAAGGAGAAACAAAAAAAACACAATGGGTTGACCACTTCAGAAAACTCTTAAATCGACCACCACACACATCTGCAACTCGCCTGAGAAACACCACCAGCAACCACAGAACTATCAGTGAACACAGGCCCTCCAACAAAAGCAGAAGTGAAGTCCTCAACATCATAAAGTTGCTGAAATCCGGGAAAGCAGCACGACCAGATGCAATTCCACCAGAAGCACTGAAAACACACGCAGAGACAACAGCGAACATGCTCACATCACTACTGCAGAAGGTTTGGAAGGAAGGATAGGTACCTGCAGATTGATTGTAAGAAGGACTACCTTATCAAACTCCCAACAAGGGAGACCTAAGTCTTTGCAAGAACTGGCGAGGAGTCATGTTCCTGTCTACCTCAAGCAAAATATTAAGCCGCGTTATCCAGGAGAGACTGAAAAATGCACTGGGTTCAAAATTACGACCGGATTCAGAAATAACAAATCATGTGCGGATCAAATAGCAACGCTACGCTACGCTTTATCATAGAACAGAGTATAGAGTGGCAGTCAATTCTCTACCTCAACTTCAATTTTGAAAAGGTTTTCGACAGCGTCGACCGAGAAGTAATTTTGCAGTTACTTCAACATCACGGAGTACTACAAACCTTTATCAATCTCATTCAACAGCTATATGAAAAGCCACATGGCAAGTAATTTACATTGGGAAGCTCAGTGATGCTTTTGAAGTGAAGACAGCAGACAGGAGTAAGATAAGGTTGCCGTCTACTGTCACCGATGATCTTCCTGACTGTGGTGGACTGGATCATGCAACAAACCGTGAGGAGCGAGAACATGAGCGTACACTTTTTGACCGATGGAAAGACGCTAGAAAATTTGGACGTTGGCAGTGATGATTTATGTCTGTCTAATGTCGCACAAACTCGAAGATCTACAGGCGAAAACTAACAAGTTGACAGAAGAGGCAGGGCAGCGAAGACGGGATGCCCTTCAGGTGAACGTAGAGAAGACAGAGGTCATGAAGATACCTAACCAACAAGCATCAATCACCGTCAACGGGAGAAACCTAAAGCAAGTAGTCTCTTCCACCTACCTAGGCAAGGCACCATCGTTTCAACTACAGGTGGTGGCACAGATCAGCACGTCAAAGCCACGATCGGAAAGACAGCAAGACAGGTCTTCATCAATCTGAAATAATCAGTGTTGATATCCACTGCACTGCACTGTACTCAGCATAAAGAACAAGATCCGGATTTTCAACACTAATGTCAAGTCAGTAAGTGCTCCTATATGGTTCAGAAACTTGGCTCGTTATGAAAAGCGTTCCCAACAAACTATAGACATTTATCAACAGCTGCCGCCTACACTAAGATCAGAAGGCCGGAAAGACTAAGCAACAAGGAACTCTGACCTGGCAACGAACCAACCAAGAACCTATCGATCAACAAATATGCAGAAGGAAGTGGAGATGGATTGGATTGGACATACTTTGAGAAGGCCGATCGGGGACATCACGCGGCAGGCCAGTCGCTCGAGTGGAATCCAAAGGGGAAAAGACGAGTTGGGCGTCCGAGGGTGACATGGGGGAGATCATGCGAGGAAGAAATGAAAGCTTGCGGTCAGTCGTGGAACCAGGTTCAAAAGACCGCAGAGAGTTCAAAGGAGGCGTGCTACTGAAGCCCCATGTTCCACTAGGAACCCAAGGGAATAATAATATAATAATCGTAGTTGTACAATTAATTGGAAAAATGAAAACAATTGCGGAAGATAAACGTCCGTTAGTGATGAACTCTGAATGGGAAGATAAAAACAGCATGTTGTGAAGGTTAGTAAGTTCATATTACGTAACAAAAATATGAAACATTAAATAATGAAGAAAGGCAGTTCTTTTCTATACAAACAAAAGGCTATGAGACAGAAAGTAGACATTAGCAAATGAGAAAGATTCGAATCAATAAAATGGGACTATAACGAAAATGGAGATATACTAGAGAAAAGTAATAAACAGATGTCAGAGATTTGTAAAAGTAAGGAAAAAGTAGCAAAAAGGACTTCACAAAACATTTATGCACATAGAGTTCAGGATTCTTTTGAAAGACTCGATCTCACTTTATATGAAATATCAGTTTTGTGTGGACGCCACGTGATTTGAGACCAAAATGCTTCAGAGTAAAACTGTTTACTGGTCTGGATTCCCTTTTCTGTAGTCTGCAGGTAAATGTTCACGAGGACATCATGAGAGTGACCTGCTGGTATGATCTATGTACTCATCTCCAGAGAAGTAAGTAGATTTATATACACATATCCTGCCAAAAATAACACCTTATCTTCGATGTTTTGATGAACTAGATGGTGCATGGAGGAAGAAGAACGTAGGGATGTAGCAAAGAAAATTTTTGGAACCGCTTTTGATAGTGAGCTTTCCGAATTCGAGAAAGTGTCTAGCCTTTATCCATTCCGAAACAGAATTTTTATCGAAAATTCCGATTTTCAATCGAACATGTGGTAGATTTTCGTGAAAAGAAAAGTAATCAGATTCCTTTTTCTGCTAATGGGGACAAAACTGTAAACAATTGTCAAGTGCTCATTCTATTTACGACTATGGTGAATCTACCTTTGAAGTGATCCACGACTTCTAGTTAATAGTTGAAGATCTAAAAAACCAAGCTTATATTTCGACTCGACTTCAAGAGTACAACTAATGGATGGATGGACATTATTGAAAACCTTCAAAACCAAGTGTTTAATCGCCAACAATGAGAATATCGTCCACATGCATCGTTTTTACATCCTGAATTGACCGATAGTTCATTGTAACTACCAGAGTTTAAAAATGAAGTAAAAACAATAAAATATCACAAGGGCACATTATTAGTAAGCTACTAAGGTCAGAACTCTCCAGTCGGCAAATCGAAACTTATGATGATATATGACTTAATATTACTTCCAACTTGATAGTTTACACAACTTCTAAAATTTCTTTCGACTAATGAACGTGTAGCAAACGGATTCAACCTCAGATGCTGCTAACTGCTATTGTGCTTTAAATTAAGACGCTATATAACCATCGATTTAAAAGTACTCATTATATAACCAGCCTATGACGAAATTTCCAAGGACTTCTTAGTTGTTTTATTACTCTGAAAAAAATGACAAATATGCTAAATTAGGAACGGAATTAACTCACTGGCTTTTGCACGACCTCTAGATTTTGGTGGACGCCCACGACGCGGCATTTCGGCCTTCACAATTTTCCATTCAGAAGACTGCTGAAGTTAAATTATATGATGGATCCCTTACTAAATCAGTTTGTTGTAAAAAAAAGTTTTAACACTCAATAGAAATATTGCAACATAAGTAAAAACAGAAAAAATATTAGATCCAGACTGAGCTGTTACTAGACCATAGGTACTAATAGTAGATCCACGGAGATGAGATTTACATAAAAAGGGAGTTATATGCCTAATCTCGGACTTGAGTAGGATGGGTATTACAGAGAAACTCTCTTCACAAAATAACAGATACAGACAAATACACGTGGAACCTCGGACAAAAATGTATCCAATCAAGTTGCCACACTTCACAAAAGTGAACGAAGAGAAAGTGGATAGAAAAAGGAGGTTGCTATGATAAACAAGAAAGTATGAGAGGATAGAGGTTAAGTAAATGAAGGTTACCAAAAATGTTTGACATCTTGAAGACGACAGAGAGTGTGAACACAGTTGTGCCATAGTGATTACTTTCTAAAGATGCCATCACGAGTTTGCAACTGTTGAATCCTAAAATATCAAAAATTCAGCTACGTAGTATACATCTTTCTATACGGCTTGGACCAACAACCAGAAGCTCTATGGATTGCTTTTATGTATCATTCTTGTCACTCGTAGCTTCTCACCTACACAAACCTTACTGACACAACAATCGTCCCGTAAACGGTAGATGTACAATTGCGACCAATGTTAACCAATACCAGAAAAAAAGCTTGTTTAACAACAAAACTATTAACCACTTACTGCATATACCAGGTAATATACAAAGGATAATTTACTATAGATCAAGAGGTTTCTAAGTGAATCGGTTCCAGTCTATGGATAAAATATTCAAGTTACCTTCAAAAGAGATATCTTACACTTTCACCTTCAAATAGATAATTATTATCAAAGATTTCTAAATAAACGCATGAGCATATCCCTGTAATCATCACAAAAAAACTAAATAAAAATGAAAACCCTGCAATATCATCAACTAAAGGACAGGCACTACTGTATAACAGTTCAAGTTGTCTGACTTCACACTACCACATCATGAGTGAATAAGAAAATACTGAATTCAGTATGACGATTACGATTAAGCATGGATACATTGGGGCCACTGAGATCAATTCAGAGCTGTTAAAATGACCCCAAACAGGGAACCTACATTCCGCTACACGGCTCAGACCAACAATCAAGGACTTCATGCACTGAAACCATGTTTAGTCTGACAACACCAAAACATTTTCCAGAATGAACCCAATTCAGTCAACAATGTGGGACAAGGTGGACGGGGACTAGAAATGCGTAACATCTCAGTTACCTCGGTCGATGAAGCCTCAAAACCTCCTTAACTGAATTTCCACTTATTCTTAAAACTCTACAATTAACTACTAAGTCAAACAACCAATTCTACGAAGGTGACGTTGGTCGAACATCTCAACCCACCTCAAGTCCCCCTCCACCCTTTCTGGTGATGTTTTACAGCTAAACACTAAAAGAGAGCGAACTGCAGCTACGTACACCTAACTCTCAATAAACAATCGAATACAATGGTGTAAGTTGGCAAAGATCAATTGAACCTCTACTATCCATGCAGAAACCTCCTCACCTAATGACCCACTACGTTTGATACGACTTTTCATACATATGAGTCGGTTAACGTCTCACCACTTCACTCTTGACAGCTAAACAAAACACCAGCAAAAAACAGTCCAGAAGTAACAACTTGAATTTGGGTGGGGAGAAACAGACAGACAAGAAAATTAACATAGAACCCAGCACGCAAGCCAATTCGTTCAAGTTGCTACACTTCACAGTAGTATAGAAAGAACAAATGAACAGAAAGTAATACAGTAGGAGACTCAACAATTCCAAAATACAGGTTAGTGCGAAAATATAAGCCTAAGAAGACACCACAGTATGAATACATCTTCATTATTGTGACTGATTTTCAGCCGTTACCAAGACTACTCAATCACTCATTCCCTTCGTCTTGGGCACACCAGCCAGGTACTATATATCTCCCCCACGGCTAAGACCACCAGTTAGGGACTTCATTAACTGGTGCCAGGTCTTACTCTGGACACCATGAACCCTCTTCCAACCTAATCCAACAACCTTCCCGATGGCATGTCTAGGTAGGGGGTGACACGGTGTGCAGAGCACATGCCCAAGTCACATCAGCCTAGAAACGCATTCAAATCATCCTCAAATTAACATTCAATGTGTCCAGAAAACTCAGCGTCTTCACATAACAGGACTACGTCATCTGTGTACTCTAGGTGTAACAAGGATTACCCTATGATAAGATCAATCAATCCCTGTAAAGTCAGATGGCAAGAACGAGACCTACATAGATACCTCTATGGTTGAAGTTGGATAAAAATGGATAAAGTGGACATCCTTGTCAGACACCACTCGATGTGAACAACTCACTGTTCGCCCTAACACGTCCACAGGAGTCTAAGTTCAGAGCCTTCAAAGGGATGACCTACTCACCCGGCACGTCTTTCAGTGAGAGACATTCCTATGAGACCTCTCGAACGACAGAGTAGAATACTGCTTTCTGGTAAGAGGAATACAACTAATGTCGAGCGTCGGTGAGTGTGCCTGTATTCCAGGAGCTGGCAGCGAGTAAAAATCTGGTTGATCCACTCATGACCAAGCCTGAAACATGCCTAGTTCTTACGGGTTCGCTGTTCCCGAGCTACACTTATACGCTTGGTAATCATAAGACCTAGAATCTCAGGCACTACGTTCGTCGAGCTGATACTTCTGTGGTTGTCAAAAGAATTTCCCACCCTTATTGTAGACTCGGAAAGTCAGGGATTGGAACCGGTCAGAGGGGGGGGGTATACCTGACTCTCAAACAATAGCCAACACTTCAGTTAACACGGTCCTTAAATACCTCCGGTACTAGTCCATCTCGCACTGCTGCTGTTCCTCGTTTCAGATCACTTACAGCTTCCCGACTTCTCAATGTTGGAGGCCCTATCTCAAAGTTGCTTTCAGGATCCGATTGGGTAGCAGGAAACAGACTAGTCAGTTGGAGGTCACTTGAATTGTTCCTCGAAGTGTTCTGCGTCTATTCAGGCACAGATATGTGCGTACTAGAACCAATGCATGATAGCTGTCAAACGTCTGCACCCCAACCAAGAGCTGCGACCTGGACGTGGTGGTCAGATTTGCATAACACGATGACCCAAGGAGCTATGCTCGTGAAACCCTTGTTCCCTCAAGGTTCTACCGTGCCAAAGAGGTCTGTCGGATAGTGATAATAAGGAAAGCAGTTTTCGCTGTAGTGTACATTTTTACACTATGATGGGCTTTGAGGGCGATGTCGTATTGTTGCTTCCTGAATAGGGTATGACAACCTTAAGGCGTTTTCGTTGGATGACCAGCAGCGCTACGCTGATGGGTGGGCCGGTTAGAAAACGTTGGCCTCAAAACTAACACACTCCAACAGCCCGACGGTCTTCCAGAGTCAGCGGTAAGGGAATCCCATTTCAACGGACCGACAACGGTGATTGTCTATTGCGAGTTTAGTCTGACAATCACTTGCTTCTGGCTAGCATTAACTTCAAGCATAAGGAGAGACAGTCTCATTTGGCGTACACCGATACCAAACCGACGGTGAAGACAGACAGATCACACTGCTACGAACCATCGTTGGAGAGGAAGAGTGGAGGATTGCCGCTTTCTGGAATATCAGTTTTGACGCCAACCACGTACTAGTACGCGCTTGTATGTCAGAGCCTTACTGGTCGCAGGAAAAAAGCGATAGCAAAGCCTGTCTATGGTCGATTGGAAGACGAGAACGTCAAGTACGCAATTAGGGAAGAGATAACTAAGCATTTACCCAAACATGACAGCAGTGATCATCCCGAGGAAACCTGGTGTGATATTGTCTGCTGTCGAATCGAAAGGCACCCAGCGACATTGTGTACACCCGTGCAGTAGGCAATGAGTCACATCTATTATGTGAGGGCTGATGATACTATCATGCTGCCTCAAGCCTCGGTAGGTGGAGAGGGGCTCGAACACGAAGGTTAGCAAACGTTACTGGATTTCCATGACGTCATCCAAACCGACTGATGGGAGAAGACTGATTCTAGCTGGCTATAACCACGATAAAGAGCGAAAGCAACTGAAACGTAAGTTGACCAAGAGTCTTCGCATCGATCGCAAACAGTGGTGGGTGGCGGTGGAGAGAGATAAGCCATCAGCGTTGAGTAACACTTGACAACTATTTAAGCTTATTAAGGATACCGGTAAGAAGACGATGGTGAGTGAAACTATCACCGTAAGGTATGAGAAGATAACCTCACAGGACAAGCGACTAGAACGTTGGATAGAACACTTTGAAGTACAGTTCAACTGGCCCTCAGCAGCGCTTCAGCTGCCCAACACACAGTTTGAACATGAATGGGACGTAGATATCGCTCCTCCAATTCTTGAAATAAAAAAAAAACTATCAAATTTGGGACGATGCAGGACAGCAGGATCTGACAGTTTTCCACCCGAAATTTCCAAGGATGGAGATAAATTACTAAGTAAAATGGCAGAGGTACCAGGTAGTGTATGGGAATAAAAAGCAGTGCCATCAGACTGGTGTACTATGCAGATCATCCCATTCTGTAAGAAGGGAGAGAAATCTCTTCGTGACAACCTTAGGAGAATTAGTTTGACTAATGATGTTAAGATCCTGGAGTCTATTGTTATCCGACGCCTAGGTGGATCTCGAGATCAGCGAATTGGAGAAAACCAGGCAGGTATCACAGGTGGACAAGGGTGAACCGATCAAATTTTTACCCTCCAAGGGCTCCTGCAACACAGGCATACCAATCGACAAGTGACCGACACTTGCCAAATTTCTTAACCTGAAGGCGACATTTGACGCAGTCGACCGTAAAGTGTCGTAGCTGCTTCTGATTGTGAAGAGAGTACCGAGAAAGCATGTAGTCCCAATCAGAGCTCTCTACTTGAACTTACGCAATCGTGTAAGGTCATCATCCGACAACATAGGACCAGGCACTAACTGCGTGACGGTTCGAGTTGCCACACCTTATATCAATATATCGACTAAAAAGACAATGAGGTGGAAGACGAAGAAAAGAAAATCCAGTCAAAAGAAATATAAAGTACTAACGAAACAAAGGAAGAATGTTAAAACGGAGATTGGGTATAGCGTTAAGATGAGGATAATGAGTGTATACATCTGTGTCACTAACAACGGTTCTGAGTCATGTGACCACTTAGTCTCCAAACACTGGTTTCTCTGGTCTCGCCAACAACAACCGGCTTAAACCAACAGTCAAAGACTTCATACAATGACTCCATGCTTTAGCCTGGCCACCTGGAGCCTTTTCCCAGCCTGAACCTACTTCGGCCAACATTGTGAGACGAGGCAGACAGAGACTAGACATACGTAACACGTGTCAGGGTTTATGAAGAGTTGTCATGTGAAAAGACAATAATTAGTGGTGTCCACCAGGGTTGCCTACTGTCACCGTTCCTACCCAACTTCATTGGAAACGTATTAATCAACATGAATCTACGTGTCTGATTTCACGGAGGCTAATCTACTTCTTGGGGTCATCTGGTCGACTTTGAGTGTGCAGATGATATTGTCCTGCTAGATAAAGACGCTAACTGAATGTGATTGAATTCAGTGAACGTACCATATTAAGCATGGGAGAATGATATCATAAACTGTTATGGGAAAAGATGTTACCTCTTAGTAAACAAATCTGTAGACACTGAGCTGATGATAAGTCATGTGGAAATGCATATTTGTTTGCTCAACTGTAGGTGGCAAAAATCCAAAGAAAATTCAGAGTGAAAACAACCAATTAGTCACTGTTTTACAGATAACTGTTACATGTGGGTGTATACGCTATATTTATATTTAAGTCAACTTTACATTAGACAAGTGATCAATCAAACTGAAGGTCCATTGACTAGTTTTATATTTCCAACAATATCCGAACTCATTAACCAAACGAAACGAGCCATGAAACATTACTGAGTTAGAACAATCGCTTATATACAAAAGTATGACCAAGGTAAAACAGTTACCATCTGGTGAATACAAAGTTTAGCGACCAGTCAGTAAATTCCACTCTTATGGGGATAAAGTGATTTTGGGTTAAGTTGTGCCAGAGCAAACGGTAGCTTTTTTCAGCCCATAAAACATATGAATTTATTACCAAAAACTAATATGTAACTAGCGGAAACTATGCGCAAATTGAATAATATGAAAAAGCATTACAAAAATGTCGCATATATTTACATTTGATCGCCAGTTGTCTTGAGGACCATTTATAGAGCGAGGAACATCTACTTCCGACAAAGAGCCTGATGAAATAGATGAAGATGGATTGTCTGAAGAATGGGGTGATGAAGATGAACTTGGATACTTGCGTCTTCGAATGGGCCTTCCTTTGCCATCTCGAAGTGGCGGTCTTCCCCGACCACGTTGACCTCGTACGGGAGCATTTAAATGGTTTTCCTTTGACTGTTTTCGATAGGGCTTATCATGCTCACGATGAGTTAATGACAAAAGATCAGCAGTAAATGAGCTAGATGGTTTACGTCCAGACCCAACTGCAGCAGCCATTGCTGCTTTTGTTTCTGCTAGTGCTGATATTGCTGCAGCACCAGGAGTACCAGGTTGAACAGCCGGCATCGGAAGACGATTAATAACTGATCGCTTATCAGTATGATCAGTGTGCGAATTAAAAGAAAGACCATGAGTTCTGAAGTGCTTACCAACACGTGAGTTACCATGTATAGGTGAACCACCAGAAGGGGTAGCACTAGAAGTTGTATGTTGGCTGCTAGAAGATGTGTGGCGTCTGAAAACAGGATCATGAAAAAGTAATTATAGACACACGAACTAACTGCTCAGGAATAAAAAAATGTACAAAACATTAGGAAAAATCCATGAAAAAATGTCCAGTTAGAATGAAACGGTACAGGAATACGTAAAGTATCAGTTGACGGGTTATTTAGGAATGAAGGTAGAGAACATGAAATTATGGGAGGACAATTCTTCACATATCGGCACAGACTGATAATAAAGTGTATCAGGGTTTAAGTACAGGTAAATTAATAAATACGTTACAGATGCGGACTTTTTCCCAGCAATCAGTCACAAAGTAGTCTTATTCGATTCACTTCGGTCAGTAGTGACGTCGTGACGTTAGTCTGACTGTAAAAGATCGGATTTCCAACGCTTCGGTGTAAGCAGTTCTGTCCTATGCCTGTGAAACCTGACGTCTCCAAGCTGAGAATGTGTGGCTGCTGTGTTCGATCATCATTACCTCCGTAGGATTGCTTGTATCCGGTGGCAACATCATGTAAGTAATTCTGAGGTACGACAGCGTGTTTCGGCATGATGGAGATCATCATTCAATAAGTGAAGTCATCTGGAAACACCGGCTTCGGTGGTTTAGAAATGTGCTACCTATATCATCCCAAAGGCTTTCATTTCGTTCACTGTTCGCTAGCCCTAGGACCAGATGGTGGAAAGGAAGGCATGGTCAGTGTATGACATGGGACCGCGGGATGAAGGATAGTTGTATCGGGCTAGTATCTGTTGGTGTATCAAGAATCCCTGGTTGGGGTCCAAGAGACTACACGACTCAGTGGCTTGAGACGTCATCAGATATGGCTCAGAATCGGAACGAGTGGGGGTCATGGTGTAGCTTTCTTCTATCTTCTGTCGAAGAGAAGAATATTTTATTTAGAAAGTATCTAACGAGACTTCCCTTCTAATCATGCTATTCTTATTGTTTTTCTTGATTACTTATTCACTTCCCATCGTTTATGGCTTCACAATGTTGTTATATTATTTTGTGTGGCCCATTTCTCGGTTCCCTTGCTGTACCAAGTTTGTGTTCTAATAGGTAAAATAATAAAATACCACCAAGGAAATCTCACGAATTACACCGCGATCAACACACAGAACTACTCAAGTACACTAACTTCACAACTTCTACCGATTCACTAACGAAGCGTGCAAGTACAGGTTTTTATCAGTCTTGTAGAAGCACTTTGCACCTAGACGGTACAAACCATACACCAAAATTATGGATACTGATGGTCAACTGATTAAGTAGCCTGTATGTTTTCGCACAGTAAAACAATATCTTCTATACACTGGAAGTCCAAAAGTCTTTCACCCAGTGAGTCCACACTACCATCAAGCAACTCTTTCACAGTTATTTAGAGAATGTCACCGAAAGTACAGAGGTATAGCGAAATCGGCGGCCCTGTTTAAATACACTTTTGGTTTCGAACAATACAAATAAGTGACTGTAAGCCTTTACCTGAGGTGTTGAAGGTTTCAAGAAATCAAGATATCTCTGACAGGTAATTCTAGAGTACAACTCTGTCCAGCGAATCGAAGGTTACTAATAGAAACGTGCAGATGGTAAATGCTTTTTAGCTGCGCACACCGTGGAGGACTAGTTCTTCTTGAGGTACCTGAAAAAGGAGGGATAGTACGCGACCACAGAGCCCAAGGGATACCTGCTTGAAACCGGTCTCACATGGCTTTTTTGCAAGTTTGAAATTTTTTGTTTCCGAATCCGACTACGAATCCCTGTCGCAGACATCGGCATGCCGCAGGGTGATGTGAGCGTGATATTTCTGGAGATGATCTTTCCTAATGCCCCCCTTCCTATCGGGAAGGCAGAATCAACGTGGCGCTGGAGGTTATCTAAGGGAAACGCCTTACTGCCGTCACACCGTCCAGTCAGCAACATAACTCCGCCCTCGGACCCCCATTACGGCATAGAAAATTATAGTATAATAACAACTACTTTTCGTCAAACCACTACTCAACAGACTTTTCTGGTATGGTAGGACCTTGAGGGAACAAGCGTTAAGTCATTGTGACATGCAAGCCCGATCACCACGTTAACGTAGCAGCTATCGGTAGAGGAATTGAAAGTAATCCTTGCAATACTTACTAAAGTGTTCGAGCGTCTGATGGGGGGTAAACACGTGATCGATGCATCCACGACTTAAAAGATACCCGATCTGTTCTTCATGGATCCGTTTCTCACACGTTCTACAAAACCTGCGAAGTATGATAGCAGCCAACACTTTAGACGCTACTGGGAGCAGACAGTCACACACAATAGTTAAGTCCTTTTTAAAGATGGGTACAGGGATGGACTTATTCCAGAGTGAAGGCGCACTCGTGAACTGCTACACCTTCCTAAATAATGTAGTCAGTTTCCACTAAAGTCTCACCTCCATCCTTAAAAAGAGGTTAGAGGTTGTTCCGGACGAGTGTCTTACGGTGCTTTAGTGTTTGGGACTCCCTGTAGACCTCCCACTTTGTTAGGTGGAGCACAAGACATTTAGACTGATGTTACTGGAGCAGTAGGCTAGCTAAGGAGTTTTTCGGAATGCTCCATCCAGCGTGCTAGGCGTCTCACTGACACCAGGCTTATTAATACCGGTAGCTTTGGATGAGCTGAAACGGCTTCAGACGATTGCCAAATGGTTACATCTCACTCACGTGTTCTGAACACCAGGTCTCGTGTTTTCTACGCAGGCGTTGTTTGATCAGTCACGTAATGGAATTAAGCAGACTATTATACTCATCAAGTTCTGGAATACAACAATGAGCTCGCAGTAACTTAGTGTTTTTTAGTGAGACATTCTTCGAAGCCGCAACCAGCTATACTCGTCGTTTTTACGACGACCTGTAAGTGGAACCAACTCTCATCCATAGTTTTTGGAAGTTCAACGGCTAGCCAACTCAGTTTGGTATTTAGTCGCAAAACTATGTGCAACGTGTCTGCTTACTTCGGTCATTTTCGGATACATCTGCATGCTCCTGAGTAGTGACATCTTGGACCAATTCATTTACTTGCCAGGTTCTAAGATGATCTTTTTGTCGTACAATATCGGTAAAACTTAAAATGGACTTGATAGAATTCACACAGTCGGATTTATCTGTCCATAAATTTTCTAATGTTAGTATGAAAAGAATTTAGCAAAAGATCATTATTTCCATTACCTTCTTTTATTCCCTTTAGTATTGCCAGAAGTTAAAGACGATCGAGGACTATCTGCACGGTGTGAACGTTGGTTTTGACCAAATGTTTTGCGTCGCGGACCGAGGTACATTTCATCTGAATAATCATCATCAGAAGGGGGAAGGTCACTTTCACCAGAAGAATGTGTATAATATCCACTGTCGATATTGGCTTGCAGTTTGCTAACTTCATTCCAGGCTCGTTCAAATCCCCCACCTGGGACACCACCTGTAGCACTCGAACGCCGAAGCACACCAACTTCGTCCGCAGGGAGGTGGAAAGCGCGAGTATGAACTTTCTTCACAAACATTCGTTCATGTGAGCCACCAAAGAAGCGTATCTATGAAAAAAAACACTCGGTAAAGTTGTTTCCAAAATACTATTCAGTTGATAAAACAAATTATTTTACATATGATAAACAAGCTAAGAGAGTAAATGTCGAGGACATTAAACTTTATCTTACTGAAATCTAATGAGTATTCGAGCTTAGGATACCACAGAGAGGTTTATTGTAATAGTCGAATAAAAAAAGGACTTGAATATGAAAAAGAAAATGCAGAGTACCAGATAACAGCTCACAATGGTTGGAGACTTGGCGATATGGCTTGGAATCAGTCGCAATCACACATGAATTCGCTCTTAGCTACTGTAACATATTTCATTATTTCCTGCTTTCTTTTTCCTTCGTCTTATGGTTTTCGACTAAGATATTTCCAATGCTTTGTATCTTTAAGTGCAGGGTGGCAACTTTTTTCATTGTAACGCTAAGTCTATTGTTGGTATTTACCGACCAGTTGAATATGTGCAGGTTCTGTCTGTCCCCAAAGTAATGACAATGCAACCTTAGGTAACATAAGTAGAATCAGTTGAAAGTGACGATATACACATAATTTTTGACAAGCCTTGATACAACCGAAATTTGATATGTAGTCCACTTTTAGTTTGAACAGTAGGATTCGAAAATTTACTCACTTGAGCTAAGCATGGACTCGCCCTGTTATAGGAGCGCTTGTTTGTATGGAGGCTAAAATACTAAACAGGCATATTATACTAAAGCAAGTGGAACGGTTTTAGAGTGATCGCTGAGCAACAAGATTTCGCCAGCACTAATGCAGTTCATTTGGCCTTCACGACTTATAATACCAGAACAAAAGTATAGTTCACCGAAGATCAAATACAAATATTTGTCGAAAACATATGACGCTAAACATTTCCATTACGAAAAATTGGGTGAGTTTAAATATACAGCTTACCTCATACCCATCGTCACGCTCTAACAAAACTTTGGCTGGCCAATAGAACTGAGCAACTGAGATATCGTTCAAAAACCCAGCACCAGCTGATGTGCGGTTGCGTGCCCATATCAGTTCATGAGGCGGTTTACAGGGTTTACTAATCCAGTCTGTAACACGAGCCTTTGCGTTAATGTAACAGTCGGTACATAGTTGAATTTCATTCAGTTCCACATTAACAGAACGGAAGAAAAAACGGATTTCATCAGCCTGGTTACTATAAGGACCATGAAGGATGCATACATCATGTACAAGCAGCTGTACATCCATAGAAAACTCTTCCAAGGCAGCGTACCGTCCGTCTTTTATCTTGCGTTGCAATAAATCTAGATCTGTGTACTTATACACGAGGTATTCATTTTTTGTTATTTCACCTTTATAACCCACTTGAAGGAATGTTTTCCACAGTGGCTGTTTCCTTAGGTGATGGGTAGCAAACTCCAAGAGTTTTCGTATCTGCTTACGAGAAAATTCACACTTTGGTCTAGACTCACAAACAGGGCAGGTAAAATTATCTTCTTGTCCATCGTGAAGAGTTGGAGAACGCATTGACTTTCTAGGAGGACTGTTGGGGTTAGAAGCTTCTTGAACACAATCCGCATGATATACACGAAAACAGTCAAGACAGCGTAACACTTCCCCTGGCCTATGACATTGGAAGCAATACCAATCATGCTTTCCTCTTGGAAACTGTTTTGTGAAGTCAGGAACTTGATAGCGTACCATTCCATTTTTCCCATACGGAGGCTTAATCTTTTCAATAAGTTCATCACCTTCAATTTCATCCAGTAATAACCTTATCTGATCATCCTTTAGGTTTAATGTTTTTCGCAGAACTTTGTTTATTTTATCGGCTGGCACTGCTTGTCTATGGGACTTGGCTACACTAAGAGCATCCCACACTTGACGCACCTTTAATGGATCGGCATGTCGATAGCTCCTAAGTTTAGCATGATCCATATTCGAAGTCAGTTCATGCTCTAAAGCAAAAAAACATAGGTTATGAATAGCTGATATAATTAAATGCTGTAGAACATGTACATAGTATGGCAATTTTAGGTGAATAATCTTAGTTGAATTGAGAATATGATGGATGGCCGGTGCGACGACATTTAATGAACATCTAATAGCAACGCATCATCAGACAAAACCAAACGACGTTATTAAATAAATCACAAAAAAAGGCAAAGCATTATTTAATAAAATATTCTACATTTCGTTTTATAGCCATCGACATCCTTCGCATTTTTTGCCTTCTCCTTTAAGATGAGCATTTTGGTGTGAAAATCGTTTTACATTTAAGCATCATCATCATTATCAACATAGGACCAGGCATTACTGCGTAACGGTCCGAGTTGCCACACCTCATATCAGCACATCAAGTAAAAAGGTAGTGAGGTGAAGGATGAAGATAAGTGAATGCAGTCAAAAGAAATATAAAGTACGAGAAGAAAGGAAAGAGGAGTGACAAAATAGTGAGATTCGGTATAGCGTTGTTAAGATGAGGATAATGTGTGTATACATCTGCGCCACTGACTTCGGTTCTGAGCCATATCACCTAGGGTCTCCAACCACTGGTTCCTCTTGTCCCGTGGACCCCAACCACCTAGTCTGCATCGTCCTACATGGCTTAAACCAACAGTCAGAGACTTCATACATTGGTGCCATGTTTTAGTCTGGCCACCTCGGGCCTTTTTCCAGCCTGAACCCACCTCAGCCAACATTGTGTGACGAGGCAATCGGTGACTAGGCATACGTAGTACGTGTCCCAACCATCTCAGTCGATGAAGGTTCACAACCTCGTCGACTGACTTACCTCTTCTCCCTAAAACTCTACACCTAACTTCTGCATTACTCACATGGTGACACCACGGAATACGTCCTATACTACGAAGGCAACGGTGGTCAAACACCTGAAACCTTTTTGTGTCTTCCACTTTCAATGGCCATGTTTCACAGCCATACAGTAGAACAGAGCGGACTGCTGTGCAGTACACGCGACCCTTAATAGACAAACGAATATCACGGCGGCGCCATAGGTGGCGCAAATTGGCAAAAGCCAATCGAGCCTTTTGTATCCGTGCAGAAATCTCATCGGCAACTAACCCACCGGGTTGATCCTACTTCCCAGGTAAGTGAAGTGGTCAACACACTCAACCACTTCACTCTCTATTGTTAACCGCGGTACCGCTGAAGACCAGTCCTGGAGCAAAAATTTGCATTTGGGTGGTGAAAATCGCATCCCAAACATTCTCAAATTCCCACTCAAAGTGTTCAGAAGACTCTGCATCTTGTCAGCGTCTTCACCTAACAGGACTATGTCATCTGCATATTCTAGATCTAAGGAAAATTCACCACCGATTAGGTCAACGTCTTTGTAATTAGGTGACGAGAGGGAAACCTCCATAAGAATATCTATGATAAAATTAAATAAGAATGGGGATAGTGGGCATCCTTGACGGACACCACTTGATGAGTATAGCTCCCTGGACAACTCACCATAGGCTCTAACATGCCCACAAGTGTTCGAGTAGAGAGCTTTCAATAAGGTGATGTACTTACTAGGCACGCCTTTCAGTGACAGACACTGCCATAAGACTTCTCGATCAACGGAGTCAAATGCCGCCTTCAGGTCGAGAAATACAGCTATTGTCGGGCGTCTGTAAGCATGCCTATGTTCCAGGACCTGGCGCAGTGTGAATATTTGGTCGATACATCCACGGCCAGGTCTAAAGCCTGCCTGGTTTTCTCGGGCTTGCTGTTCCCGAGCTCCACTCAGGCGTCGGAGAATTATAGAACTTAGGATCTTAGACACTATGTTTGTCAGGCTGATTCCTCTGTGGTTATCACAAGAGGACTTCTCGCCTTTCTTGAAGACTGGGATGATCAGTGACTTAGACCAGTCGGAGGGGATCGTATTTGATTCCCATATACTGGCTAACACTTCCGTTAGCCTGACTAAGAGAACTCTACCACCATTCTTGTATACCTCAGCAGGTAGTCCGTCTGGTCCTGCTGCCCTTCCCCGTTTCAGGCTACCTACCGCTTTCTCAACTTCTTCTAGTGTTGGGGGACCTGTCTCTATGTCCCATTCAGGGTCCGACTGGATAGCGGGCAGCGCAATGGTGGCTGGAGGCCAGTTAAACTGTTCCTCAAAGTGTTCTGCCCATCGTCCCAGTCGCCTTCCCTGCGAGTGAATCGCCGATCCGTCCTTCTCCGCTATAACCTCACTAACTGTTGTTGACCATTTCCCCCCAGTCTCCTTAATAAGTCTAAATAACTGTCTACTGTTACCGATCGCCGCTGCCTTTTCCATCTCTTTAGCCTTTGCTGCCCACCACTGTTCACGATCGTTGCGCAGACTTTTCGTCAGTTTATTTTTAAGTTGCGCTCGCTCTTCATTGTACTCAGAGCCTGCAGGGATGCATTCACGTGCATCCATTAGTTTGGAAGAAGCTGCTGATATCCACTGGCTCTTTTTAGCCATTATCTTGGAGTCGGCTACAGTCTCCAGTGCTGCTTTTACAGTAGACTGAAGATGGCACCAAGCTTCTTCTGGATGAGTGACAGTCTTTTGTTCCGATAACTGCCTAGCCAACTTCTCACTGAACACGGCTTTGGTGTTTTCGTTGTCCAGCAGAACTCGTAGTGGTTTTGTTGCCAAATTTTTTCTACGTCCATTGAGACGCAGGCATATACGTGCTCGGACCAACGCATGATCGCTGTCCAAACACGTACTCCAGAAGGAGCGGCAGTCTTCCACCGATCCTCTCCAGCGATGACTAATAGCAATGTGGTCTATCTGTGTCCATCGCTGAGTCGAGCTCGGTGGACGCCAGGTCAGACAGTGCCTTTCTTTATGTCTGAAATTTGTGCTGGCTAAAAATAGGCGGTTATCTGAGCATAGTTGTAATAGGCGATCACCGTTATCTGTACGTTCAGCTGGGATTCCGAAAGTGCCACCTAAGTGCCTTTCTGCCTCACTCAGTCTACCCACCTGTGCGTTGAGGTCACCTGCAACAACCACTACGTCCGAACGTTTGGCTTTCGAGAGGAGGTTAGACAGTTTATGGTAGAACTCGTCCTTCACTTCATCCGAACTACAGTCAGTGGGTGCGTAAGCAGAGATTACAAAGAGACAACGGCGAGTCTCACTATTCCTTTTAGTTCTCACTGTGCCGTTCAGCCTCATAGCGCAGAGGCGACTATCAACTGGGATCCAGTCTAGTAGTGAGTTTTCTGCCCTGGTGCTTAATGCTATACCTACACCTGCAAGACCACGAGAGCTAGCTATCGAATCTCCAGAAACTCGAAGGGTGAATTTTGCAGATTCACCAGATTGGTCAGGAGAGGTCAGGTGAATAACCACACTTGGGTCCTGTATGCGTGTCTCACAAACACAGCACACATCCATGCCCGAGTTGCTAGAGTCTTTGCCAACGAAGCCTGTTGGCCAATTTGACGGAGGGTGCGGACATTGAAGGCTCCAATATGTAATTTGGAGCGTGGTTTAAGGAGACCAGGGATGCTGTTCTGTGGACTCAGATCGTTGTCGAAGGCTGCAGAGGTAGGAGAAATTGAAGATGATGCAGCATCATTAATTAAGAGACGTGAAGGAAGATTAGAAGGTAATGATGGAGGAGGAGGATAGCAGTCAGAAGAAACTTGGGTGCTGACAGAGTTGTGAGGGCGGTTGACACTTCCCGGCTGCCCACACCGTGGAAGGCTATTTCTTCTTAAGGTACCTGAAAGAGATTTGTGTGACCGCAGAGCCCATCGGACATCTGCTTGAGGCCTGTCACACCCAGCCTTTTGAGTATGATTATTTTGAATTTTTGTATTTTTGGGGCCGGATGAGCGAAAGGAAACGACAAGTGAACCAACACCGCCGGCCCGGCAGACCGTGGGGCGTGGTGGAGTGTGTTATTTTTGGGGCCGACCTTTTCTAACCCCCCCTTCCACTGAGAAGGCAGCATCAGCTTGGCACTGCTGGTCATCCAAGGGAAACACCTTACTGCTGTCACACCCCATCCAGCTAGCAGCAGTACGACTTCGCCCTCAGACCCCCATCATAGTGTAGCAATTTACACTATAACGGTAACTGCTTTTCGTCTAACCACTACCCAACAGACCTTTCTGGTATGGTAGGACCTCGAGGGAACAAGCGTTCCACCAGCATAGCTCGTTGGGTCATTGTGATATGCAAGCCCGACCACCACGTCAAGGTAGCAGCTAAGCAAACAAAATCTTTCATCCTTATCTCTTTCAGATGCCTTGACAGAGAGTGCAACCGGTTAGGCTGAATCACAATTACGCCCGATCTTGTTTTAATGACTACGGTGTGACAAAGTTACGAATTTACTTATTATTAGAAGCAAATCCAAAACGTCTAGCATTACTGTCATTCATCTAACGAAAATAAGCTAATAACGCAGGGCCACATAGTTCCTTTATGGGATTCAACAGTTATCCAGATCAAAAGTAGCCTGAATGGGACATACGCCATAAGTAATACTGACATCGTAAGCAACCCAACACGGTTCAAACACTTTTCATAAACTTCATGGATTGTTGCCATTTCCTGCAGTCGTCATTTTAATCAACTGGTACTTCAGGTAACATTATTCACAGAGGAAGGCGATGGATAGACATAATACATGTCTCAATCATCTTGATTAATGAGTGTTTATACAATCTCACGTACTGACTTAAATCCTCCTTTACTCGCGACTCTAAATCAAAATGCTGCCTACTCTGTGGCTATACCACACGTGAGGGATGCTACAAAAAAACCTAAGATAGAAAATCTGTAACCTTGTTTTTCTCATCCTTGGCAATTAGAAATTTTGCTGCTGCCATATGCATGAAATGTCAGACGGGTTGATCTATCGATCCAGATTTTAACTATACACCACTTTTACTTTTAGTTATTTAGGGCGCATCGCTTTCTCCTCAAAACGCTTAGAAGACAAGACACTTGCTAATCACTAGAAGCACTGGGCGATAACCGTGTCGCATCATGAACTAACATAAATTCAGAAAAGTAAACCTTTGGACTTTATCCCAGTGGCTGGATGATAATACTACTGACCTTAAAACCAGAGCCTGATCCTATATGAGATTGTGGGTGTGCACTGCTGAGAAATCCTAAATTAAGATGGAAAACCGCTGGTCACTGAAGTGTAGTTTATGGCAGCGAAACATGGCGTAAGTTGGCATAGATCAATCGAGCCTTTACTATCTATGCAGAAACCTCCTCGGTCAATGACCCAACACGTCTTATATGGCTTCCCACACAAGTGAGGCTGTCAACGCGTTCCACCACTTTACTCCCGACAGTTAAACAAGGCACCAATAACAACCAGTCCAGAAATAACAACTTGCATTTGCGTGGCGAGAAACGCATTCCAATCATCCTCAAATTAACATTCAATGTGTCCAGAAAACTCAGCGTCTTCACATAACAGGACTACGTCATCTGTGTACTCTAGGTGTAACAAGGATTACCCTATGATAAGATCAATCAATCCCTGTAAAGTCAGATGGCAAGAACGAGACCTACATAGATACCTCTATGGTTGAAGTTGGATAAAAATGGATAAAGTGGACATCCTTGTCAGACACCACTCGATGTGAACAACTCACTGTTCGCCCTAACACGTCCACAGGAGTCTAAGTTCAGAGCCTTCAAAGGGATGACCTACTCACCCGGCACGTCTTTCAGTGAGAGACATTCCTATGAGACCTCTCGAACGACAGAGTAGAATACTGCTTTCTGGTAAGAGGAATACAACTAATGTCGAGCGTCGGTGAGTGTGTCTGTATTCCAGGAGCTGGCAGCGAGTGAAAATCTGGTTGATCCACTCATGACCAAGCCTGAAACATGCCTAGTTCTTACGGGTTCGCTGTTCCCGAGCTACACTTATACGCTTGGTAATCATAAGACCTAGAATCTCAGGCACTACGTTCGTCGAGCTGATACTTCTGTGGTTGTCAAAAGAATTTCCCACCCTTATTGTAGACTCGGAAAGTCAGGGATTGGAACCGGTCAGAGGGGGGGGGGTATACCTGACTCTCAAACAATAGCCAACACTTCAGTTAACACGGTCCTTAAATACCTCCGGTACTAGTCCATCTCGCACTGCTGCTGTTCCTCGTTTCAGATCACTTACAGCTTCCCGACTTCTCAATGTTGGAGGCCCTATCTCAAAGTTGCTTTCAGGATCCGATTGGGTAGCAGGAAACAGACTAGTCAGCTGGAGGTCACTTGAATTGTTCCTCGAAGTGTTCTGCGTCTATTCAGGCACAGATATGTGCGTACTAGAACCAACGCATGATCGCTGTCCAAGCATGTACACCAGAAGGAGCGGTAGTCTTCCATCAACTCTCTCCAGAGATAACTCATAGCGATATGACCTGTATGTATCCACCACTGAGTTGAGGTCGGTGGATGCCACATCAGACAATGTTCCTCTTTATACCTGAAATTTGTACTGGCCAGAAATAGATCGTTATCTGTTCACAGATGTAGTAGGTGACCGTCGTTACCTCTTCATTCGGTTAGGATTCAAAAGTGCCACCTAAGTGCCTTTCCATCTGACTTAGCCTACCCACCTTCGCATTGAAATCACCTACTACGACAATCACGTCTGAAGGCGTTTCAGTAGGAGGTTCCACAGTTTGTGATAGAACTAATCCTCCACTTCATCCGAGATGCAGTCAGTATGTGTGTGTGAGAGGACTTCGTAAAGAAATAATGAGGAGGCAAATAATTCGTTTAGTTCTTACTGTACCATCCACTCAAGGAGTTCAGTATTGCTTCTCTTGCGAGACCATGAAAACTAGCTGTTAATTGTTTAGAAATTCTGAAAACTATTTCTGCAGATCCACCGTAATGGCTGAGCGTTTCAAAGACAGCACATGTCCAGAGTCCAGGATAGCAGAGGTTTTGGTAGCGAAGCTTGTTGGACTTGACTGATGGTGCGGACACTGATAACTGTAATCTGTAGTTTGAGGTGGGATTTTATCAAACCTGGAATGCTGTTCATTGGACTGGAGTCATTATTGAGCGCTAGAAGTTGACGCTGATGTAGGAATACTGAGGAAATGCCAAAAATTAGAAGTCAGAGAAGTAGGTTTGCAACAATCTAATGAAACGTTAGTGCTGGTCGTATTGTGAGAACAGTTGACACCTCTTGGTTGTCCATACGATGGAGAGTTTCTCCTTTTTGAGGTGCCTTGAAAGAGGAATTATATGATAAGGTGTAAGTAACCACAGTGCGAGGGACATCTACCGGAGGCCGGTTACACAGGATCTTTGACAGACTTGCATGCGGTCATACAAGATCCTGGGGTAGAGAATGCTATTTTCAAGACTGCTTTCCTTCCTCCCACCTCTCGACCAAAAGGTAAGGCAGCATAGTACTGCTGGTCATCTGTTGAGAACACATCTGCTGTAACACATCGTCCATTTAGCAGTAGGACTTCGTCCTATGTCCGTAGTTTAGTCAATGGATCATACGTTTAAATCTGGTTGAATTAACCAGGCTACGGGAAGTATATTGCATCACTAGCAGTCCAAGATCAGTAGTGCCTATTACCTGTTGCGTTTAATCGCACACTGTTCCCAAGGGACATTTCATTTCGTCAATTTTCATTCATATCACTCACGTTAGAGGTCAACAACCGTTTATCTAAGCTTAACGCCAACACTGTTGAACTAGAGATTTCATCAAACGCCCGCAGCGCTACGAAGATAATAATGATCAAAATCCTGTGGCTTCATTGAGTCTTAGAATCTTGACTAATGAGATGGACTATTCCGTGTTCAGAATAAAAGGTCTTCAGAAAAAGAATGACTAACAACCTACATCAGTCTAATGAAAATACCGTATAGTTGAAGGGAATTCTGTGGATATGAATCCTTGGAAACACATCTGCCAGCCATCAGGCTTTACCATTCTTTAGGTTTCAAAGAAGTTGTAGAGCACTCGAGGGAATGTGAGGACTAATAATGGGACTCAATTTACTGAGGTCTGACTATAGAAAAATGAATGATCATGATGCAGTCTCTGGCACTCCATCAAACAGTATTTCCGGTTAGCATTTCTCCTAACCATCAATTAGGGACCAGTCCCGGTTTTTCGCCCAAAGACTACAAAGTGCGCCCGAAGTAAGTGCTGGCTGGGTACCAACAATGAGACTAAGTAACAACTGTATACTTAACAAATGTTGCATCAAACTTATCTATCACCGAACGTACAGGTTTATTAAAGAATCTAAATCAGTTTAACCGCATAAAGATAACCACGACAAAGCTACTGAGGGTTAAGTGACTCCCTGAAATGAGCTAATCATTAGGTGAACTTCTTATTCATGAAATCATGCAATTAAAAATTGGTGAAGACAAAAAACTACCCTTTTACTGTTAAAAACTGGCAAAGGAACTTAATCTGAAGTCAAAAACATTTCGTTTATCCATGCAGCCCCTCTGCCTGTTGATACTACGATTTAATATATATACTAAAAAGCATGAAGCATAATAAGCATATGGAATAAAGATATGTTGCGCATGTACCAGGCATAAATGACAGCCTTAACGTTAACCAACTTTTGATCGAAATCAACACACGACATTACTGGAAGTCCATGAATATATGCGTCAATTAGTTTGTGGGAAAATGGCATAATAACACAAATTGACTTACGTGAGCGATAGGTCTGCCATTGAAATTTAATCGACTTAAACAAATAAAACTAATTTAATATCGTTTTGCAACATATTACTTTACTCAATTCGAAGACATATTCAGTTACATTTAACGGTCTTCAGACTATTTAGAAATATAGAGGCGCGCATTCCAAGAAATAAATTAGGGCGGTAAGTCGTAACTCCGTCGATAAGTGGTTTTTCTTTTCTTATTTCTACGTGATAGAAAAACAAGTTTATAGTATCAGTGAATGAGAAGTATGCACTATATGCTCTTGAACTGGTTGTCCGAAGATTTTGTGCATGTGTAAAAGCTAGTTTTCAACAAGTTATTTCCATCACCCAGCCAAGAAACACTTTAGGCGTATTTTAAAAATTCCGGCCAAAAACGGCAGGAAAACCTTACAGTTCCTGCAGATACTTCATCCTCGTCAACGAAGTTGTCGAAAAATGTTTCCGAAATTGGCAAAGTGCACCCAAATTGTCTGTACTCCGCCCATATCTGTCGAAATATCTGCAGTTCCAGTTATAAGAATAGTAGCCCAGATAGCCTGTGTTAATCCTTGAAGGAGATACCCCTGTAAAAACCTATTTTCTCCTTAAATGCGTTGACAGAAGGTGCTGATACTACTTGTAAGGTAAGGAATCACAGTTATTGACCACACGATGTGAGGAACGCAGATTCACGCTAAGTTGATTCGATCATGACTTTTGAATTTTCTTGTGATGCCTTCGGAGATAGTCAATCCTAGCAACGGAGATAAATAGGACATCATTACCGAAGTCATTATTAAGGATACGAAATGCCAGTATGAGGTCACCCCGTTTCCTATTGTCAGACAATGGGAGTAAGTTTAGCTGATCTAGTCGTTCCTCATAAGACAGATTCAGAAGGCTTAGTACCTACCCTTTAAACACCCTTGAGGACGTCAGCATCCTTTTCTAGGCATGGGCTGGCCGCCTGAATTTAGTATTCCCAGTGAGGTCTAAAGTAAGTAGAATGAAGTATTCTGAACATGTCGTGATTAAAACTTTCGATAGCTGTTTGGAGGTACCATAATACGTGGAGGCCCTTTGCTGCGGCTACATTACAATTTCCCGAGGTTTTCAAATCATGACTAATGATGGTCTCCAAGTTTTTTAGTTCAAAGACTAGAAGTAGTGGTGTACCATCAACGGAATAGTGGAAACAAATGCTACGACCAATGTGCATCATTGCACTTTTATTAGAGTTGATTTCCAGACATCAACTTTCAGACCAACCTATTAGTCCATCGAAATGCGCTTGAAGTGCATACCTACCTGCTTCACTGCGTATGGCTCTCCAGATCTTGACATCGTCGGTGAATAGCAGTATCGTTGACAAGAAAAGTAATGAACCTGAGATTGTTCCTTGAGGAACTCCACTCACAGGCTTCCACGTTAACAGGATCCCATTTACCCTACTGCTTTCCTTCTATCACACAGGAAGTCCCTAATCCGAGCTTGCAATGAAGCACCTAACCCGAAAGTGGAGAGGTTTCCTAGTGCACCGAAAATTTCACGAATAAGACATTGTGACAGGCAGTAAGTAATGTACATGAATGAAATTTGCAGGTGTGGATGCTTAGTGGTAGTATAAGAGATCTGTGACTATAATATTGCGAAATATAATTGATTTTTGAGACGCCTAAGATTTTGGAACTTAAGTTCCAAACGACGCTCAAGATGGATTTCGAGATACCCAAAAATACCACAGTGTACCCAGTGTTTGTAGGCTAGGCAATCGGCCTGTTGAGCAGTATTGACAAGTTTTTATGTTTAATGGGAATCTTTGTCACTCGCATTCAGCTTACTGTGGATCAGTAAAATTTTTGGTTTGGTATCATTCAAAAACCGTTTGTTCGTGGAGATGCTTCTCCCCATCCGGAGATTTGAATTCTCGTTAACAACTGTTAACGTTCTGATTTTTCGTGTACTTATCATACAACATAGTGTTTTCGGTAATAATGATCTTTATAGTAGTTCCGAACTAATTTTCTGTCGTAGTGCAGTCACGGCAACGATGATGTTTCGACGCCGTAAGGCAGTTTTGCCTTTGAACTGTAACACTACAAGCGGTTATGTATTAAATAGTGTCCGTTTTTCGTGGTTATTTTTTAGTTCAGAGATTTGTATACTTTCCGCATCTCATTAGATAAAAGTTTGCTTACCTAGCTACATTATTCTGAGAAGTTTCCTCTTCATTCAGATTCAATCCTATAATTCAAGCAAAGCTCTGTTTGTGCGGAAGCTGGTGTATAGTTGCTGTAAGTCCTATTAACTTAGGATGTCAAGACATCAAGAGTGCGACATTTACCAGATCAAATTCTCATTCAGTAGTGCTAGTTACTTGCGGATAAGTCAAGGTGGATACCAGGAATGAATCATGGATTGAGAACCTACACAGCGTTAACTTTGTCAGCAGTTGTAGTTGACGTCTTTGCGAAACCAGATTTATATCCATATGGCACATAAACACTAATTTTCAGCACTCGAGTATGTCCCTGTCTACATTGCTTTTGACTGTTGTAACCGTTTCCTTTAGAGCTCTCTGGAAACTTCCTTATGATGACAATCAATTACTAAACCTTATTATCGGTAGTGGGATTGCTAGTCACAAGTCAAGAAGTCCAGTTGACATTTACCACTCGTTAGTATTTCCATATTTCATGTTCTTTCAGGTGATGAAGATTTGCTTAGATCTGTAATCTACTTGATCTCAGGTTTCGTCCATTCAAACTCGGATTTTAGATATTGATAGAAACTGGAATGTAGGACTATGCACTGCCCAATTTGATTCCTCCCTAGCTGTCACAATAGGCCTTCCTACATTTATAAAGACTTCGATAGTCAGACACAACCTTGTGCTAATTGGCTGACACCCCAGCTAATAGCTTTTAGAACTTTAGAACTGATACCATTCCATTTCAACAGGCTGCACTGCCTCTCTTCAGTTAACTTGCAGCTTCCTATATTTCAGTACATTTTAGACGCTTTAAATCAATGTCCAAGCCAGTGGGATGGTGTCAAATAATGCTCGCTATGTTTGCGAATCCGCACTCAAACCTGTAGTCAGTTTCGTATGAGTAGTCAGACGAAGTAAGGAATATTTGTCATACAGTAAGTTTTTCCCGTGACCTCCTCGTCTTTGCCGCTAATCTGTATGCTAAAATAGTCTAAAGAACAAAATCCAAGCATTAGGTAACTAGTAGGTCTGAATAGTTTACAGTCACCTAGAAGAATGTGTGCATAATTCAGCCCCACTCTTCCACTGATGCACTAATAAAAACCCTGCAACTTCCCGAAGACCTGTACTACAATTTCTGCCGTCAAGCTACTTTGCCCTTCCCCTTTAAGATATACATTATTTATCGTCGAAATGTTTTCCAAGCGTCGTCCTACTTCTATCGGTTCACCCAAGGTTCTTTTGCCGGCTGTGGTTACTATTTCTGAGGTTTGCCTATTAAAGTAGATTTGTTTCACTGTGCTCACTGGAGCTAATGATGTGCGGCATTCGAAATTGGCTTCAGTATACAGTAATTTTCAGAAATTAACTACCTAACCATTTAAACACTTGTTGTTGCCATCGGAAATCGACTAAATTTGGTTCTGACCTTCACAAAAACCAAGCCATAAAGTTGAAGACATTGCATTAATTACTACGACAAAGAGTAGATTAATCAATTGCAACCCGACTGACGCCACAGGGAAGACTCAAATGAATAGTGAAAGTTGCCGTTGTTTGTTTGTAGTCTCTGCTTATGCACCTAATGACCGTCTAACCTCCTACTGAAACGCCTTCAGACGTGATTGTCGTAGTAGGTGATTTCAATGCGAAGGTGGGTAGGCTAAGTCAGATGGAAAGGCACTTAGGTGGCACTTTTTGAATCCTAACCGAATGAAGAGGTAACGACGGTCACCTACTACATCTGTGAACAGATAACGATCTATTTCTGGCCAGTACAAATTTCAGGTATAAAGAGGAACATTGTCTGATGTGGCATCCACCGACCTCAACTCAGTGGTGGATACATACAGGTCATATCGCTATGAGTTATCTCTGGAGAGAGTTGATGGAAGACTACCGCTCCTTCTGGTGTACATGCTTGGACAGCGATCATGCGTTGGTTCTAGTACGCACATATCTGTGCCTGAATAGACGCAGAACACTTCGAGGAACAATTCAAGTGACCTCCAGCTGACTAGTCTGTTTCCTGCTACCCAATCGGATCCTGAAAGCAACTTTGAGATAGGGCCTCCAACATTGAGAAGTCGGGAAGCTGTAAGTGATCTGAAACGAGGAACAGCAGCAGTGCGAGATGGACTAGTACCGGAGGTATTTAAGGACCGTGTTAACTGAAGTGTTGGCTATTGTTTGAGAGTCAGGTATACCCCCCCCCCCTCTGACCGGTTCCAATCCCTGACTTTCCGAGTCTACAATAAGGGTGGGAAATTCTTTTGACAACCACAGAAGTATCAGCTCGACGAACGTAGTGCCTGAGATTCTAGGTCTTATGATTACCAAGCGTATAAGTGTAGCTCGGGAACAGCGAACCCGTAAGAACTAGGCATGTTTCAGGCTTGGTCATGAGTGGATCAACCAGATTTTCACTCGCTGCCAGCTCCTGGAATACAGACACACTCACCGACGCTCGACATTAGTTGTATTCCTCTTACCTGAAAGCAGTATTCTACTCTGTCGTTCGAGAGGTCTCATAGGAATGTCTCTCACTGAAAGACGTGCCGGGTGAGTAGGTCATCCCTTTGAAGGCTCTGAACTTAGACTCCTGTGGACGTGTTAGGGCGAACAGTGAGTTATTCACATCGAGTGGTGTCTGACAAGGATGTCCACTTTATCCATTTTTATCCAACTTCAACCATAGAGGTATCTATGTAGGTCTCGTTCTTGCCATCTGACTTTACAGGGATTGATTGATCTTATCATAGGGTAATCCTTGTTACACCTAGAGTACACAGATGACGTAGTCCTGTTATGTGAAGACGCTGAGTTTTCTGGACACATTGAATGTTAATTTGAGGATGATTGGAATGCGTTTCTCGCCACGCAAATGCAAGTTGTTATTTCTGGACTGGTTGTTATTGGTGCCTTGTTTAACTGTCGGGAGTAAAGTGGTGGAACGCGTTGACAGCCTCACTTGTGTGGGAAGCCATATAAGACGTGTTGGGTCATTGACCGAGGAGGTTTCTGCATAGATAGTAAAGGCTCGATTGATCTATGCCAACTTACGCCATGTTTCGCTGCCATAAACTACACTTCAGTGACCAGCGGTTTTCCATCTTAATTTAGGATTTCTCAGCAGTGCACACCCACAATCTCATATAGGATCAGGCTCTGGTTTTAAGGTCAGTAGTATTATCATCCAGCCACTGGGATAAAGTCCAAAGGTTTACTTTTCTGAATTTATGTTAGTTCATGATGCGACACGGTTATCGCCCAGTGCTTCTAGTGATTAGCAAGTGTCTTGTCTTCTAAGCGTTTTGAGGAGAAAGCGATGCGCCCTAAATAACTAAAAGTAAAAGTGGTGTATAGTTAAAAATCTGGATCGATAGATCAACCCGTCTGACATTTCATGCATATGGCAGCAGCAAAATTTCTAATTGCCAAGGATGAGAAAAACAAGGTTACAGATTTTCTATCTTAGGTTTTTTTGTAGCATCCCTCACGTGTGGTATAGCCACAGAGTAGGCAGCATTTTGATTTAGAGTCGCGAGTAAAGGAGGATTTAAGTCAGTACGTGAGATTGTATAAACACTCATTAATCAAGATGATTGAGACATGTATTATGTCTATCCATCGCCTTCCTCTGTGAATAATGTTACCTGAAGTACCAGTTGATTAAAATGACGACTGCAGGAAATGGCAACAATCCATGAAGTTTATGAAAAGTGTTTGAACCGTGTTGGGTTGCTTACGATGTCAGTATTACTTATGGCGTATGTCGCATTGAGGCTACTTTTGGGAAAATTATACAAAATTTGATTGTTGGTAAGTTGACCGGTGATAATGCGGGGGAATAAATGTTCAGAGGAAAAGTAGTTCAATTGAGAGGTTTGTACGCTGTTATAGTTTCAAAGTTGGTATTCATCATGAGCAGTCATGAGTTTTAATGTAATTGTATTTGTTGTAGCAGTGGACGGCAGTTTGTTTTCAGAACGACACTCCTCTATGGTGTTGTATGTGGCCTTATGGAGTGTTGCGCTGTGATTGTAGGTCCTTTGTTTTTTCTTCGTCGTTTCGACTCTCAGTTTGACCGGAAACATTGGTACCGGTATCTTTTGGGGTAGGAAGGAATGTACCAATTTTGGTTCTACGTATTAATAGGCGTAACTTTGTGTGTCTGACTTCATGGAGGCTAATCTACTCCTTGTGGGTCATCTGGTCGACTTTGAGTATGCAGATGACATTGTCCTGCTAGATAAAGACGCTAACGGAATGCAGGCACTTCTGAACGCGTTATGGAGAAACATAAGTATGTTTGACATGCGTTTCACATGGGTCAAACGTAAGATGATACTCCAGGACTGGTGTGCTGCTAATACTCCCAGCCTGATGATAGAAAGTAATGGAGTGGTGGAACGTGTCGACCACTTCATTTATTCGGGAAGTTGCATCTGCCCGAATGGGTTAGTTGCTGATGAAATCTCAGCTCGGATACAGAAGACTCGTTTGGCATTTGTTAACTTGCGTCATTTGCGGTGTCCACTGGTGAGATATCTGAATGCCTATCAAAAAACGAGTATACTGCCTTGCAGTCCTATTGTACGCCTGTGAGACATGATCATTAGAAGTAGAAGACGAGAACAAGGTTTTGATCAAAGGTGTCTTCGTAGTATTGCTCGCGTTTGGTGGGATCCCTGTTTGAGCAATGTTGAGGCCAGACAAAGGGTACTGGGCAAGACAGGCAAGTCGATTGACGAGGTTGTGAACCTTAGTTAACTGAAATGGCTTGGACATGTACTGTGTATGCGAAGCCACCGCCTACCTCAACGTACAGTGTTGGAGGAAGTTGGATTAGGTTGGAAGGACTCTCAGTGTGGCCGGACCTAGCAGCAGTCGATGAAGTCTCTGACTGTTGGTTTGAGCTGTGTGGGGGAGATACAAACTGCCTGTTCGCGGTGTCCGAGACGAAAGGAATGAGTGGTTAAGGACTCTTATTGACATGGATGCGAATAGTAAATGTATTCACTCGTTGACATTTAAGGCTTGAATATTCGCAACAACTTTTATCTTCAGATTGTTTATTTTTCTCACACAACTTTATTTTGTTATCAGTCTTTGTCTATCTATCTTGTTCGTTTGTATTACTATGAAGCTCAGCAGCCTAAGGTAACGCACTTGTGTATGAGGTTCTACGTTCTCTTTATATCTATTTGTCTTCGTCGTATTCCTTTCCACGGATTCGGATGAAACGTCCTCCATTTCCTTACGGTTGACGTAGAACATATTATTCCCATTATGACGTTAAGCAGCCTGCACCATTATACGGTGGTCATTGAACCTAGGTTTTTGCTTGTCTTACTGTCTAACAATTCATTTTAATTAAAACATTATCCTTTTTGACCTTCTGGCTTAGATTTATCGGACCAGTTAAACTTTAAGCCAGGAAAAAATTATCAAAAGCAGAATTGGGTGAATTTATACACTTGAAAGATCCTGGTTGTTACTATTGCGTAGCGCTTGACCACTTACGTAAATCAGTGTGCACCTGTACCAAAGTAGTCAATACCCAACCTACTTGTAAGTGCTGATAAGAAAGACGAATAAGAAAATAGGTTAGACGTTGAAAAGTACTCAGATGAGTGGTTTGTCAGAGGTAAAGGGATTATTTTAGGGGGACGAATGTTAAACCTATCTGTCTATCAGTAGCTGAGCTAGGGGGCTCTGAGTGTTTTGCTTCTGATTAGCACAAAGAGGACGCAAAAATGAAAAATATCGATGGGCAGATGCCTACATGTTAAAATAAACCTACAGAACTACAGTCACGTGCTGACTCTGTAGAAGATTATTTCGCTACTAAGATATTTTAGGTGTTTATTTATTTTAAACAGCAGTATTTTTGGTAATATGAAAGTGCACTACAGATCTTCAGTAGGACAGCTTCATACTATCCATTCCAGATTGTATAAACCATGATGTAATACACACACGTATCTGTTAAAAAAACTAGAACAACAATAAAGGCTTGACAATGCAGGAAGTTTGAACAGTGTCAGATAGATCTATGAAAAATCTGGAGACTGGAGTTACTCTATACCATCATGAATTAAACGGTTGATAACCGAATAAGGGATGAACACCAGTAATAAATTTGCCCATCAAATGGAAGGAGTTAGTAGGGAATAAAAAATAAGATAAGAACAAAACGTCTGGCTAGTAATATTAATCATAAAATGACAAAGGTAAGTGGACCTATCCAGCAGCTGGGTATGGTACCTCAGTTAGTTAGATTGATGGTCGCTGGTTCGAATATTGTCGCAATCCGTGTTTTCATTTCGTTCTCAACTATCACCCTAAACCAGTAAGACCAGTCTGCCAAACCATGGGTGTCTCACTTTCATCACTAAGTTAATTAGCGAATTCACAGCACAATGAAAGTGTTGCCAAGGTAAATAAAGAGTAACCACCATTTCTTTCTACACACACCGTTTAAACATTTTCTTTGATTTATAGATAACTTCCATTAGAGGAGTCATATGAATTGTATCTGTGCATTCAAATTTAATATCAGCTGTATTTTCTCGGTTGCGTCACACAATGACCGTCAATAATCTGGAGTGCAGTATATGTTTGCAAAATTTTATTCATCCCGCACAATTGCCCTGCGGTCACATATTTTGTTTTCTGTGCATAAAGGGTTGCGCCTTTCATAGACGAAAGTGTCCTATGTGCCGCAGTAGATTTTCCTCACGTTTTTTCGATGATCCCAAGCTTATAAATGGTAGGTTTTGTTACCGCTTAATGTCGCCACTTTGTTATATGCTAGTGTTAACTTTCATTCTCGTTATACAGATATGCCATACCAAGTTGATATGCAATACTTTGAAAAACTAATGAGTTATTTTGCAGTAATTTTGCATTTCTAAGAGAAGGAATTGAATTTATGGTGCATATATATATATATATATATATATATATATATATATATATATATATATATACAGCGATGAAACCGAAAGCAGTTACCTTTGTAGTGTAAATAGCTATGCTACGATGGGGGGTCCGTGAGCTATGTCGTACTGCTGGCTGGATGGTGGTGTGACGACAGCAGTAAGGTGTTTCCAACGGATGACCAAGATTACCATTCTGATACTGCTCTATCTATGAGAAGAGGGGTAGAAAAGGTTGACGTCAAAAATAGCACACTACCACTTGTTACGTGACATTTCGGTGCCTGAGTTTTCTTTTCTTTATCCAACTTTAGAATAATCGAATCTCATACCAACAGTCCTGAAAAGGCCGTATCTGAAAGGCCCCACGTAAATGTCACATGGGCTCTGCAGTCACGCAGATTTATTCCTTTTTCTGCTTCAGGGTACCTTACAGAAACAACTTCCCTAGTGTTGACAGTCGAGAAGTAGCAACCATCCACATGCTTATAGTAGTACAGAAAACCTTGGTCTACTCTTTCGCCTTCATTACCTGAAACCAATATTACAATTTCTCCTCAGGGTGTTCAGAAAACTTTGCATTTTGTCAGCATCTTCGTGTAACATAAAAATGTCGTTCGTGTACTTTGTGTCGAACATATAATTTCCAGAGAGTAGATCGATTCATGTGAGGTCAAAGGTATCAAAGGTTATGCCCATTATAACATCTTTGATGAAGTTGGACAAGAAAAGTGACAGTATGCATCCCTGCCCGACACCACTAAATGCCGTCGATTCAGATGATAACTATACATAGGACCTACACCAGGAAACTGTGACTAATGTTACGTACTTGCTCGGTACTCCCTTCACAATCAGACACTGACATGACACCTCATGGTCGACTGAATCAAGTGGCACCTTCCCGTCAAGAAATGTGACAAGTTTCGGTCGCCAGTAAGTATGCCTGTGTTCCAAAACCTGTCAAATCCGATGCACAAGCACTCGTCTGAAACTTGTCTGATTTTCTCCAGTTTCCTGTTCTCGAGCTCCCGTTCGGCGTCGGATAACTATACACCCTATGCACCACTCGTCTGAAACTTGTCTGATTTTCTCCAGTTTCCTGTTCTCGAGCTCCCGTTCGGCGTCGGATAACTATGCACCCCACTAATTAGTCGGGTCAGAAATCAACCAGGAAGTTGAAAAACATTGATAGTTGATAGTCTATAGTCCTGCTTCGTCAGTGGTTATAGCAGTTTTGTACCGTAATTAAATCACCGTGAGATTTTCACTCAATGAGTTAAAAAGACGCTGCATTTTATCAACAATATGACCCAACAGGATAATGGCATTGGTGTACTTCAAGTCAAACAGGTGCCCTCCAGAGTAAATCTATCCCTGTGATGTCAGGGGTTTCAAAGGTTGTGTCCATTATTAGATTTGAGACAAAGTCGAACAGTAAAGGTGACACACCATCAGTTGTTGCGATTTCAAAAAAATACTCACCAAAGGCCCTTCATAGTTGGGTGAGTTTGAGTAGAGCTATGATAAGTGTCATGTACTTGCTCGGTACTCCCTTCACAATCAGACACTGACATGACAACTCATGGTCGACTGAATCAAGTGGCACCTTCCCGTCAAGAAATGTGACAAGTTTCGGTCGCCAGTAAGTATGCCTGTGTTCCGAAACCTGTCAAATCCGATGCACAAGCACTCGTCTGAAACTTGTCTGATTTTCTCCAGTTTCCTGTTCTCGAGCTCCCGTTCGGCGTCGGATAACTATGCACCCTAGGACCTTGCACACGATGTTCTTCAAACTAGTTCCCCTATGGTTTTCACAAGACGTCTCTGCTTTACTATATATTGGAATGATCAATGAAGTAATCCAGTCAGATGGAACTACGTCTAATTCGTATATGCTACTTGAAAGACGGATCTACGATTCACTCTCAGGGAGACGATGGGCAGAATATTTCGAGGAACAGTTTAACTGGCCTCCATCCACCATTGCATTGCCTGCTTTCCAGTCGGATCCTGAATGGAACATTGAGATAGCCCCCCCCCCCCCCAACACTAACAGAAACCGATAAAGCAGTAGGTAACCTGAAACGATGAAGGGCAGCAGGACCAGACGGACTATCTCCTGAGGTATGCAAGAATGGTGGTAAGGTGCTCTTAGTCAGGTCAACGGAAGTGTAAGCTAGTATATGGGAATCAAATACGATCCCCTCCGACTGGTCTAGGTCACTCATCATCCCAGTCTTCAAGAAAGGCAAGAAGTCCTCTTGTGATAACCACAGAGGAATCAGCCTGACAAACATAGTGTCCAACATCCTAGGTCCTATAATTCTTCGACGCCTGAGTGGAGCTCGGGAACAGCAAGCCCGAGAAAACCGGGCAGGCAAGCTTTAGACCTGGCCGTGGATGTATCGACCAAATATTCACACTGCACCAGGTCCTGGAACATAGGCATGCTTACCGACGCCCGACACTGGCTGTATTTCTCGACTTGAAGGCGGGATTCTACTCCGTTGATAGAGAAGTCGTATGACAATGTCTCTCAGTGAAAGGCGTGGTGAGTAAGTACATCACTTTATTGAAGACCCTCTACTCGAACACTTGCGAGCGTGTTAGAGCCTATGGTGAGATGTCAGGTGAGCTGTATTCATCGTGTGATGTCCGTCAAGGGTCCCCATTCTCTCCATTTTTATTCAATTTTATCATAGATATTTTTATGTAGGTCTCCCTCTCGTCGCCTGATTACACAGATGTTGACCTAATCGGTGGAGAATTTTTGTTAGACCTAGAATATACAGATGACATATAGTCCTGTTAGGTGAAGAGGCTGACAAGATGCAGAGTCTTCTGAACACTTTGAGTGGGAATTTGAGAATGTTTGGGATGCGGTTCTCACCGCCCAAATGCAAATTGTTGCTCCAGGATTGGTCTTCAACGGTGCCCCACCACGGCTAACAATAGAGAGTGTAGTGGTTGAGTATGTTGACCACTTCACTTACCTGGGAAGTAGGATCAACCCTGATGGGTTAGTTGCCGATGGGATTTCCGCACGGATACAAAAAACTCGGATGGCTTTCGCTTACTTACCCTACCTGTGACGCCGCCGCGATATCGGATTGTCTACTAACGGTCACGTGTACTGCACAATAGTCTGGTCTGTTCTACTGTATGTCTGTGAAACATGGCCATTGAAGATGGAAGACATGACCACCGTTGCCTTGATAGTATATACCGTATTCCATGGTGTCACCACGTGAGTAACACGGAAGTCAGGGGTGGAGTTTAAGGGAGAGGTAAATCAGTTGACATGGTTGTGAACCTTCACTGACTGAGATGACTAGCTGAAACATGTGTTACGTATACCTAGTCGCCTATTGCCTCGTCACACAATGTTGGCTGAAGTAGGTTCAGACTGGAAAAGGGCTTGGAGCGACCAGACTAAAACATTTTATCAGTATATGAAGTCTTTGACTGTTGGTTTGACCCATATGGGGAGATGCAGACTAGGTGGTTGGGGTCCACGGGACAAGAGGAACCAGTGGTTGGAGACTCTAGGTGATAATGCTGATGATGACTTAGTACCTTCGTCACAATTTCCTACCTCCATACTTGAAAACTGGGTGACAAACCGCCCTGCTGCTTTGCATCGTTCCCAGTTTGAAAAATTCCCAACTTCACAAAACAGCTGGAGGTCTAGCACCTAGATAATTACCGAGAAACGACCAGTACTGCTGCCTTCTCGATCTCTTTCGCTGCTGCTACCCAGGACTGCTAGCGATTATTGCAGATACTTTTAACCTGCTTTCGTCCCTCATCACAGTCTATGGCTGCTGGAATGAGTTTTCTGGCATCAGTCGGTTCGCATGAGGTTCTGGAAGCTACTGGGATGACATTCATACCACGTCTCCAAGCCACTGAAATCATCTCAAGGTGATATGACTAAATGAACGAAAACCACCATCATGTGCAAATACATGCTGTCGCATTGTTTTATTCCTCACATCGAGTTCCTATTGGGCTTGAAAATTGCTTCAGAAACGACTGTGGTGGGACGTGTAGAATGATCGTATATTCTCACCACACAGCTACCAGGTTCTACAGCTGAAGAACAGAACTTACCACACCAAAAACTTTGATTACTTGATATTTTGCAGACAGATTAACGTCATCAAAGGTGACTCATATCGATGTGTACAGCTCTGGCTTCTAGTACGTAGTTGGAAATCTCACCAGGCACATCCATCAACACTCACTATACAGTTAAGTTTCCGACTACCTGCACGGTTCATCCTTATGAGTGAGTGTGTAAGCAGGATTTGGCTAGTCTTGGAAAAGCACTTCGCACTTTGATGTTGCAGAGTACATGCCAAAGTCCCAATTACTGATATCCAGATGAGTAGGCGCTATTTGGGTGACCTGTATATTGTCACATGGCAAAACTATTTCATCGACACACTCGATATCGAAACGCCTTTCTCCCAGTTGGTATCGGATCAACACCAACACACACTTCATTCAAAGCTGTTTCAAAAACGTCATCGATGGCGTAGTTGAAGAGGGATGACGAAATCGTACATCCTTGCCTAACCCCACTTTTAGTTTGGAAGAATGTGGAAAGGTAGTTGCATGCTGTCATTCTACTTCAAGTCTTTTTGTACAGAAACTACACAATGTTGACAAACTTCCCAGGAACAGTCCCGTTTAAAAGATCACTGCAAAACACAGTCTTGTTTGTTCAACGAATCCACGTTAGACCTAATATCAAGAAACACAACGATTGTTGGTCTTCAATGCATGGAATAGCATTCGAGAATCTGGTGAAGAGTGGATACGTTGTCATTGCATCGACGAACTCAACAAAACCCCTCTTCGTTAATTAGCTTTTCACGAGTTTTGAAGGGTCTGATAAGTATGATTACTGTTGATATTTTCGAAATCTTTATTCAGGTCTTTTTTAAACATTGAAGCAGTGATAGTTTCATTTCAGAGTATCAGGGACTTTCGATTTGTCATATTTTCTCTAACAGTCAATTCAGGTACGTGCTGCAATCTCATCCGTATGCTTGAAAAGGTCTAAAAGTAAGTGGTCTATACTGTATACCTTATGGTGTTTCAGTGCTTGAAATTCTTTCTGTCTACTGAATACTCCGCTTCTGTCAAGTGATAGTCCATAACACTGTGGTTCTTTTATAGATACAAGTATGTATAATTAAAACAAAGGACGAAAACAAACAAATTTATTAGGTGTCGGGGTAAACAGTATAGACTACAGATATAAATAGCAGTCATTATACTATTGATAAATCACTATCAAAATGATTTTAAGTAAGCTTATTCTTACTGTGTAGATTTTTATATTCTAGGAACTGCTAAGTGAAGTTGTTTGTAACATTCTCGTATTACCTCTTATGAGAGCTTCTCAAGTACAGCATACACCAGTGATGGGCTTCCAAAGTCCTAAGCTAACCTTTCTGTTTGGTCTGCATCAAGGTACGAACGTTGAAATTGGCAAGCGTAAACTGTTTCAAGATTGCTTTGTCACACGCCTTGTTGAAACACCACTTAGGGAGTGCAACTTTTTATCCACTCGGAAATATACAGACAGATCAGAATTTAGAACGTGGTGAACAATAGAGGTAAAAAAGATGCAACTATGAGGATGATAATGGAAAGCCAATAAAGTGTATATTAAACAAAGATCAGCAGCAATGAAATGATAGTAAATTAATTGATTCAGTATAAAGCTAGTACTGAAGCTGTGACTAGTTGGCATTTAACGTTCAACTTCTACCCAGTGAGTCATGGGTTCGAACTCTATTCACCTACCTAAGTTTAGATGACCAGGTAGTATCAGCAGACCTCACACAAGAGAAGTGATTCATTGTCCACTGCATAAACGTGCACTTGGGTGCCAAGGGCACTTAAGTTTCGACTGCAATAAGTTTGGTGCTTGCACAAAAATTTAATAAGTAATTAAAGATCTCCGCTGAATGAAAACTGAGCTCATAACCAAGGAGATGGTGCTTTTAAATGAAAGCCTATTCCACAGGGTAGCAGAGCAGCGTCGGATGATTCCAGTGGTTGCCAGAGTTTAGGCCGACTGATAGCCGGTACCTTTATGTGATAGTCCGGCTTGCATCTAACTATGACCCAACAAGCTATACTAGTAAAACGCTTGTTCCTTCGAGATCCTATCATACCAAGACAAAATGCAACTGCCGTCATAGTGTAAATTGCTATGTTATGATGAGGGGTGCCTGGGCGGATTCATACTGCTGGGCTGGGTGGGTGTGCGGCAGCAGTGAGGTATTTCCAATAGATCACCAGCAGTACAGTGCTAATGCTGCCTTCCCAACAGGAAGGAGAGACTAGAGAACATCGGCCTTAAATTGCTTTATTCCCTTCCACCTCACAGCGCATTGGCACCAACGAAATGGGTTCCTATTTGAATCCGAAACCAACAACCTTTAAGTCTTAAACTTCTAAAAAGGTTGTATGTGACCAGTCTCAAAGAGATGTTCCTTCTTTATTTTTTCTAACTTTTTCATCTTAGTCCGTTCTCGCTTAATGTGCGTATATGAAGTGTGTTCATCTGAATTGTTACACAGGAATGCCAAGTTCTGTGTTAACATTGTCTGTCTACTATTGCAGTAGGTATCTTTGTGGCTTGTCCTTTCTGGATTCTGAAAGCCGTTCGGGCTACTGTTTCAAAATCAGAATTCTCGAGCTCACCACCTAAACTATGCATATTCTTTTTATCAGACCATAAATGTCAGACATCACTTTTGTCCTTAAATTTGGGTGGGAACACTCCTATCGCGTGAATAAAGTGATTCATAATTACTTGGTGGATGTTATGACCACATCTAAGTCGTAGCCTGATATTATCTAAACACTATGACGGAAGTAATTGTACTGTCACAGAAACTTACAGATGTTTATTATATTTTCATATCTATCATAAGTAATTAGTATTATTTCATGGCCTTGTTCTACAGATTGTTTCATTCATTAGTATTTCGTAGCGATTCATTTTAGCGAATAGTTTTAAAAGTAAGAAAGAATTTGTTATTTTCTTGATGTTCACAAACTTGTGCATTGATATAGGCGCTCATTCTTGAGCTGGTGAGGTACAGGATTGAACCTTGTTCAGTATGTGTTGGTACGGATAACCAAGCAGTATAATAATATAACATTTTCATTAGTGCTCAGTTATACGAGACATTTTCAAATAACTATTTATTCATATTTATCAGCCATCATAATATGGAACTTGAAAGGAGTGTTAATTTGTATATATTTTCATTCTAAAAGTAGTGAAAGTGTTTAAAATCTAAAATTTTAGTTTGGGATATCCGTGAAAAAGATCAACTGGAAATAAACCAACTAGTCGATTCATGCGAACGTCTGTCATTACAACTACAACCAGTGAGTGAATCGAACTCGAATCAGCCGTCAGATTATGCGTGGTTCTATGAAGGTTTTCAAGGTTGGTGGCAGTATGATGAACGTACATGTAATGAGTTGGAGAATGCATATCGTAAACAACTACCTTCTCATGAATTAACGATTGCAGGGTATATTTACTTTATTGATCTCAAGAATATGACTCAGGTTAGAAATCGAATTTTGCTTGTTTCTTTTGAGTCATAAGTCATTATTCGTATTCATTCATTATAAAATAATAATATTCGAATTTAAAACTAACAAAATTATATCTCAGGCTTCTAAAAAGGCCCTATGTTAGCAAGCAGATGTTCCTTGGGCTCTACTGTGACACTTTAGTTCTTCAAGGAGAACTAGTCTTCTATGGTGTGGGCAGCTGGGAAGTGTCGACCACCCGCACTCTTCTAGTAATATAGAAGACGCAATAAAATAAAGCTTATTCTTTTTACCTTCGCCTCCTCTCTTGCCTTCATCTCGTGATACCAATATTAGGCCTCCTATGACTTCCTCAACCTTTTACTCTGCAGTCATCGCCAACGATACAAGCCAACGAAACGCCATTCCTGGTCTCCTAAAACCTCGCTGTTGGTTTCACACTGGATCCTTCAGCGTCCGAACCCTATACCAAATCGAACAGCAGGCATCTTTTACCAGAACTCTAGAATCAAGCCATAGATGTATACTGTGTTTCTAAAACACTTATACAGAACCCGTATAGTTATTGGCTTGATCCCACCTGACCAATATGGTGAATCTTCAAAATACACTCTACAACTGTCATCAGATTCAGTGGCTACCTCTCTTGGACCCGCTGAATTAGGCATACCATAATTTGTAGAGCAAAAACCGAACTTCTCGACTGGATACCATTCAACAGCCACCCATATGCTATCCGACTGGATGAATCTGTAATAACTAGCAAGGATCATGAGGCTTACCGATGGCTATTCGTAATCTCCGCTTACGTACCCGCTAAATGCAATTCGGATGGTGCGAAGGATAACTTCTGTGAAAAGCTGTCAGTTTTGCTACAGAAGTCAAAACATTCAGATATAGTCATCACAGTAAGCAACTTTGTCACTGAAGTAGGAACGCTGGGCCATCCGGAATAATATCTACAAAATGCCATGCCAACGGACTAAAGACGGTGATTTTCTCCCGACAATCACTTGTTTCTGGCCAGCACTGACTTTAAGCATAAGGAGGGACACTGTATCAAATGGCGTCTGTCGACATTGAACCAACGGTGGAGTCAGATAAATCATATCGCTATAAGCCATCGGTGGGGGATTGCCGCTGTTTCTGAAGTAGCGTTTGAACTCTAGTCACGCGTTAGTACGTGTGAGTGTATATTTGAACTCTAAGGAGTGTAGGAGGCAAACAGCAGTGAAGCCTCTGTGTACCTGACTAGAAGATAGGTACGTCGATTTTGTACTTATAGTAGAGATAGCGAAGAATTTATGTGATCGTGACAGCAATCCTCATCCTGACGATAGCTGGGATGACATTAATTACGTCGTAGAAACAACAGTAAAGACAGTTAGTTACCTACATCCAAAGGTTAGCAAATGTCAATCGACTTTCGCAGCGTCATTCGAACTCATTTATGTGAGAAGACTCATTCTAACTTCCGCTGACAACAGTTACGAGTTTAAACAATTTAACTATGAATTTAATGAGAATCCTCGCAATGATCGCAAGTAGTGGCGGGTGGCGAAAGCGAGAGAGAAGGGAGAAGGGATCAGCATTAGCTAGTACCTGGTACTTATTTACTTATTGGGGATACTAGCAAGAAGACCGTGGTTAGTGAAACCATCAAGGAAAAGGATGCGATCCTGATAACTTTTCACAACAGACGGCTAGAACAATGGCCAGAACACTTTGAAAGACAGTTCAACTGACTCATGCAACGCTTCAGTTGCCCAACATCCAGCTTGAACCTGAATAAAACGTAGATGTCGGTCCTCCAACTCTAGTCGAATTTGAGAAGGCTGCTTCAAACCTAAGACGACGCAAAGCAGCAGGGCGGTTCGGCATCCAAAGTTTTCGAGGATGCAGGTAGGAAATTGCGATGAATATACTAAATAGCATATACGAATCAGACGTAGTTCCATCTGACTGGATTACTTCATTGATCATTCCAATATATAGTAAAGCAGAGACGTCTTGTGAAAACCATAGGGGAACTAGTTTGAAGAACATCGTGTGCAAGGTCCTAGGGTGCATAGTTATCCGACGCCGAACGGGAGCTCGAGAACAGGAAACTGGAGAAAATCAGACAAGTTTCAGACGAGTGCTTGTGCATCGGATTTGACAGGTTTCGGAACACAGGCATACTTACTGGCGACCGAAACTTGTCACATTTCTTGACGGGAAGGTGCCACTTGATTCAGTCGACCATGAGTTGTCATGTCAGTGTCTGATTGTGAAGGGAGTACCGAGCAAGTACATGACACTTATCATAGCTCTACTCAAACTCACCCAACTATGAAGGGCCTTTGGTGAGTATTTTTTTGAAATCGCAACAACTGATGGTGTGTCACCTTTACTGTTCGACTTTGTCTCAAATCTAATAATGGACACAACCTTTGAAACCCCTGACATCACAGGGATAGATTTACTCTGGAGGGCACCTGTTTGACTTGAAGTACACCAATGCCATTATCCTGTTGGGTCATATTGTTGATAAAATGCAGCGTCTTTTTAACTCATTGAGTGAAAATCTCACGGTGATTTAATTACGGTACAAAACTGCTATAACCACTGACGAAGCAGGACTATAGACTATCAACTATCAATGTTTTTCAACTTCCTGGTTGATTTCTGACCCGACTAATTAGTGGAGAAGATACACTGAAACGAGTAAGAACATGCATTCAGACCGATGGCTCGAAGTAATCACCAAAAGGAGAATATATCAAAATATGTAAATAATTAGGTGTTTAAAAATAATAATAATAATAAGATTGGTTGATTGATTGTCTGCCAGTCTAACTGTAGACCTAATTAACATAAAATGTATTTTGACTGATCCATTTCCGGACTAGTTTGTTCGATCGAGTTATCACCTCCGTCTTTGGAAGTGTTAATTGGAGTCAGTCTGAAAACTCAGTCTCTTCCCTGCATCTATCTAACCGACTCTGGAGGACCATTTCCTTGTTTACCGGAAGGTCCCTAGCTTTCTCGATACCCTCTTGGCTTGATGTCCGGAATGTATCTAGCAGGTTATCTGGGAGAACCCCGTTGGTTGTGGTGTCTCTCGTTACATAAGTGGTGTCGTATTTGGTTATTTTGTCTATTCCACATCCGTTTCAACTGCGATATCATACATAGTGTTGTCACATCTCCCTGTGAACGATCTTCCTACCCACATTTCGTGTACCGCTTTGTAGCAGTCTGTGGCAAACACTGGTTTCCCAATTTCGAAGAATTTTGGAGCAATTGGTAAATTAGCTGCAGGTGGCTTAAGAACCAGGGCGTTGTTTATCGTTCTCAGCTTCCTCCTAATCAGGACTTCCGATGGGCTTTCGTGATTTGAAAGTATGTGCGTTGGTGTTGTCCTGTAAGTAAACAAGAATTTTCGGATACTGTCTACGGACGTCTCTTCCTCCAGGGCTTTGAGCATAAGTTTCTTGAACATGTCCACAAATCTTATCTTCTCGTGCTCCCATCTGAATATCACTTGCTGTGACTGAAAGTGCTTTGACAGTTGCTGCCAGGTAATAAAGTGGACTGTAGGATCTTCTGTAGAAACTACGGCTATTACTGTGTCTTTGTTCAATGTAGGATATTCGCTTACCAAGTGAGAAAGAACATCTGCCGAATTCATGGGTACGTCGATATTTGACCTCAAAATTATATCCTAATAACACTAAAGGTCATCGTTGTAGACGGTTTGTGGAATGAATCGGAATGCCCGATTTTGGTTCAAAAGCACCTAGCAGGAGTTTATAGTCTATCAATAACGTGAATTTTCTACGATAAACAAGCTTACGGGAACGGTATACAGTAATAATAATGAAACTCTACCCGGTATATATATTAGGCCATACTCCACATTTAGTGTGTAAAGGCTTGTGGTACTACCCGGTTGCCCAGGCCAAAATCGTTGGAGCGGATTTTCTAGCCCAAGAACCACTGTTTGGTTTTTAATATCTTGAGGGCTCCAGCTGGGCAATTTGCAGGACCCAAAACAACCATCGGAGACTTCTTGGGTTTATGTCATATCTTTTTCTGGTCACTCAACTTTTTTTGAACTGAATACTGCTGTATCTGACATTAAACGTTATGATAGACGATAGGTTCTCGTATGTAACACATGTCCAATCCGTGCCAATCTCTGTAGGTTCACAACTTCGTCGACTGGTCTTCCTTTCTTATCTAGCATTCCATTTCAAACTTTGACACTGCTCGCATATGGTGGAACCATACGCGAGCAAATGCGACTGAAACGAGCTGCGAATTACTGCTCTGACCTTTCTACTGAGTTAACGAACCCAGCTGCTAACCGAGTTTCATTCTCTCTTTAATCACTGATTATTTTTCCCAAAGATCTTTTTAGAATCAGTTGTACCACATAAAAGTTTTAGTAATTTACGTGTGGTTTCTCATCATGACATTCATTTTACATTCTTTTACAGATACGCAAAGATCGGTCTGGGCGTCTTCGTCGAATCAAGCGGGATTTAGTTAGCTGTGAAAAGAAAGGTATTGCTGGAATAAGGCTTTGTACAATTCAGTCTTCTAGCAGTAGCACAGCTCCAACAACATCCGAACAAACAAACAATCAGGAAAACAACACTTCTAACACTAAGAAGCCTGACAGCTTGTGTAATTCTCCTTCTGGTTCATCATGTTTATCACCTCCAAACGCCGAATGCTTACAGCGTAACTCTCATCCTCAAGCCAGAGAAGTATTGCGTGCAAGTCGGTCTCATACATCACATGCAGTTGAAAGTACAACTGTCTTGACGTACTTACCTGATGCCTGCAGATCCGTTTCATCTGGACCCCGTAACCATAGTGATTCAAGTTCCTCTTCAAGGGAACCACGCAGTCAACACCTTCAAAAGAACTCTTAGAAAATCTTGAAGCATTTTTATACGTTAATCTCTCCTCTGGGGTCTCCAGTTACTTGCTTCCAACAGGAAATGCAAAGACGTCAATTTATCATCGAAGCTGTGATCATTTTAAGCCTGAGATTAACTTGACTTCATAATTTAATCCCAAATCTTATATAATGTACACTTTTTAAAAATTGATAAGTAGTTCAGAATTTTTCAGTATACTCTTTAAATAGAAGATTCGTTTAAAGTGTTGTTTAATGGTAAGTTTTTTTTAAGGATTATCGATCTTTCCCGTTGTTAATTTACAGAACTGAAGTGATGTGTTTTGTATTCGTATTTATGCTTCTTGTATAAATACCTTTAGACTGCCTGTATTCATATTTTGGTTTTATATCTGTTGACAAAGATGTACTCATGGTGAGTCAATAACCTAGGGGATAACGCTTAGGTGCTTGAAATGATCCGTCCTGGGTTTGAGTCTTGGGGGAAGAGGGGGAGGAACACCGGTTTTAGTCCCGAATAGGATGAAACATGTGTTATGAATTCCATTTCCAGCCATCCGCTAATATGTGACTAGTTTCGGTGCTTATTCACTTTTGAATCATTTAAGGTGAAGATTATTGTCTGTGTTGGCCAGATAGGTCTTAAAACTTCCAAGCTGATATTCTGTATGCACTGATTGAGTTTACATTAAAATACTACTGTAGCGAAAAGCGAAGAATGTATAATCACTTACTTAGTTTTGACCTAATTATGATCCCTACGAATCCAAACCTCGAAAACACTTAGCTGACTGAAGAAGGATGGAAACCATGTAAGATTCGTCGAGCTCAGGTGTCAGTCACTCTACGGAAAAAAATCACATTAAATCAAAAGCAGAAACTTCTAAAATAGTTAGTTAGTAATTATGTAGAAGTCAGGATCAAAGTGAAACGGTCCACGTTGCTAACCTTCAACACATCAATGTAGAAGGCACCAAGGTGAAAAATAGAGAAAACTAGTCAATGTCCTGAAAAGAAAACGAGAAGGATTAAGATAATGAGTTTCGATAGAAAACGCAGATAATCTGTAGTCACATCTGCGCCACGGAGGTCAATTCTGACCGTATCACACAGTCTCCAACCACTGATACCTGTCCTCTCGAGGATCCCAAACGGGAAGTTTACATTTCCCTACATGACTCAGATCATTCATAAATTTCATGAACCCTGGCCACCTGTAACCCCTTTCCAGCATGAACCTACTTCAGCTAACATTGTGTAACAAGCCAGATGGTGACTAGGCATGTTTAACGTGTCCCAGTCACTTTAATCGGTTAGGCCTCACGATCTCATCAGACAGCAACAAAATCAAAGTAAAACATCACACTTAAGTGGATCGATTCAAGTTGCCATGATCCTAATCAACTGACTTTCCACTTCTTTCTAAAACTCTACGCCTGACTTTTACGTTACTCACATAGTGACAACATGACATACAACGTATGCTATGGTGACGGTGGTAGGACTCCTCTATCTGTTTGTGAGTGAATCGATCAGACATTCACCCCTGCCAGGTTTTCGTACACTTTCTGCGCCTAATATTTGAAAGTAGGTAATGCATTTTTGTTATAATTGACGGTTCTTACGTGAAACTTGCAAACTACTCTCAATGTATGAAAATAGGCACTGATAGCATATCCTTACCTTACCTAGTCGCCCTAATACTCATCCACTCTCGCTATAGCAGACGTGTTACCCATCCTTTGAATCTAACTGACTACAGATTCATCAGATAGGGAATTTGAGTTACATTTGTCTTCTTAATATTCATTCTTAGGCTTCGGTATCATTCAACTAGTGATTTTCGTAGAGGTTTTGATGGTTCCTTGGCTAAATTCATGAAAAGATGTGTTGTCTGTGAAAATCTTCGTTTTAGAAATAATTGTAGCCACGTAAAGTAGTTATAAACGACCATATTTTGTAGAAGGAAATTGTAGTTTATTCGGAACACAAATAGTTGGATTCAGAAATAAGAGTGAATTCTTTAAAAAAATTTCAAGCACTTAGGAGTAGCCTAATGTACACGGTTGAGACTTTCTTAATATGCTACATTATGTTAACAAATCTGGTTTCGTACCGCAGTGTTGTTGGGTATGAGTTTTGCCTTCCCCCAGCTGATGCTTTTTTACTTACAGTCGTTGTACAGAGAATAACTTTCTTTTATTTCAGAAAAGGTTATGCATTAGGTCATCAGTATTTTAACCAGAGCTTTTTCGAGACTACATAACATCTCTGATAAGTACCATTATTTCAATCATTGTGGACAAAAATAAATCCCGTACTGATCATGAGTTTTCGGTTTTGTGCAGACACTTCTGATAATGAACGCTTCCCTCACCACCAATAAGTAGGCTGTAGTTTCATGTCATCTCATAGTTTCAGGTCATTGTTTGCGAGCCTGAACTTCACCCCACCAATAGAGGTCTACGCAGACAGCTAGTATCCTTAGCTCTCCTACGTGCACGTCATTGTTGTTTGCATATCGTTTTATGTCATCATACAGTGCATGTCTGTGCATTCCACCTTTTGGAAGACTTCTCCGCCACTACATGATAAGAACTGTAGATATCCTATACGGTTAAAAATTTCAACAAACTATAGTTATTCAGTCGTTGAACATAAGAATTCTCACGTTAATCCAGTTGTGAACACGCCGGTTTAATTCAGTGCAGAATATCAAAGCAATATCCAAGAAAGGGATAATTCATTTTCCTTTGTAAGCCAGTTCTGTGAGAAAAAAGACAATAATAGTTCAGTGACAACTTGAGAACTCGTGGTCTAACTCCTTCTGTAGCCCATATCTTGTTTCTCCCTTTCACTGTCATCCAAAATGAAGATTCAAGGTCATCTTAAGTATTTTATAATGAAGAAATCGGATGGATAGAACGCTGTCAACACTTAGGACTCGGTAATATGAAATTGACCACCTACAACCTACTTACAAACTAGTATATCAAACTCAGTGCTCCAATGGGTCACTCTTATCACGAATACCTCAGTTGTAATATCTCTGGCTAAAGCACTAGATAATGTAGGTTCAGGTCTCTGAGGAGAAATCAGTTCCCTCGACTTGGCAGAGATACACCTTGTTGACGAGTGACAACAAGTATGAAACCTAGGTAAAGTAAAACTTCCTTTCCATTGATTTCAACAACCTAACACACTTAACAACTAATGCTAACAGTACAACGAAATGAGTTTCGGTAAACAGATCAATCTGCGGAACATACACTTAAAGGAGGATGTACCTCTTCAATCGATTTCGTCAATATGTTCAGTTATAAATGTGAAAAAGTAAGCGATTATGAGCCAGTCTGTCAACATGAAGTATAAATGACTTCGCATTGAAAAAAAAGAGTCTGAATTATCGAAAGCTGCTAAGCAATCACGTACATAGGCAGTGAGCCACATGAATTATGAAGGGCTAATGATACTACCCGGCTGCCCAAACTTCCATGGGTGAAACGATGTTCGAATGTGTCAACGGATGGCCCACGGGTTCAAATACTGCTCCATCTACTGAAATTTACGCAGCCATATGATAGGGAGTAGCTGAGTAAATATCTCATACAGCTTTCTATTTCACATGGGTAAAGTACGCTAATAAAATGGGTTCAACAAATCGGAGCATAACTTCAAAAAAGAGCTTCGATAGTATAACTTCAGTTTTACTTTGACAATATGTAAGGAGACCTTTATCACAGCACCATGAACTTAGTACCAAAATTGATGTAGTGAAAATGGCAAACAGATAAACCATAATCTAATCGGTTTTAGTCAAAGTTATTATTTATTTTTATTATTTGTCACATGGGTTCCTAGTGGGACATAGGGCTTCAGCAGCACATCTCCATTTCACTCTCTTCTCTGTAGTCCTTCCAACGTGACTGCACAAGCTTTCATTTCTTCCACACGTAATCTCCTCCATGTCACCCTCAGAAGCCCAACTCGTTTCCCATTTGGACTTCACACGACGTCCTGGTCTTGCGCGTGATGTCCCCAAATAGTCTTCTCAGTGTATGTCCAATCCAATCCATCTCCACTTCCTTCTGCATATTTGTTGAGTTCTTGGTTGGTTCGTTGCCAGATCAGAGTTTCTTGTTGCTTATTCTTTCTGGCCTTCTGATCTGATCTTCACTATTGAGCGAGTGTAGGCGGCAGCTATTGATAAATGTCTGTAGTTTGTTGGAAATGCTTTTCATAACGAGCCAAGTTTCTGAACCATATAGGAGCACTTACTGACTTGACATTAGTGTTGAAAATCCGGATCTTGTTCTTTATGCTGAGTACAGTGCAGTGCAGTAGATATCAACACTGATTATTTCAGATTGATGAAGACCTGTCTTGCTGTCTTTCCGATCGTGGCTTTGACGTGCTGATCTGTGCCACCACCTGTAGTTGAAACGATGGTGCCTTGCCTAGGTAGGTGGAAGAGACTACTTGCTTTAGGTTTCTCCCGTTGACGGTGATTGATACTTGTTGTTGTTGGTTAGTCAAAGTTTGCTATTCAGTAATCATTTAGAGGCAAATATGAAGTCATAGTCTTTCTTTTCAGCAACTTCGTTTAGTGTATGGGCTCCAGAGCGGATAACATGGTATTGCCTATGTCTTAGTTATACATTATTGATAGATACTGGTTGGCAGTGGAATTCAGGATGCATGTTTAAAATCCTATTTAGGACTCGTCAGCTAGATGTATCTGCCTCCCAGTGAGTGTTATCTCCGCTGGAAATCGGACTCAGGACCGATCGCTTCAAACGCCAGGGCGTTATTTACTAGACCACCAAGTCACGAAAGCCACTTTTGTGCGGTGGGTATGTTGTTGCTTCCATTATCTCGGTCTAGGGGGTAACGTTCTGGCGTTTGAAGAGGTCGGTCCCGGGTTCGAGTCCCAGTGGGACAACATCAGTCACTGGGAGGCAGGTACATCTGACTGACGAGTTCCAAGTAGGACGAAACGAGCACCATGGATTCCATTGCTAGCCACTATCCACCATTAGTCTTCTGTTATGTTAATTCGATTACACTTTACACACTGTATTAAATTAGCAGTCCAAATTCATTTTCAATTCGGAGGTTTGTGGGATTGATTGATTTCAAGGTGGTATTGATCATGGACTGACATTATTTGGAGGAACGTCGGAAACCTAGGAGCCTAGACAACTGTCCCGTCCTGGTATTCTACTCTTCAGCTGTGTGCCAGTGTTAGAACCCAGGAACTTGAAATCTAGTGGGGAACATGTTACCATTCAGCCACTGAATCCGAATCCAGCGGTCCACAGTTTTTTGCTCCTGTCAATCGACCATAATTCGGTGCCATAAGTGACTACTTGTCTTGACATCCGACTTGGTTGACGGCTTCTCATGAGATAGCATAAGATGATACCCGCGCTATAATGACTGACAGAATGGATAGAAGCAGGAAAGTGTGAACCATTGAATTCTGATTGAGTGGCTGAGTAGTAACATTCTCGCGACGAGACCTAAAAGTTCTGAGTTTGATCTCTAGTGAAGTTATGGGTGCGTACTTCTTAAGAGTTCAATGCTGAAACAAAATAGCTGTTAGTGCTCTCAGTTTTTCAATTGTCAATATCTGATGGATACTACTTTGGATTGAAAATTGATGTTGAAAACGTATCACCCAATGAAATAAAACATCTGGTTATGGAAAGAAAACAGAAATAATGGGATAATCGTAGGAAGCAGTTCATTTTTTATATTTATCTTTTATTGATTGAATAAAACGAAGCGAAAAGTTACTAATCATTTAGTTTACACACAGTTTTGTGCAATAGACTATCAGCCAGATGTGCGTGTTGGTTAATGATATTGCTTATGTGTTCAAACCCCACCTGTAGATAGGGAGAGATTTTATTATGTGATCCAATTTATTGGAAGTTAAGCGCCTAAGTCAATGACCACATGTTACCTTGATCTTTGAATGATATCGTATGTATACATATATATCTTTTTGAAAGAAAATAGTAAATTAATAGGTATACATATTTATTCATTCACATTTTGGAAAAGTGATAGATTCTTTCATAGATATGTATGTTACATCTTATTGATTCAGATATCGTTATTTCATCTGGCCACTTCATGTTAGTACATATTAGTTCTTAATCATAAAAGCTGTCATCATTCTCATCATCGCCAAGTCTTCAGTTTTATATATTGTCCATGATGATTGTAGACTCATATTGTTCAAATCTTAAGTTTTTAACAAAAAAAATGATTTCTGGTTAAAAATGATTTTGATTTAAAATGTAATTTTAAAAAATCAATTTGACTCTTTTTGTTGTCATCACTGCATTCCAATAATGAAATATGAACCATGTCTGAAAGTTGTAGAGTCACCTGACATAAATATGGACAATAAACTATGTCCAAAAATGTATCCAGCAAATAATATTGTTTTGCTGTATAGTCCATCTAATAGATAGACTGAAGTGGAACCAATAATTTTGATTTAAACTAACTGGTTACATTTTAATATTCTGAGCATTTTGCCCTTTTAACCTGAACTTATCCATCCAAAAATTTTGATAATGAGTGAATCTTACAAAAACAAACTAGTTCGATTGATAAAATCTACCAATCAAAATCGATGATTTTCTTTTCTGTTCATATTGTGCTCAGTAGTGTATTTATTATGTTATTTCTCCCTTACTTTCTTTCTTTTATTGAAAAATCATTGAAAGGATAAATGACTAACTTGTAGAGTATTGAAATAGTTTTTTAAGTGTAAATTTCATGTAATCATTTTGCATAGTTGGTTAATTTCTCCATCCAACTAATAAAGGTTAAAAAACAATTACTTGAAATTACCCACTAACTATACACCATATGATTTCTCTACTGCAACAGTGTTTAAGTAAGCTGAAAGATGTCAGTTTTGGTGGGCGTTCAAAGTGGAATCCTACTTGTGTGTTTTTAATTACTACCTATACCATAAGTGTATTTTATTGAATTAACCAGCCTCTACTGGAGAGTTTTAATTAGTAAGTAAGTAAGACTGACTGACTGATAGACAGATAGACAGACAAAATCAACCCAGAACCTCTCATACAAATGCATCGGTTCAAGTTGCAACACTTTACAGTCGTATACGAATAACAAGTGGATAGGAAAAGGTTGATATCAGAGTAGAAAAAGTTGTATAGACGGAGAGGAAATTTAAAAGCTAAGGTCAGTCAAATCGTTCAAGCTTTAGAAAACATCAAAGACTGGATACGTCTGCGCTATTGTGACTGATTTTCAACCATTTCACCGACATTACTCAACCATTGATTCCTGTTGACTTGGGCACCCCAGTCAGGTAGTTCACACCTCCACACACGGCTAAGACTAACAGTCAGAGATTTCATCGACTGCTGTCACGTCTTAGTCTGGTCACCCTGAACCATTTTGCAACCTAATCTAACTTCCCCTGCCATTTTATGTCAAGGTGGGCGGTGGCTTGGCACGCCCAGTACATGTCGAAGCCACCTCACAAAATGAAACTAATGGTGGTATCACGACATTTGTTCTACGAGCTTAAATACTAATAGATAGCAGTAAATTCAGTCACGGATAAAAAACATTGGCACATTGCATTTATTAAGAAATGACAAGGGAATTCCTTTCAATGAAAGATAATCTACATGATTCAATAACCTGGTGAATTATACTTTTTCGTTTAAGATTATGGATATTAGGTGGGAGTTCTCGTCGGAACACCAACATGAAAGCAGATGCATCCGGCTAGCAAGTCAAAAATGGAATAAATCTGCTTCCTGAATTCCACTGTTTAACCCCCATCGTAGAATTAATTTCAGTCATATGACCGAAACGTTATCACCAAAAATAACCTACATAATATGTTAGCTTATAGAATGACTGTCATATATATATATATATATATATATATATATATATATATATATATATATATATATATATATATATAAGTAAAACCACTGCAATATTGATTTTTTTCAGATCATAGGGTGATACTTAAAATTAGTCTTTATTTGTTACACAAGTTATGTGATATTTTTACTTTTTGCAATCATCTCAGACCTCGTAGTGAGCACGTTGCCACTAAGTCACTGCGTTGGTATTCAATGGTCAACATTTTTCTACTTTCACTGATATTTCCCCCAGCTGTTTTCAACCCATGATAAATGGTACCTTGAAATCAACCAATCCTCACTGACAAAACTGAATGGACTAAGTGAGGATGTAATTGTTTGATGTTCTCCAAGCTGTGTAGTTTGTTCTTGGATGTTTCATCATCAGGCTTGTAGAATTCATGAGGATTTACTTCTTTATCAAGAATCTATCACTCGTTTCTTAATAACACCTAGGCATTGCACCTTTAAAAAAGAATGTTTAAACAAAGATTTAATATTCAGTTCTAACAAAAATCATAAATAATGATGCCAACTGACTTCTTTCCATTTTTTTCTTTCCTACTATGTATTAGTAACCTACCAAATAGTTTATTTGATTTTCCCCCGTCACCATTTGTAAATGAATCATGTTGCAATAGAGCTGAATCGAATTCAGACTCATGATCGTTGGATTCATTGACAAAATTACACGAAGAATCTTCAATACTAAAGGTTGCTTTCGCCAAAAATTCTTCATAAGACTGACCTAAATAGTTGAAAAGTTATCGATCAATAAAGCTGGCATAAACAAGTTTTTCAAAGGGAAAAGTATAATAAGACAAGAATTTATCACAATTGTAGGATAACATTCAAACCATAAGATCTGTCATAGTAGCTTGGTGATTCAAATTGCCGAAATTTAGATCAACAAATCGTGGGATTTACAAAAAAGCCAGACTACAAAAGCTTAAAGTTATGTTGCGAACAGTTATAAAAGGTCAACAGACAAGAAAATATGTAATAAGACGATCTTCAATCTTACCATGACGACAATACTTTAATATATAAATGACAATGTAATCGATTTTGTACCACATCCATGGGAACAACATCGCTCACTAGGAGGCAGGCACATCCAGCTGACGAGTCCCGAATGGGGCGAAACGCGCGTCCCAGATTCCACTGCTATCCACTACCCATCAATAATATCATATCCGACTAGGTTTGTAGTTATCGATTTTGACCGTTTCATGAGCCTGGATAAATTAGATTCCAGCACAGATGGACAAGTAGAGACTTTGTGAATTGATACCACATACTGATTCAGGTGACTGGGTACTTGTATCACTTCAGAGATAAAAACAACCAACAGTGGAACCTTGTACAAGATTTCAGAAGCTTAAGTTATCACACGTTACAGATGCATAGAAAAAGTAAGTGGATAGTATTTGTGCCAATGTGATCTAGTCTGAGGTCTATTACCAAAAGTCACCAACTATTGATTCCCACCAACTTGAGAACACCAGCAAGGCAACTGAAACTATTCAGTATAGCTGGGATCAGCAGTCAGATACTTCATGTTTTAGTGACATTATATGGCCCGATCAGTCTTAGATTTCTTCTAACGTAATCCGGTTTAAAACAACATTTTCCATCAGGTTAGGTGGTAAGTAAGTCAGTGTTTCATTTATACCAGTAGGTGATGTCTCAAAACATTACCAACTGATTTGTCTACCTTGTCTAGTAACTTGCAGTTAGTCTCGATAGTCTTCAATGTTTGGTTTCACTAAAGATGAAAGATGATATGAGGGCCGCTTGGGATCAAAACCTTATTGTTTTCTTTTGCTTTTCATCTTCAGTGTCTACTATACCCCATGGTCATCTAATATGCACGCCCTACTGAGTCACCCCAATAAAAGAGCATAATCTCAACAACTGATCCGTCTTTGTTTACTTTCCACTATGCGAATAATGAAGATAACTTTGAGGCCAGATGTAAATACGTAAAGACAATGGGCATACTGCAAAGATCATACTTAGACTTAGAATTGAAAATACGCATAAAATATTTTAATAGCTTTCAACAGTTTAAAATACCCTGATCTGTGCCCTGTTCAAAATCTTTCAGTAATACAGTCATTATCAAACAGGTTTTAAAGTCTTCTAGCCGATTACAGTTGCTATAAACCGTAAGTTATTGATATGAGCTGTTCATCAATTCAGCCTATAATGATCCAGGTTGACTTGTGTGAACAGGCAGACTGTAAGGAAAGATAGGGTAACGAAATAAATTTTACGACAAATTTTGATTTATAGGTCAGGGAAAAGTTTATTTTACGAAATCGTCTTAGTATTAATGAACAATCGATTTTACGTCCTTTATCATAGTCTCACCAGTTACATTTCTTTCGATCAACAAAGTGACTTAATGGTAATTTCCCTAACTGAATCATTGGATGACGTAGGTTTGAACCTGTGAGGCGACATTAATCCGCCCATGGTGGCAGATAAGTCCTGTTATCGGGTGTCAAGGGTTTCTGTTGAATGCTTTCAATCATCTTACACATTTAGTTCTAATTCTCTATTCAGTTACCCTGTCTAGCTTCAGTTACAAGATTGCAAAATATTTCAGTGTTGTTATCATGAAATCCATAGGATTTGAATTCTATTTTTCTTTCGTTTTGTGTGTAGTGTAGATGAAATCCAGAAAACGATTACCCCAGTCACTATCTAGGCAACAGATGAACAAAGTCCCTTATCATTGCATCTATATTCAAACTCGTTTTATTTCTTGAACATAACTAGTGAATAACCTTTTCATTGGCTCGTTAAACAGAGAGAGAATTCGACAGCTGTCAAGTGTACTGGACTTTCTCTGCAAGACTTTGTTGAAGTTCTTCTTTGAAGGAATGAAATTTACAAAGCGCTAAGCAATCATTTTGTACTATTTAGTGTACATTTCCCAAAGCATATTACCACTGTAACATTCCATTAGAAGCTAGTCATTTGTATTTATCTGTTTAATTAAGTTATTGATAATCTCTACATATCCAAAAGTATCATTTTTGAATCATTTTTCTACCTGTTGATTTTGTAGAAAATTTTCGTCTGAAACTAACTTACTTTAATATTATTTTATTTATCTAAATATATTGATTAGCCTGAAGAATATGCAGTACAACCTGAATTCTTTGTCTAGTGTCAAATTAGTCTGAAAGTATTGGATAGCTGTTTCACCTTAGAATAGGATAACCTCAACAGTGTTCCTATCTACAGGTTGTTTCTTCAATTGCATCACATAGTTTTTATCACTACATGCGTACAGTAGATCATGCAAAAAAAAAAATTCTGTTTTACACAAAACAATCTCTTGACAATATTTCTTATGAGATCTGAGTAGTTACATATTCTACGGCTTCATTGATTCGTCTAATTATCAGTCGATGAAACTTACATGAATAAAATGACAGTATGTAGTTAAGTATAAAACATTTTTAGAATATCTTGTTTCCTACATTTATATTTTTTAGACTGAAGATGAAAGTGATTTAAAGAAAAAATGATTCATGATATATTTTCTCAAGGTTGTTTAGTAAATAAGAGAAAAAAAACACCTAAGTAACAACCCTGTTACACGATGATCAATACTACTAACTGACTACTTGAATTCAATTACTTAGTGTTCAAAATTCGAGCCAGTTTTCTATTGTTTCATAGTGAATTTGTTCAATCATTGGAACACTATGTTATATCCTATTCACTCATTAAAACAATCTTTTCTTTTATTAAACTGACATTTGGCTTAAGATAAAGTGAGTGGGAAATTCACATTGAAGATTTATTAAATATAATTAGTCAAATTAATAGATTTATTTTTAGTAAAACAGTTTTCATTTGACAACTGAAAATATAATTAGTAATGTTACTATGAAGTGTATAATCCAAAGAGTTAGTATATGTATATATTAGTCTCATTTTTGAAGGCAGAAGGTTGACACGTGTCAGAAAAGCTTTAAATAGAACTTAAATATCGTTTAGAATTATGTAAATACTATCAGATTTCTGATGAAACACTCCGATACACGCAAGAACTGATAGTCTCCGTCAATATTGTAACCATTTTTTTTTACATCAATGGAAGTGGATATACTACTGGGTGATGATTGAAGGTGAAATGGGTTATGGCACGATTGGAACAAGTAGTCTTCGGATTATCTGCTCCATACTCCACCAACTGGATTAAATTTATCAAAGATATACTGTCAATACAATTTGATAATTGCATAATATTTTCAGAATGAACTAAAATTTACTGTTAGTTAGTTGGAGGTAACCTCGCCTGGTTAACTAGTTCACTAGTTACTAGCCGGTCCTAAGCCTGGGTAAAGAGGGAAGTTTGGGCATAAGGCTAGCAACCCTACCCGTAAAACAAATCTAACCGCTTAAGAAACTTCAAAGCACAAACAAGGTTGCCTACTATCCCCCATGATATTCCTGATTGTGGTAGACTGGATCATGCAGCAAACAGTAGGGAGCGAGAAGAGGGGGATACGCTGGCTGGACTGCGGAAAAGAACCTAGAAGATCTGGATTTCGCCGTCGATGACTTGTGCCTGATGTCACATAAACTCGAAGATCTACAGGCGAAAACTAACAAGTTGACAGAAGAGGCAGCGAAGACGGGACTTCAGGTGAATATAGAGAAGACAGAAGTGATGAAGATACCGCACCAACAACAACAACAAACTGCAATCACCATCAACGGGAGAAACTTAAAGGAAGTAGCCTCCTTCACCTATCTAGGCAGCACTGTTTCAACTACAGGCGGGATAGACGAGGATGCCAAAGTCAGAATCGGAAAGCAAGACAGGCGTTCATTAGCCTGAAACCAATGTGGAGATCTTCTGCACTCAGCATGTGGAACAAGATACGGATTTTCAACACCAACGTCAAGTAAGTCAGTGCTTCTGTATGGTTCAGAAACTTGGCGAGTTACGAAAGGGATTTCCAATAAACTACAGACATTCATCAACAACTGTTTACGCTCACTACTGAAGATCAGATGGCCAGAAATAATAAGCAACAAGGAACTCTGATCTGGCAACGAATCAACCAAGAACCTATCGCTAAACAAATATGCAAAGGGAAGTGGAGATGGATTTGGCATGCACTGAGAAGGCCGACTGGGGACATCACGCGTCAGGCCCTCGAGTGGGATCCCCATGGGAAGCGACGAGTTGGACGTCCGAGGGTGACATGGAGGAGGTCGTGCGAGGAGGAAATGAGAGCTTGTGGGCATTCGTGGAGCCAGGTTCAAAAGATCTCAGGGAACAGAGTTCACTGGAGACGTGCTACTGAAGCCCCATGTTCCATTAGGAACCCAAGGGACTAAAATAATAATAGTTGGAGGCAATCTCCAGGAAGTCCTGTATCTAGGTTTCATACTTGTTGATACTCGTCAGCAAGGCGTATCTACAACCTCAACGGAACTCATGTTCCGTTTGAGATTGTAACCCGCATCACTCAGTGCTGTAGTCAGCGACTTTACTACTGAGCTATTCGAGCTGCAATTGACCTCCTGTGGGATGCGATGCTAAGCCTCCTAGCTTGATGGTTACATTGCAAATATGATTGATAGGATTCGTTCTGCACTCAGGATTGGACAACACGAAATTGGTTGTTCTCCCGTGACCAATCAATATAACTTTACTGTTCATATTCAAATGAACCTGAGGGTTTGTTTATCCTTTAAATTTCATGGTAGGAC